TCTTTAACACAATCTAAAGCAAGATAGTTGTCCTTTATTTCACCTGGAGATTCCCCAGACTAGTTATTGTGTCTGAGGAGTCGTCTCTGATCCTGGATTTTGTACCTTTTTTTTCTGGTCGCGCTTAAATGCACTCGACCGTGCTTCCTCCGCCTCCTCCGTTCCGTGTAGCCATGGCAACTGTCAGCTGAGAAATGGCAACTGTGGCCCTTCATTAGGTACTAGCGCCGCACTGACAGCCCACATAATGGCCAATAAGAGCTGTGCGTGTTTGTGTGTGTGTGTGTTTGAGCGTGTGTGTATTTGCCTGTGTTTGTGTGTGTGTGTGTTTGAGCGTGTGTGTATTTGCCTGTGTTTTTGTGTGTGTGTATTTGCCTGTGTTTGTGTTTGAATTATCAAAACAATTTGAAAATGTTTAGTTTTCTTTGGCTAAACAAAAAGTCTAGTAAGGAGTTTTATTTCTATTTATCTTAGTGGAATTTAAGCTTGTTTTTATGGACACTGAATATTTTATAAGAGGCCTTCTAAAAACCATAACCGAAAGAAAAGGAAATAAAACAAATATCTATTAAAAATTTAGGGAAATGTTTTGCGTCAAAGCATATACTGTAATTGCCAAAGTAACAAGAAGGTTTTGTGTCATTCAAATTGAAATCTTCATTATTTCAATTTTAAAAGTCCTTATTTCATGTACAACATGATATCTGTATGTTTCGTTGGAAAAATTCATTTAAGTGTTAAAATATTGTCAATGCTTTTTGAGTGATTTTGGTTTTAAAATGTGTGAGATTGTGTCAGATCAAAAGTATATTAGTATATAAATGAATTATAAATTAGAAACTCACAAATCTTTTTGCAACAAGAAACGGCAACTGGATCTTTTTCCAACATTGGGCAGCCCTATATAGTGTGCGCATGTGTATGTAAGTGTGTGTCTGTGTGTGTGTGTGTGTGTGTGTGTGTGTGTCTGTGTGTGTGTGTGTGTTAGGAGGGGCCCCTTCACTCAGTCATTACCAGGGGCAGTAAATGAACAGCCCCCGGGGACCGGAGCAGACCGCTGTCATGCTTCAGGAGGCTCTGGCTTCATATGGCTGTAATACAAACCACAGGCGCCGTGAAAGGGCTTTGATCATATCTATTGAGCTTCCTTTGCTCATTTTCCATCAGTACATCTTGGATTTAAAGGAACATTATAGTAGTTGTGGTTCTAGTTCACTCTTACTCCGGTTCACTACAATTACAATTTCAATCCATTGCACACATATCACACACATATTTACAGAATAGATATCACACACCTTTTTCTGCAGTTTCCCCAGCTATGATTACTCGCGGGTTCCTCAGCTGAAAGGAGGGATTTGGCCAAAGAACAGGCATGAAACCCAGTACCAAAACCATAATGTTATTCTAAATGTATTCAATGCAAAGTACAAGACACATTTGGTTTGTATTGTATCATTAATATACAAGATCATTCAAAGTGATTTTCAAGAGCAATTTAATTTCTTATTCAACCCTTTCCCTTCCATGTAACATTTTTGTAATATTTCCTGGTTTTATCGTATTAGCGTGGCAGTGTTTTATGCAGATGCTGGTGCCGCGGTGATCCACGTGCACACCCCATTGGTCGCAGCGAGGCGCAAATGGAAACGCAGCCTCTCTCTGAAATGGCTGATGCTTATCTGCTTGAATTGTGATCCAGCTCTTCCCATCCTCCTTTTCAGACCACATTTAGTCTTTCTATTTTATTTTTTATCTGTTCTCCAAAGCCAACTTGAAGCCCGGCCTGTCACAATAACAAATTAACCAAACACATGATGTATTGCTGGTTTGCTGCAGGAAAAAAAAGATTTTTATTGAAGATGGATACACATGGGTATCTATTTATGCCATATTAGGGACTATTCCTATAACAATGTGCAGACAATAACAGAAATATTCCGTAGCATGTCTTTTTTATTCTTTTATTTTTTTAGGGAATCAATGAAGGAAATTAACTGATAAATCTCAAATTGATTAGGAATAAGTTTGTGTAAGCCCTCAGTCGTACAGGGATTAGTCAAAGCAAAGGAAGGTTTCTCACCCATCATCTGTACTTCTTAGCAAGTTTTCCCAACGTTTCGTCCTCAACCTGGGGACTTCTTCAGGGAATGAATTCTCGGACCGCGCGTTGGAGATTTATAACCTATGGGTGTGGTAAGCCACACCCTAATCCTGATACTAACTCGTAAACAATCTCAGGTCTGCTTGATGTAGAAGGGAGCAGGTCTAACGACCCTGCTGAGGCTAACGACCCTAACTCCTTAGCATGTCACAGACCTATTGTCTGCTGGGATGCTCAAGTGGAGTGCAGGTTTCACCCCTCCTAACTCATTAGCATGTCACTGACCTTGTCCCAAGTTAGGGCGTTGTTTTTAGGATGTCGTCATAGATGCGAGGCAAAACAAATCTTAACCCTCCTCCTCTGTTAAGAGAAGGTTTCTGTTTCCTCACAAAAATAGCTTCTTTCACCCCTCTCTCAAACCAATTCTTCTCCCGAGCCAGAATTTTAACCTCTGTGTCATCCACCGTGTGGTTGGAGGCCTTGAGGTGGAGATGAACAGCCGACTGTGGCCCACTAGAGTTTTCTCTACGATGTTGGTAAAGTCGTTTCTGTAGAGTTTGTTTGGTTTCTCCAATATAGTGGTCAGTGCACTCCTCTTCACTACATTTAATTGAATACACCACATTGCTCTGTTTGTGTCTGGGTGTTTTGTCTTTGGGATGCACTAATTTCTGTCTTAACGTGTTGAAAGGTTTGAAATACACAGGGATTTTGTGTTGCCTAAAGATTCTTTGTAGTTTCTCTGAAACTCCCGCCACATACGGTAAGGACACCCCTCTCCTCCTACTTTCTTCTGTCTGTTGGACTGTGTCTCTGGCCTTTCTCGTCCTTTGGGCTTTAGTAAAAGACCACTTGGGGTAGCCACATCTGGAAAGTGCTCTCTGAACATGTTTGGTTTCTCTGTTCTTTCCCTCCGAGCTCGTGGGGACCTGGTGGGCTCTGTGTTGAAGCGTTCTAATGACCCCGAGTTTGTGTTGTAGCGGATGATTTGAATCAAAAGCCAAGTACTGGTCAGTGTGAGTGGACTTTCTGAAGACCTCAGTCTCTAATTGTCCGTTCTCCAGTATGATGACCTTACAATCTAAAAAGGCGAGTTCACTCTCCTTAGCATCCTCGCGAGTGAAATTTATAAACGGGTCCACCGAGTTAATGTGTGCTGAAAATGGTTCCACTTCCTGTTTCTTTAACTTAACCCATGTATCGTCTACATATCGAAACCAATGGCTTGGCGCTGTCCCTTGGTAAGAGCCCAGGGCTTGTTCCTCCAGTTTCTCCATATACAGATTGGCCACTATAGGAGAGACTGGGGAGCCCATCGCACAGCCATGAATCTGTCTAAAGAAGGTGCCTCTAAATTGGAAATACGTGGTGTTAAGACACATTTCAAGTATTTCACAGATGTGGTCAGCTGTTAGTTTCGTTCTCTCCCCTAGTGTGGCGTCTTTCTGTAGGCTTTCTCTTACAGCCTCCACCGCCTCTGTAATAGGGACCGACGTAAAAAGCGATGTCACATCAAACGAGACCATTGTCTCATCTGTGTCAAACTGGAGGTGTTTGATTTTATTCACAAATTCTTTTGTGTTTTCTATGTGATGGTGGGTGTTACCCACCAAAGGAGCCAGAATGGTTTTGAGGTGTTTAGCCAGGTTGTAGGTGATAGAGTCTATGCTACATACAATAGGTCGAAGTGGAAAGTTTTGTTTGTGTATTTTTGGGAGGCCATAAATACTGGGCAGGGTCGTTAGACCTGCTCCCTTCTACATCAAGCAGACCTGAGATTGTTTACGAGTTAGTATCAGGGTTAGGGTGTGGCTTACCACACCCATAGGTTATAAATCTCCAACGCGCGGTCCGAGAATTCATTCCCTGAAGAAGTCCCCAGGTTGAGGACGAAACGTTGGGAAAACTTGCTAAGAAGTACAGATGATGGGTGAGAAACCTTCCTTTGCTTTGATTAGGAATAGTTCGAGAAATTAATCACAGCTAATTATTCCTACAATTCTGTGCACAAATCCGACCACAATATCTTTCTTTATCTTGCCAGAACACATGTTTTATGAATGAATTATACCTTTATTAGTTCCACAATGGGGAAATTACAGTATTTATATTTACTTTCTGAAAGCTGAGTGAGAGCTGTCCTCTCTTTCAGTTTTCTGGCTGTAAAAGCGAATCTAAGGATGTGAAAAACTAGTGATAGAAGTCTATTGTTTTGTGAGCAAGGAACTAGTGCGGTACCTCAGCTTTAACTTTAAATGAGGTCACGTATTTAAGGTAATTTATATATTTATTTATTGTTAAAGCACCAACCCCTCTCTTTGTCAGTTTTCTGTCTGAAGAAGCTGATCTAAAAATGTGACAGATGGCAAAAATACATGCACATGAAATCTAGTAATTAGTTTATAAACTAGTTACATAGAGTTTAAGTTTCAGATCAGATTCAGATTCAGTTTATTTGCCATTTGCAGTAGAAAAAACACATTGGAATACATTAGCAAAAAGTCTCCAGTGTGCACAGACAAATACAGACATAAAACAACATTAAAAGACAGAAAAAAACTAATAAAACAGTAAACAAATTTCTTTAACTACTTTAATATAGTTAAATATTTACTAATGAATTTCACTGCCTTAAAACCAAACACCATTCAATGTGTTCATCAATATAATTTCCAATGTCATTAACCTGAGAAACATTGTAAGTAGCCTTTTGGAGGATAGAAACACATGCTAAAGCTTTTCTGATCAAGACATGGACAAAATATAGCAATGGAAGTAAACCATTTTGATAGCTATAGGAACGAGTTACATTGATTTGATTACATAGTTAATTTATGTCCTTTCAAAGTTAGGTACCCCAGAATTAACACTTTGAAAGTCCTTCTCTTTTAAAGGAATGGGGGGGTGGTGGTTGGGAGCTGTTTCCAAACCCAGAGAGAACGAGTGTTTTGATGTCAGTTCTGTGGCTGCTGTGTCTGCATGCCAACACCGTGTTTCGCCGTCCTTCATTCGTCCGTCTCTTGATGTGTGTTTGACATTTAGACGTCTGCTGCAGAGTGATTAAAATGGTTTTATGGCTGGTGTAATGTTTTATTATAAAGCCATCTCGCCTGGTTTGGTAAAATTAAATGATATGCATGTGTTTATGTGTTGTGTGTTATAAGTTTTTTTCTTTCTTCTATGACTTGAATGCTGTCTGTGGTAGGTTGTTGGAAAGTTATAGTTTACTTGTTTGTTTTGGAGATTATAACAGAAGTTGTTTTTTCAATGTTACAATATTTATCTTTACCAAGTGGGGTGGAAGAAAAAAAACACTTACATTCCTTCCCAAAGAGCATTTTTACTTGAAATGTTTCACTGATTTACAAAAGCCTATTGCAATAATCCATAATAATTGTATTTTCAAATGTTTACCGTTTTCTTTCAACAAAAAAAATCTGTTTTATACAGTCGTACAAATAGTGCCAATTTAGTCCATTTTATCCAGTGTAAGATAAAATAAAACTCAGTAATTGTTATGATGTACAGTATATAGAGGCTGTCTATTTTCAGATTGAACAGACAAACTGACAGATTAAAGGCCATGAGAAATTAGAATTGTATTTACAGGCTTTGGAAAAGTTCTGCAGTTTTAATGTATTTGCAAATGTTTTAGAAAAGTTGAAGATGTAAATTTATAAATTGTACAATACAACCTGGCTCTCGGTTTGGTCTTGGTCCAGGCTTGGTTCCCATACACAATAATCCAATTTTTTACCCTAGTACAGTCTATAATTATACATTCTGGGTTGGTTATGGTGTAAAACTTGATCATTGTTTAGTCCTAGGACAATTCAGGTTCAGTTGTTTGGATGAACAACATTGGTTTAGACATGAAATCAGAGTCATCCTTAAAACATCAGATGGTAGCACAATTTTTAAGGTATCCTAAGGTATCAACCTCCAGGAACCTCCCCAAAATTCCTAATAATCTGCCATGGGTATTACCCTCTTTTGTTCTGAGAAAGTTTGAAAAAGTATTGGAAAACACTTGGCATTACTTCATCAAAAAATGAGAATAGAATTTCAATTTTAAGTGTGTATGACAGGTTAGTAGTGCAGACAAGTTAAATAAAAGTCAAAAATAGATGTAAATGAATCCATAAAACCTCTTATTACAATTCTAATAAACACACAAAATAGACATTTATCAGTGCAGATAAAGTGACAGAAGTATAAAGAATAGGGCTATCATATTTTTTCTTCACAAACTGTGACTTAGTATTGGTGTAAAACTATAATCTATCATTCTGCTAAATCAATACTAAAAACCTGTCTTATGCACATGTAACATCAATGCCCCGTGTGTCCCCAGGGTTTTAACACAGCCAACTCTTCATTATCTCTTGTCTGATCTTTCTCTTCCTTCTCGGCCGCTGCTTTCTCAAACCCTGTGTGTTGCCGCCGCAGCGAGAGAGGAGAATGTGGCTACGTTTCGGGGCGCAGAGTACTTCTGCTACGACCTGTCCCAGAACCCCATCCAGAGCAGCAGCGACGAGATCACGCTTTCCTTCAAGACGTGGCAGAGGAACGGCCTGATCCTCCACACGGGAAAGTCCGCAGACTACGTCAACCTGGCCCTGAAGGACGGCGGCGTGTCCCTGGTCATAAACTTGGGCTCCGGGGCGTTCGAGGCAATAGTGGAACCGGTCAACGGCAAGTTCAACGACAACACGTGGCACGATGTCAAAGTCACACGCAATCTCCGGCAGGTAACTATACAGGGGAAGGAAATATATGTAAGGATTAAACAACAAGGAGCCGTCTATTATACAGTTATAATGCACACCGTGGAGTCTAGGTGTTCCTCCGCAAAGTGCATTATAACTGTATGATGCACGGCTCCTAGTTTATTACACTTATACCATGGTCCGGTCAATTTATCTGTGTTACAAATGTTATTGGACTTTACTAAACTGGCCAAATATTCTTAAGTAAAGGGAATATTTAACAATTCTGAAAACAAAACTTAGCAACCGTTGTGAAGAGAAAGGGGAACTACTTTAATTAAAACGCAGACAAAACATTAATCAGATTGGCTAGACCCTATAACTCCAGACACATGTGGAAGCAGAAAGGACTGAGACTGTCTGTTTCCAGAACCTCGAGCAGAAAATCGCCCGAGATACAGATTTCAGACTCTGCATCTGATTTAATTACAGTTTCTCCTCTCGTCCTTCCATATCATTATTATTGACCTTTGTGCCAGTCTGCAAAATTAGATTATGTGTCAGTAAAAACATATTTAAATCTCACTTGACCAAATCAGGCTAGTCTTGCTGAAGGAAACAACAACAGTTCAGCTCTTTACAGCCACAGCCATCCCACTGTGGCACCTGATGTTCCTGGTGTCTCCCATCATAGTACCTATCAGGCCCTGCTCTGCTTAGCTTATCTAGTTTGGTAATATCAATGGGAATTATTCATTCTGACCAATATTAGTTTAACCAATTTGATTAGGTTTCAATTAGACCAATGTGTTTGTACTTTAACTTTGTACTCTTTTGATATTTTATTGTTATTAAAATTGTTATTATCTAAACGTACAGAGGTTAGGGTGTCTGTCTTCTTAACCCAGTTTCCATTTTGTCCCTAAAACGTAGCACTCTGGAAGGTAAATGTTGGAGAAGCCTGCTCTAAAGCACATGCCAACAGAGAAAGCAACATGATACACTGCAAAAAGTGATAAAGTAATAGGTTTTAATTGCTTGAATCGAGTGGTTTGCATCTTAATTTGAGTACATTTTGAATGTCTTAAAACAAGATTTTCCAACAGGACAAAACCATTTAATCTTATTTCAAGAACTGTTGCTGAATTTAAGCAACGTTTTGCCTTTTTTCAATCACTTTTTACAGTGTACCATTATTACAGTGTGAAAACAATTGCAATTCCTCACAAATTCTTCTCCATTGTGAGATCTAAAAAGTTTATTTTATCTTAACCTGTCACTTATGCATTTTTTGCACAAAGTTGAGGCCTTATGACCAGTTATTTTTCAAATGTCTTGAAAAAGGAATATTTTAATTTTGACCTCACGCACTTGTAACTATGTAACTGTATGACTTTGTTTTCTTTGTTTGAAAAGCAATTAGGGAATCGCTATGATGTGATAAACACACTCCACTGTCTGGTAAATATGAAGTGCTTGTGTGGGTTCTGGTTCTGGTTCTGGTTCTGGTGCTGGTGCTGGTTCTGTTCTCTCCTACTGACTCTCCTGATTTCACTCTGTTTCACTACTTTATTTCATATTTAGTACATGTATGGACCTGCTAAGTGCCGCCCCATAGATCCCCATATCATGGAAGTTTGTCATGGCCACATTATTATTTTAAAGCATGTTTATGAAACTTCAAAACGCCTAAAATTACACTCTTCATATACACGAGGTTGAGTTTGCAACCAGTAATTTTCAAATTTTGAAACCCCTTGCTACCCCTGTGGTTACTTATTATAACCATTCATATATTTCCTTTTTCCCCATTCTAAAACATGCCACATCAAAGTGAACAGCCTCATTCTCATTTGAATTGTCAAAAATTGTTCATCATATGGCTTCTTTAAGATTTAGATTTGGAGGACTTTTCTTCCAGAACCCCAGTGGGCACGTGGCACCTCCAAACTGATCTGATCAGATGTTTTACAGCAAACATAAAATGGGTCACATGTTCCACTGGTGTAAAGGCTTATGTCTGTTATGTCTTAAGGTAACGATATCTGTGGACGGCATCCTGACCACCACCGGCTACACCCAGGAGGACTACACCATGCTGGGCTCGGATGATTTCTTCTACGTGGGAGGCAGTCCCAGCACAGCGGACCTGCCCGGATCTCCTGTCAGCAACAACTTCATGGGCTGTCTGAAAGAGGTATGTGCGTTTGTCGCGCTTCACGCACCTGTCTTCTGTCAAACAGTTTACCTCTGAGTTTAAACCCTTTTCACACGTGTAGAATTAACTCTGACTGCCTCCTGGGAGCTCCAACTGCTACAGTAAGGGCCTACGCTACGGAATTTTAGTCCGAGGCTAATGCTAGAAATGCTCCTAGCCATTTTGGGTTGCTTTGCAAAGGACATTTTATCTCCGGTTTTCCAAGGGGCTGGTTCTGGACGGATCCTGGACTGGTTCTAAATTTGGTTCTGAATTTGGTTTTGGAATGGTCCTGGACTTGTTCTGGATTTGGTTCTGGACTGGTCCTGGACTGATCCTGGACTGATCCTGGACTGGTAATGGTCTAGTACTTAAACTGGTCTTGGACTGGTCCTGAACTGGTCAGGGAACTCACTTGTATAAAATAATCCCTTATTCACTGAACTAAAGATTAATCAACAGAACTGTTTATCAAAATAATCAATAATTGCGGCCGGGCTTTGACAGAGATTAGAATCTCCCTGATAGTTTTCATACATGTCGTCCTAAAATGATGACATGAGAAGCAGTGCAGGTCTAATCAACCCGTGCAGCTTGTCTCTGTGGCTGCACTCTCTTCCATTACTGCTAATTTGCCTGCTCCATGCTCTTGTACTTGCCATCCTCGCTAGATTATGGATAAAAGCTTTGTTTCCATGGCACCAGGTACGGTCACCCCTGGTCGGCCCTCACCGCCCGGCCTCACACTATTATTCCTTTTCATAAGACACCACTTACATGGAAAGCCTACGTTTCAAAGCCTACAAAACACATAATGGCCTACAATAACACATAATTGATGTAATTGTCAATGCCATTAGCCAGTGCTGCCTTCTGGATGTCTCGTATAGAGCAGCCAACAAAGACACACACAAAGGCACTGGCTTAGCACAAGTTAAACCCTTAACAATCAAATATTTACTGCTGCCTGTGCATTTGTGAGCATATATTTGAGAACATTTATTCATAAGATGTTAAAAAGTCACTTTTGCTACACAAATAGTGTTAGTAAATGAAGCATAACTGACTTGACAGTAGAATTTCTGAATTTTCTATAGTGCTGGAAAGGGTTTGAGTAAAAGTACTATTTTAGTTCTCTAGAAATAAGACTAACCTGAATAAATGATACACTGATTATTATTGATAAGCTTACTGTGATTCAATTCAATTCAAGTAAATTATTTTTTATACCCTTAAATCACAACTGCTGTCGTCACGGAGAACTTTACAACATTGTCGATTCCTAAAAAGCAGAGAAGAGAAACAGACAGTTTGGACACAGGAAATGCAATAATAACAAACACATACAGTAGGGGCCAGTGATCCATACAGAGTGGGGTGACCAATGTCCATAAACGTTAAGAAATGTCAATAAAGGTTCTTAAATGTCCCGGATCATCACTGTCCTTAGAACCTCCTGCATCTGCGAGGAAACACAAAAAAATCCTGTGGGAGGAATAGAGAATCCTCGGACCATATTGAGAGAGGGATCCTCTCCCCTGAATGTACAGACTAATAGATCCAGGTGCAGGACTGAGGAGCCTCCCTGGCAGGGAGAGGGATGCAGCTCACAGGTCTGGGCCGGGGAAACCGTATCACTGGTGCAGCTGACAAGTTTCAAGTTTTCAGAGCAAAAATTACATAAAACAGGCTTCAAACAAAACAAAAAATCATATTATTGCTGTTTTTGCTCAGAAAGTGGCACAGCTCTTTTTATTGATATATGTATGGTTATAATATATATATTTTTCTTTTTCTCTTTCATTTATAAATGTAAAAAAAAAAAAATGTCATACTCTCTGGCTGCAGTACTTCAATCAGCCAGCTTGACATTATTCACTTCATTGTCCTATTTAGTTCTGTGAGCTGCCCTCTGCTGGCCACTGAGAGGCACTGAAAGAATGGTGATACTTTAGGAGCCATTCAAAGGCCTTTTACATATAATATTAACTTTATAAAATTATTTAGTTACAGAATATTAGATACTTGCATATAAATGCATTTTCTTTTACATGAACTAATCAGGTTTTTTAATATACTCTCACTCATATATATAGCACAATCTTATAGATTTTGTGTAAAAACGTGCTGTTGGGTTACATTTTCGTGATTGTAAATTACCAGTGTGAACAACCAGTCAATCCAGATTAATTTTTTTTACAGAATACCATACTGGTTTGTTAAGGGTTTGGATGACGCAAATGCTTGAAGCGAGATTCGTTATAATGTTGATAATAAGGTCATAGTTTGAAAAAAACCCAAATTAAACAACTCAGGAAGATTTTAGAATAATTTTCAAATGCTCTGTAAGCCACAATCAACATTATAACAAACAAAGACTCGCCATATTTCACTTTGCATGTGAGTCTTTGCTCTCAGTCTTAAGTCCTGGATCCACAGCCGGTCCGTTGGTGTGAACGGATCCTCGCTCAACATGGGCCTCCCCGAGGTTTCCCACTTGTTTCCCACTTGGTTTTTCTTTGAGTTGAACAGTGCTGGTCTGGGATATTAAAGGACATTTGTTATGATTTATAGACCAAAATGGCTTCTATATCTTTTTTATTATTGAATTTGTTGTTTTCGAACCTGTAGGCTGTATAAAAATATCTTGATTTTAATGAAATTGGAATACATAAATAAATACACTTTTGACCTTTAGACCTATTCTAATTTTCCGAGTTTCACATTCATTTCTAAACCCGTTTTTGTAGGTGGTTTACAAAAACAACGACATTCGCCTGGAGCTGTCGCGTCTGGCTCGGATCGTGGACCCAAAGATGAAGATCCAGGGCGAGGTGGCGTACAAGTGTGAGACCGTGGCCACCCTGGACCCCATCTCCTTCGAGACCCCCGAGTCCTTCATCAGCCTGCCCAAGTGGAACACCAAACGCATGGGCTCCATCTCCTTCGACTTCCGCACCACAGAACCCAACGGCCTCATCCTCTTCACCCACGGCACGCCCCAGGAGAGGAAGGACGCCGCACGAAGCCAGAAAAACACCAAGGTCTGTACTGGCGGATGCGATAAGAAGCCAAATACAAAACCAAAACTTTCTATGAAGAAACTATTAAGCCTTTGTAGAACAGCTAAACAAAGTTATCGTCCTCTGGTCTAGTCTAGTGTTTAATTGTGTTGGGGGGAAATCGATACAGTAGCAAAGTATTGTGATATTTAATTAAATAATTCACTGTTAAACTTTTGTCTATTCCCCTGAGTTTACCTTTGGTTTTGTTACTCTATTATGTCTCTTTTTGATTACTCTAGTCTATAGTATTTTAATTATTTTATGTTATGCTGGGAGCTCAACGTTCATTTGACAGGTTGCTATTCAGAGACTGTCCTGAAATAAGGTCCTGTGTCCTGAATGTTCAAGGAACATTTTTTAACTACCCTCTTAACTTCTGCTCTTGTTTAGAAAATCTGCCGTTAATGATGACAATGATAAAATCTCATGATTGGATCAGTTTCACTCACATTTACAGGTCGCTGTCTGCTGTGTGTTGTGTGTTTAGGTGGACTTCTTTGCCGTGGAGCTGTTGGATGGCAGCCTCTACCTGCTCCTGGACATGGGCTCAGGAACCATCAAAGTGAAGGCCACCCAGTCCAAAGTCAACGATGGCTCCTGGTATCATGTGGACATCCAGAGAGACGGTCGCTCCGGTCAGTCACACTCACACTCAACTCACTTTGATTTTCCAATCACCCGCAGATGGGACAATGGAACAATGGCTTTTTTATTGTTTTAAATTTTTTATTGTTTTAAATTATTATTTAGTTGCAGCCTAAAACGCTTTAAAGCTGGGGTACTTAACCTCTTACAAGTAATACAATTCATTAGTATTTCGTTAATTTTACATGTGCTGCATAAGGCCTGGACTCCACCGGGCGCGTCTCCGTTGACGCGCGTTGACGCGCGTTGGCTGCTGTCCGTCAGCCGTCCGTAAAACGGACTAGTGGTCAAACCGGCTGCAGCAGCTCTGGCTGTGCGTTTATCAGCCTGCTTTGTTTTTGTAGGAGACATGTTTGGGCATTGTGTGAATGAATGAATGTTTGGCTGATGGAGGAGTTATGTATTGTCGGCGTGCATGTGTGCGTGAGCGTGTGCGTGAGAGCGCCCGTGTGTGTGTGTGTGTGTGTGTGGTGGGAGGCGCGTGTGTGTGCGTGCATGTGTGTTTGGGTCTGTGACTGCAGCGTTTATTATGATCCAGCCTCTTCGTTTGTTTTCTACTTATTTAGCGCATGATACACTTTTATCGGACCCAACTCGCCTCTCCGCGGCTTTAGGCAACAGGCAGCCGCTATAGTTTTAAATAGAAGAAGCGGTGTGTGATTTGAATGAGCTGTGGCTATGATCAGTGCAAAGCACAGCATATTGAAGCATTGAGGACGTCGCGATGGATGAAGCAAAACTTATTTGAAAGCAATTGGGAAAAATGGGAGAGAGAAAAGAACTCCAACATATCCAGTGTTGTGAGATCTGTCTCTCATAAGTGCAGCTCTGTGTGTGTGTGAGCGCCTCGGAGGTAGACGGGACAGAGCGAGAGAAAAAAGAGCGAGGTGTATGTAAAGATTAGTGTATTAACATTACGCGAAAAATAAATGGTAGATTTACGATCAGGAAACAATTATTTAAATTAATACATGAAAAACATTACACACGTTTGTTAATAATCATTGTCATTAAAAAATACTTATAACCAAGGACTACAGCATATCAATACATGTTTAACAATGTTGTAAATATATTATTCCATTGCATTTTCAATGGAAAACGGACCCGACACGCGTCGACGGACGTAACAAATAGGATTGTTTCTATTTCGTCCGTCCACGTCTTTTGCACCCTCCGTTGACGGAATAGGTCCGACGTGCGTTGGACGGACGCATGCGGAGGCAGTGGAGCCACTTCCATTCACTCTCATGGAGATAACGGAGACGGAGATGAAACGGACATGTTTGGACGGATCCGTCGTCCGTTTTACGCGCCCGGTGGAGTCGGGGCCTAAGACTCTTTCTCTTGAGACAAAACACATGCATTTGAACTTTCCTGAATTCTCTTGCTTTGACAGGCACCATTTCAGTGAACAGCCGGCGGACGCCCTTCACCGCCAGTGGGGAGAGTGAGATCCTGGACTTGGAGGGCGACATGTATCTGGGGGGTCTGCCCACTGACCGCTCCAACCTGATCCTGCCCACCGAGCTGTGGACCGCCATGCTCAACTACGGCTACGTGGGCTGCGTGCGCGACCTCTTCATCGATGGACGCAGCAAAGACATCCGGCAGATCGCGGAGGACCAGAAGGGTGCGGGGATCAAACCCTCCTGCACCAAACAGCCGGGGAAGCAGTGTGAGAGCTACCCCTGTAAGAACAAAGGCGTTTGCAAAGAGGGCTGGAACCGCTTCGTCTGTGACTGCACTGGAACTGGCTACTGGTCCAGGACCTGTGAGAGGGGTGAGAATTACTGTACATCCACACGTTCTTACTGCTCACCTCAAATCAACTCAACTCAAGTTTTCCCGTCACACACGCATCAAAGCCTCCGACCATCACCGTCCATTACATTTACACCTATTGTACATGTTTTTAGTGTTAGGGGAAACTGGAGCACCTGGTGGTAACCTACACAGACAGAGAGAACTCTGGAATCAAACCCAGAATATTCTTGCTGTGAAAAAAGGACACCCTAGGAAGTTATCAAAGATTATTGATGGGGTTCTATATTGCAAAAACAAAACATTAGGATGACCAACGGAGATTAGATTTAACACAGAAAGAAAAAAAATGTAATCATAACATACACGCATAAAAGGCATTAGTCCTTATCCTTACTCATAGACATACAATACATACACACAGAGATATCTTTGGTATAGTTCAGGGGTCTCCAACCTTTTTCACCCTGAGTTTCTTTCTCAAGGCTTAAATCAGGGACATTTATTAACATTTATGGACATTTATTAACATTTATGGACATTTATTAACATTTATGGACATAGCGTGTTTGTGATTATTGCATTTCCTGTGTTCCAGCTGATTCTCTGTTGTGGAGGAATGTTAATTGTTAAATCATCCAAGACTACTATGATTTAGAGCTATACCAAAATACAGGAAACTGAATTGACCTACACACTAAATATAGCAGAATTCTCCAGCAGAAGTTTAATAGTCATAGTGCACACGACATACAATAAAAATAGATACACAGGGTTAGCCTTGGCTCGGCAGTCTATGGCTTCAGAAGCTAAGAACAGAGGAACCATTTGGGCTCAGTGTGGGGTGAGGTCTGTTGAATTGGATGAGACTGAGTGCAGTTGTGGTCTGTTGCAGAAGCCTCAATCCTGTCCTACGACGGCAGCATGTACATGAAAGTGGTGATGCCCACGGTGATGCACACGGAGGCGGAGGATGTGTCCATGAGGTTCCGGTCGCAGCGGGCCTACGGGCTGCTCATGGCCACCACCTCCAGAGACTCCGCTGACACTCTGCGCGTCGAGCTGGACGGCTCTCGGGTCAAACTCACGGTCAACTTAGGTATCGTATGCAGCCACCTCAGCCTCATGTTTTCTGTCATCTCATCCATTTTCTTTGACTGTTGGATATTCTCTTTCGAATGTTTGGGCATGATTCTGTACCACGTTTAGGAGCTCTCCAGACTTTAACCCTTTGTGTCACAGTCAGTGTGATTTCTGTTTTCAGACCATCAGAGACCTCAGCACAATATATACCAGAACTGTCCAGATGCACTAATGTGACTTATCATTTTGAAATACTTCTGGTCAGGTTCATCTTTAAAACACAGAGGTGGCAAATAACTATCAGAAAATAATTTTATTTAAAACAGATCCATCCATGCTGCTATCACGAATTTACTGGCACAAACATTTAACTTTGCCCCTTTCCTCTCAGTCCTGTGTAAAGAATGTATATAGATGAAAAATGAACAGTTTTTGTTTGTGTCACTCTCACCATTTTAGTCAGAATAAATCTTTGGTTTAGCGCTCTCTATTATCCTGGTGTTTATAAATTGATATTGTCTTTCTAAAACAAGATGAGCCATATAAGATTTAGTGTTGACAACTTCTCAAGTGATTTTTTTTAATTTTCACTACACTTCCCTCTGGTGGCATCATAAGGATAGGGCACCCTCGGTTCATTTACCCTATACTTTATACTGAAGATTTTATTTCACAAAAAATAAAAAAATTCTAAAACACAAAAGTGAGTAGTCGCATTATAATTTTTAACAGGCAAAATAATGCAGAATAATTATTGTGAATGACTTTCATACTTGATTTTAATACTAGTATCTACAGTTCTACCTAAAGTACCTTAGTCGAGTACTTTTGCCACCTCTGTTATAACCCCACCTATAGCCACCAAGCTTTTAATGAATAATCTGGCAATAATTTTGTATTTTGAGACCAGGAAACACATATTTAACAGCTGCTGTACAATTGACAATGATCTTGAGCTTGACAACTGCCAAACAATAATAATACAGCAATAATGGACTATTTTTGAACATTGAAGTTTGTGCTGAGACTCAAATGTATTCCTCAAAAACGTCTTTCCGTTTGCAATCATTTCTGACATGTTCTTTTGTTTGTACCTTTCGTTGTGCTTCATCCATCACTCCTAGTCCATGATGCTTTGTCCAAAGATGGTATTCACCCCTTCAAAGGCCCTAAACCTGCGGCCCGTTAGGCGAACAGCCCGAGAACAGAGCCCAGCCAAACCTACAGCTGGCTGCGACCCCGTGCACCCAAATCCATCCAATACAATATGTTCATTTACCTTTCTAACAAATATTACGACACAAGACAGCACAGCACACTGCAAACATCTCTCCACACAGGGAATTTTTTAGACTTTACACATTTGTTTAAGGCTCAGAACTATAGGTAGAGCTGTGCCAACAACATCAAAATAAAAAAAAATCCAATCAAATTATAAAAGGAAATGGTTTTTAAATACATTCTCACATCTTGTAGATTGACCTGGATTCAAATTTATTGAAATTTTGATGACAAAATTTAAATCAGGAGGTGTTTTTTTCTTACTCACTCATGTGTCCTTGGCTTTCACTGGGATTGGCTTTAACACACATTTAAATATATTGTTTCACACATGTAGACCTATAAAGTAGCCTGAATCTCATTTTGAATCAGAATCTGAACCAGTTGTGTTTGATTGAAATATTTGACAACATCTGATTGGAAATCCAAATCGATCCAATATGGGAAAGAAAAATCATGATGCATTTTCTCCCAGCTCGCCCAGCCCTAACTATAGGTCAGGTTAGAAGACTGGTAGGGGTTCCCTCGCCTCTGCATGGTGCTGGTGCTGACTGAATCGTGGCTGTTTGCTCCCACTTTTCTGTTGCGGTTGACGACACATGAATTCAGCAGCCACATGTTAACAGACAAATTGTAAAATCTCACAAAAAGTTAATGACAAAATGAATCCTACATTGACAAATAATGTACCCCAAATTTTGTGTCTACTAAGTGAACATAGCAGGTACAAGCTAATTATTGATGATGTGAAAAAATCTAAAATGGCTGCATTGTGCATGTGTGCGTCCCCGGAAGGGTGGAACTGTTGTTTTTTGGATGTCTGCAGCAGTAACCTTGAAGGATGCAATTCATCTGTCATTTATTCTTCCCCATCTAGACTGTGTCAGGATAAACTGTAACACCAGTAAGTTTACACTCAAGTTTCATTTTGATTGTGGATGATGTGTTTAAACTTTTAGCTACTTCTGTGTTCTGCAGATGATACTGTTGTTTAAAAACCTATAGAAATGAATGCAAAGAGTAATGAAAATAACATGGATTTGAAGGAAGTTGGAAGTTTACATTAGCAGCTGGTGGTTAGAAACAGCTATTATATACATTCGGTTTATTTCTTACTTTAGGCTTAAAGCTGGGGTACCTAGCTTTTCAATTACGTTAAGCAGCTTCTTGTTCTCAAAACAGTCTATCACAAGTTTTCTCATGTTTGGCCTCAGTCACATGTTCAGACCATTTTTTTCAGTGAGAAAAGGGAAAAAGTTATATCCACCCTCACTCAGCCAATCAGCTCTCAGCCCAAATAGTCCAATGAAGACTCACAAGGAGCGCTCTTATAAGTAATAGAGTAATAGAAAACGATAATAAGACGAAGAAGACGGTTTGTCGTTTTCTGATTTGTTCACATTCTAAAACTTTCTGTTGAGTGTATTATGTATTAGGGTTAGAAAAAGAAAGTAAGGTACCCCAGCTTTATTCTATGCCTTGTATAATTGTAATTTGTATGCAAATAGGTTTTTTGTTTGTATTTTAAAATTGTCTTTTGTCTAACTATTGTTTTTTTCTAGCATAATTTAAAAGTTTCCTGTTTCTAATAAGCAGTGTAATCATTAATATGTTGGAATACTGTCTGTGGGTTACAGTAGATAGTGTGTTGGGCTCATAGCTAATCGAAAAATATCCAGTCAAATCCTGATCTATATTTATCATTGAATGTACATACACAGGTTTGAAAAGAATAGATACTAAAATAGAAATACAATGCTGATCAGGGCAGGGGCAGAAACCAGTGGCATAAATGCAAATATTACATTTTGTTACTGTCTATTGTTGTCTTCTGGTTGAAATACAATAACAATGCAACACCAATGCTTACATTTTCAAGAAGTGATAAATACATAATCCTTATTTAGAGCACATTAGAACAAGTATAATGAAGCTTAGGGAAGGAATTTGAAAAGTTTGTCTCAGAGTTGGTTCCAAGTTGATTTCATGCATGATATGAAATACTGAATGAAATACAACAATGTTATTTATCTTGAGCCCTGGTTATGGTATAGAATCACGGGGTTAGGGGATAACTGGTTTAACTGGTAACTGCTTTAGGATATATGATAGACTTTGTGGTGTATAGTAGGCCTTCAGTAACAGGTCATGAAGGTCCAAATCTGTAGACCCAAAATGATTTTAACTGTGTGACTGACCATTCTTCATAGGCAAAGGACCGGAGACGCTGTATGCCGGGCAAAAGCTCAATGATAATGAATGGCATACAGTGCGCGTGGTGCGTCGTGGCAAAACCTACAAGCTAACAGTTGACGATGATGTAGCCGAAGGTATTTGACTAACTCCTGATTTAAAACTGTCTTTCTTTGTTAAAGAGAATAGCACATCTAGTCAGCTGGTGGATGTTGCATTTAAAATACTGTCTCTTCAAATCAGCCCTTTTGTGTTAGTGTCAGACTGTGCTCTCTTTCCTTCGGTTTGTCTCTCTGTTCAAACCCCTCCCCTGGCCCTGCCCTCTGCAGGTCAGATGGTGGGAGACCACACTCGGCTGGAGTTCCACAACATTGAAACAGGGATCATGACAGAGAAGCGCTTTGTGTCCATTATCCCGTCCAGCTTCATCGGACATCTGCAGAGCCTCAGGTGCACCATCATTCACACTCACTGATAAAGCTTTTCTGGTGTCCGTTGCCACCTAACCAGTGCCATCCTCTGCCTCCCCGATCTATGACTAGCTGGTCAGGGAGTCAACCGTGGAAAACGTGCTATAGCACACTGCAAAACCTAAAAGGCCATTGTCCCGAACAGTGTGGATATTATTCTGAAATAACACATACCATTCTGTTATTTGGTAAAACTGCAATTAGCAAGATAAAGAAATACAGTTTGACAAAGTAAACACTTATTTGCGTTCAACCCCTCTCACACACACACACAGACACACACACACAACACCGGCCCGAACCCTCTCTGGTCATACACCTCCCTGCCATTACTGTAGGTGGTTTGAATGCCTTTCTTTAAGACAACACGATCATATGAACTATCCAATTTTTTTGGTTCTTCTATACCAGACAATTCTTTGGAAGAAGACCCAAATAGTTTGATCTACAAAGAAAATATGAAGCTTCCTAAACTGAAGTGTCCAGTGTTTGTGTTCCCTCTGCAGATTCAATGGAATGCTGTATATTGATTTGTGCAAGAATGGAGACATTGATTATTGCGAATTGAACGCACGCTTCGGAGTCCGTTCCATTATCGCTGACCCAGTGACCTTCAAAACCAAAAGCAGCTACCTGAGTCTGGCCACACTGCAGGCCTACGCCTCCATGCACCTTTTCTTTCAGTTCAAGACCACATCCGCTGACGGATTCATTATTTTCAACTCTGGAGATGGGAATGACTTCATAGCTGTAGAGCTGGTCAAAGGGTAAGTGTGCAGTTTACGTCATGCACAACATCAAGCTAATAATCACTAGTTTAATTGTCTTTGTATTTTTTAAAACAAGAGATTTAAGGTTTATGTCTTTGAACAGAGCTTTATTCCTGCAGAATCAAATGAAGACAAAAGATGTAGATCAAGCAAACATCTTGATATTGTTAAAACTAAAAAATCAATAATAACAAGATATTTCAGAATCATTTTAGTTTTTGTTGAATATTTTTCATATATTCAATTTTTACAAAACTCTTTTTGATCCAAACTTCTAATCTATTTATCCATTATTATTGAAATAATTGTTCATTACAGCTCTGTTTTTTGGACCATAATAGACACTGTATTTTACCCTGTTCACAATTTGAAATGAATGTTTCAAATTTGAGGCTCCAGACTGTGCCCAGAGAAGCCGAGTTCCTGCTGCTGCTCTGATACTTTTGATCCTTTTAATGTCACCTGTGTTCCCTAAAAGATTAGGTCGTCTGTGATGAGAGACTCCACATGTTTAATCACAGTTCTTTCTTTCTTTTGTATTCCAGATACATTCACTACGTGTTCGACCTAGGGAACGGGCCAAACCTGATCAAGGGCAAAAGTGTGAGGGCTCTGAACGACAACCAGTGGCACAACGTGGCCATCACCCGAGACAACAGCAACACGCACACACTCAAAGTGGACGCCACCACCACGAGCCAGAGCATCAACGGAGCCAAGAACCTGGACCTCAAAGGTAGCTCTGCTCTCACTGGGATAAACACAGTAGAGCTGACAATTTTTATATTTTTTATGGGTATATACAGCAATTGAGCGAAAGATTTCTAAACGTAATCCTGATTGAACATGTTCATCTGGTAAGTTGTTCCAAGGTGTCATGTGGTGAAATTATGGAAGGACTCAAAATGCAGGAATGCAAAAAATTATGATTTAATGAACATAAAAGTCAAGGGCAGGATCTTAATAAAATAAAATTCCAAGGTTATTTCAGTGAAAAGGAGAGGACCAGCCGCCTCTCAGCCAATAAAGTATGTAAAATACCTATACTTTCAAATAGGTTGCTTAAACAAGACTATTGGGACAAACCACATACATTTATGAAAAAGTTAGGTACTCCAGTTAGAACTCCAGTTAGGTAAATCAAATAGGCATTCAATATGGATTCTTCCAAAAACTAAAACTTCTCACAATGTTCATTTGAAACTAACTCTCTTTCCACCAGGTGACCTCTTTATCGCAGGACTGGGCCCAGGCATGTACGGGAGCCTCCCCAAGTTGGTGGCCTCCAGAGAGGGCTTCCAGGGCTGCCTGGCCTCAGTGGACCTGAACGGACGGCTGCCGGACTTGCTCAGCGACGCGAAGTTCCGCAGTGGGCAGATCGAGCGTGGATGTGAAGGTACTCAGTCTCTCAGATCAGAGCCAGCCTTAGACCTGGACCGAGACTTTAACTCCAGTTCCTACCTGCGGAACCCCAACAGCAGCGCCAGCATCCTGCCCGTGTACGGAAGGACCATGTTAGTCTCCCTGGCCATAGCCTCACTCACACACAGCTGACGAGCCAAAACAGGCCAGACTTTATCAAGATGTGCTTCATGTCAACAGCTCACACGATACTGCCATTTCCAGCGGTCATTTAGTCCGTCTGTCACCACCAGGGCTGCAGCGTTTTCAAGTGCAATTTTTTAATGAAACAAATATGACTCAATAGATTGTTAGAGAAGTTTTACCTTTGGAGTATCTTTTTATTTGAATTATTAAACAGGGCAAGCAATTTCTCACTCAAGGAATGCTGCTGCTGTTATATAAAGGCTGAAGATACCAAAGAAATTGACAAAAAATAAGGAGGTCTGGTCTCAGCAGAAGACATGTGCTAGAGTCGGTTCACAGCGGAAGCAACACAACCAGAGATTCACAGCGTTCACATGGTTTTATACCAAGACAAACATACGATAGCTCCCCTCAGCATCTGCCACGGACCATGGTGCCAGCAGATACGTTTGCTTAGACCTTCAAACAACCACTACATGAAGTGGAAAAGTTCTTGTGCAGACTCTTGTATCGAAGAGCTCAGTTTTGCACACACACACACACACACACACACACATACTCATAATTGCACAAAAAGTTCCATAATAATAAGATTCATAATACAGACCTTCATTTCGTTTGTTGATAGATCTCGCAGCCCTAGTGACGGCAGACGGTTGCAGGCTTTCTGAAGGTGTTACTTTCATTTTAAGAACCCTGGTTTTTTTGTTTTGTTATATTTTATTTTAAATTTGTACACGTTTATACTTTGGGATTTACCAGTTCAGTGCCGCTGTCTGATCCTCTTTGTTGTATGTTTTGTCAGAATGTATTTTCTGACGCATGTGTAACTTCATGTATGTATTGATTTGTTTATTTGTAAATATTAGTTTGATTTTTACACACACATAAAAATCAAACTACCGTCTAATCCTGCTCGTTCTAAAGGAAAAGAAGATATGTGTCACACTATTTTACTAAGTACCTAGATGTTTTTAGATGAATAAAATCGTACCAAAACCGGTAAAGCATATGTGGAAAAATGTTTTTATGTTGGACAGTTCTATACTGTCCAACAAGATGATATAATATGCAGCTCACTCAGGGAAAAGGGTCTACACTTTAAAAACAGATTGGTTTCATTTCACCAGTTTGTTGGTTTTTTGTTAATATAGTTGTGGTGATGTGTTGCACCCGTCTGTAAATAGTTGCATTTTCAACCAATTGTTTATGGTGTGTCAAACCAGCAGATGTCTTGCCCAAAGGCACATATCAGTTTGGCACTTTGCAGCCATCCCACTGAGGCACTGAGGTGTTCCCAGATTTCTCCCATCTCAGTACTACCCAAGCCATGTTCTGCTTAGCGTCTAAGCTTTGATGGGTTCAGACTTGGTTGCTCTATGATAGACACAATTTGTAAAAGGGAATGTATGCAGGTATTATGATTGTGTTTTCAGTCAGTCCATTTTGGTGTATATTGATGTATATATGAGGGCGACAGTAGCTCAGTTGGTAGAGCACTGGCCTTTAAGCCTGAAGGTCGTGGGTTCAAGCCCACCACGGAACCTTCTCCACCGACTCCCACTGATGTCTGCTGTTGTTGTGTCCTTGGGCAAGACACTTAACCCCACTTTGCCTGAAGCCCCTGCTGAAAAAAATCAAGGCTGCATTGTCACTGACGGAGCAGCCATCCTCCTGTGGACTCACCACCTGCAGGCGGATCAGTGCGGGGCTGGTTCTCAGTGAATTGTGTGCAGCTTTGACTGCCACCCCCTGACCTAGAAATGGATTAAAGGGAAGAAGATGTATGGATGATTTATATATATTGTCAATCTTCATATTGGTTTAACTGGTTGGCCAACAACAAACAGATATTTTTATCATAGAATAAATTTACCAATTGAAGCATATAATGTATTTTTTATTCAAATTATGAAAATTACAAACAATTCTTTTGTTAGACCGAAGGACAAATGCTGCTGCAGTTATAGGAAAAGCTAAAGATACCAAAGAAATTGACAAAAGATGCAGAGGTCTGGGATTGTAGATGAGATTATAGTTTTGTAACCAATGTGGTTTTAAAGTGTAGGGGTGGATCAGATTTGATAACATATTATTCTATGCACCGTGTTAGTGTTAGTGAAGATGATCTCTGAAACAGTTGTGACAGTGAGGAGAACGCAGTCAAACAACTGACTGTTTTCTTTGTTGTATCTTAACATTTTCACAACTTGTGTTGGGAATTTGGGCACCACCAAAGACATTGATTTGATTGAAAGCCGGAGGTGAAGCTACAGAGAAACAGGAGGCTACTTGCTTCCATTTTGAGACAGGGCTGCGGACCAAAGCTTGCCAAATGTTTGACGTTTGCTTGTTGTCCATACATTTGTGTTAATGCCTTGATTTCATAAAACTGTTGAAACATTTTGAACATTTTCACTCAAAATGTTTCCACATATGATGAGAACTGTCTTTACCAGTTGCTCGCCATCATTTGACTCTGTTCCATTTTATTTTAATTTAAATCACACTCACATCTGTGTCATGGTAAATGAAGGACTGGAGATTTACTCATGAACTGAACGATGATGTTGTGATTGACGCTGTATTAATACAATATGTCTGTCTTTTTCCCAATAAACAATCATCCAACATAAATATCATTTACATTGTTTTTTTTCACTGTGTCATTGTCTGTTGTGACATAGGGACAAAAGGATCAGGTTGGTACTTGGCTACGCACCGTCTATATATCCACACTAGATACAAGGCTGTTGTAATATACTAGACTTCTTGTGTATTTTTTGACAAGCAGAATATGTGCATGTTCATTCCTCAGGTAAGACTGTTTGTGTGTGGTTTGACATGAGTGGCTTTAGTGTGTGTGTGTGTGTGTGTGTGTGTCTGCACAGCCATGTGTGTGCTGCTCTGTAAAGTGTGTTTGCTGATGCAGGGCCCAGCACCACATGTCAGGAGGACTCCTGTGCCAACATGGGCATCTGCATCCAGCAGTGGGAGAACTACACCTGCGACTGCTCCATGACCTCCTACACAGGGACCCAGTGCAACGACCGTGAGTCTTACACCAAATACTCAAAAACATACTTTTACTAAAGTCCTAGAACTTCATGTGGTCGTGACAAAGGCTTATTGTTGAAAATAATGAATGATTTTAACATACAGTACACTTAATACTATAATATTCGACATTTTTATGTGTGTTGTCTGTCACGTAAGCAACTTTTCTAGAGAAGTGAAAATTATGAATTTTAGGAGAACAAAATCATAAATCACAGCTTCAGGAAAGAGCATACAATGTTACTTGAATATAAAGTCTGCAATACCAGTATCAGCTCTATGAATGTACTGGTGGGAATCTGAACCCTGGACGGTGAACCTCTCGCCTACTGCTGTTGGGGAGGGGACGGGTTCTGTGACTGTTGTTTGGATTTTGTGAACTACAAACATTTTATTTTATCGAAAAGACCACAGACCTTACTCTTTTATTTCACCATTTTCTTTAAACGTGAGATAGATACAGTCAAACCTGCCTATTCTTTTGTTTACACCACAGCTGGGACCACCTACATCTTTGGGAAAGGAGGGGGCCTGATCACCTATAACTGGCCGGCCAACGAGCGGCCCAGCACCAGGACAGACCGGCTGACCGTGGGCTTCAGCACTTCCCTGAAAGAGGGGATCCTGGTTCGGATCGACAGTGCTGCGGGTCTAGGAGACTATCTCATGCTACACATAGTAAGTTAAGGATTCTTGAAAGTATCAATCATTAAGATTCAGTCAGTTTTAGGATGTCATTGTGTGGTCAGCAACAAGGTAAAATCGGCGTGACGTTCAACGTCGGCACGGTGGACATCACTGTGCAGGAGAGCACCATCGCTGTGAATGATGGGAAGTACCATGTGGTGCGCTTTACCAGGAACGGGGGCAATGCCACGCTCCAGGTGGACAACTGGGCTATTAACGAACACTTCCCAACAGGCAAGTCCCAACGTAATCAATCAATCAATAAAAAAGTACCACCGCACTAATGAGTGTTAAAAGTATGAAAAGCCAGTCTGTATAAATAGGCTCTGAGACTGTAAGAGCAGGCCCATGGACTACTTTGAAGAATGTTATTGACTTTTGATGTTTTGGTTTTTCCAGCAACTAGTGATTCGGAACGCTACCAAATGGCAAATAAGAAAATTCCTTTTAAATACACTCGACCTGTAGAAGAGTGGCTTCAAGAAAAGGGTAATTGAAAACCACAATCCTTCAGTCCATTTGAAAAAACAAGTGTAAAATGTGTGCTTGTGCTTCTGCCAGGTCGTCAGCTGACCATCTTCAACACCCAGGCAACCGTGTCCATTGGGGGCAGTGACCGTGGTCGACCGTTCCAGGGCCAGCTCTCCGGTCTGTACTATAATAGCCTAAAAGTTCTGGGCATGGCAGCCGAGGGAAACCCCCACATCCGCATCAATGGCAGTGTGCGGCTGGTGGGGGACGTCTCGAGTGCCGGCTCTGGGAGGAGCACGGCCACGCCCCCGGATGGATCCAGTTCATTCATGGAGACCACCACCATGATGTCGACTACAACTGCCCGCAAACACCGCTCATCCTCCACCACCCAGGTGAGAGGCCCTGGAAACCAACTCTCACATGAGAGTCTTTGAATATTAGATAAGATATGAGAACCTTTATTCGTCCCACAGTGGGGAAACTTCAATGTTGCAGCGCACATACAGGACAGTAGTAAGAGCACACAGGGAGCACACAACATATACAATATAAGTAGCTGCTATTTGTCTTAGCTGACTGTAAATGCTTCAATATCATATTTCTATCTTTCTATATACAGTATATATTGCAAAGTTATAAACATATAGGGCAGGATAATAAGTAGACAAAGTTACATTTAGTGGACATTCTGATATATGCTATAAACCTGGACTTGAGTTCAGCTGAAATAGTGGATATAGTTGGTGCCATATGAACCAACTCGGGCTCTGAGGAGCACAGGGACTGGACTTCTGTTAGTGCCAAGAGTCGGAACTAGACATGAGGAGGCTGCGTTTCAGATTCATGCAGCTAGAGTCTGGAACCGTCTTCCCGAGAATGTGAGACAGGCGTCTACTCTAGCAGTTTTTAAAACTGAACTGAAAACAGTTCTTTTTAGCTGTGCATACAAGTGAATGATTTTATATTTGTTTTTATCTTTAATCTTTTTAATGCGCTATGACTATTTATGATTGTAATCCCTTGTGTGATTTTAATGTTTTACGGTTTTTAACTACTTGTGTGATTTTATATATCTTGTGCTCTTAATCTGTCTTTTTATGTTTACTTAAATTCTAATGTTTGATGATTTATGCATGATGTTATATGGGTTGTGAGGCGCTTTGCGTTGCCTTGTGTAGGAAAGGCGCTCTACAAATAAACGTTGATTGATTGATTGATTGATATCGTTTTAAGAAATGCACTAGAAGTCTGTGAAACAATACATTAAAGTTGAGTTACCTAACCTCAAAGTCTATGGTCGTCCATTGCTCTCTAAACGGTTCAATCACTAGTTTTAACATGCATGTATGTTTGAGGTGATGAGGTGTATTTCAGTCAAAGGAGTTGATCTACAAAATTATGAAATAGAAGTAAAGAACTTCTATACTTGGAAGAAAATTGGATAATGCTTAATAATTCTGATTGTTGAATTTCAGGTTTGGTGCTACATGTTACCTTCGTTGGTCTATGAGAATCTATTCTGTATAATGTGTCATCTTTGGACATATTGTCACAGAAATAGGGGCTAGGCAGTATAAGTCACAACTTCAGCCTACACCCCTTTCGTTCAGGCCTGATTTAGCACTGGAATTCTTAATGTGTACACATTTTATTATTATTATTGTTGTAAAAAATATAAGACCTTTGAAAACAAAACTAAGATCTGATGCATATTTTGATAACATTTATGGACATTGATCATCTGCGCCTTATGGACCAATACAAATGTATTATCTGTTTTATTTCTTGTGTTTGAACTGTTTGATTCTCTGATATGTGTTGCCGAGTTCAACGGTTTTGAAGAAATAAACTACTACTACAACTAGGTACCAGCTTTAAACGATATTGTTTGTGTTTGCTGCAGCATACCACAGATGACATGGTGTCATCGGCAGAGTGCTCCAGTGATGATGAAGACCTGGATGAGTGTGAGAGCAGCGTTGCAGGTGGGCAGTCGTCCCTTTCTCTGCATGTCTGTGTGTCTGTCCATACATTCTCATCAGAAACTCACAATTGATACAACCCCATGCATTCACTGTGCCAAAGGATCAACCTGTTTCATATTGATTTATTCAATATTAAACTAACACAGTTTGAGAAAGACATTTTTCATTGAAAACAGAAATATTGTTATCGTCAAAGCAGAGATTAGAATTGTAGGTGTTTTTGCGGATGTTGTATTTGCACTTCCTTCAGCTTTTGAATGTTGAAGTTCTTAAAAACAGGTGAAGGACGTCCCACTAGAAACACACCTTTAAGGGCATCTTTGCTTCTTGAAAAGAATGAGGGAATATATAAAACTATCCTTTCATTAAGGTTATAGCCTTCTCTAATTGGCTGAAACATGTATCACAGAATGTTCTTTATTTATATAATAAGTAAAAGAACAGTCACACATTCTGTAGTAGCGTAGGCATCAACATGAAATTAAACCTCTGCTCCTTCACCATATGAATTAGTATCCAGTTGGGGAAACCTTGTATTACTATTTAAAAAGATTAAATTCTTCGTTAGTCTTTAGCTCTACACACACTATAGAGCTAGTTGCACATCAGAACAATTCAGCAGTGGGCCAAACATTCATGAAACATATGAAAAATTGATGTTGATTTATCCATCTATTCTACCTCCTCAAACTCACTCTAGTTAGTTCAACTGAAGATGAAAATGATGAGGCCAACGCCATTCAGCCATTTGTTAAAATGACATCACTGACTAACTTCATCTGACAGGACAGTGGTGGCTCTGGTTCAGAGTGGTCCCAGAGCTTTACACTCGCACATGTGCACCTACAGAAAGTATCCATAATGTCCACAACTCCACTCAAAAGCAGACATCTGTGTTTAGGCCCTGAATGTGTTTCCAGAACTAAACTATGGCTTACAGCTGATAGCATGGACAGGTTTTCTTCTCTCACCTTTCATTTGTGCATGTACTGTTGATTTCTCAGACTTGGCCCTGGCCTATTGAACTGGACTGCAGTGTGTGTGATGTTCAAAGCACCGATGAGTGGAATACCCACAGTTTATACCAAAGTCACATCATTATATAAAGAGACAACAGCCTGAGACTGAGACGTGCTGTCACACTGATCAAAATCATCTCAACATGTGCTTTAACGACGACAAACTAAATGTAGCCACTGTGCTTAGTCTAGAGATTATACTATCAGAAACTCTGTATTTATTTACATCTATATCTTATCATTATTATCATTATTATTATTAATAATAATATTATGAGTTTGACTGATGTCAGATGATTTGTTTTGAATACATACTGTAGACCTTGACGGCCAATCAGCTGTTGATTTATTCTTGGACTTAATAATAATGATGCATACTACTTTCATACAAGTTGATTCTTTTTTGTACTTGACAGTTTTGATTGCTGGTGCGCAGTCCTCCACAGAGTGGTCTTTAAAAAAGAACTCGTTTCTTTTAGAAAACCAAACTGTTGTTTGGCACTTTACAGCCTCAGCCGCCCCTGTGTGGCTCTGTGTTTCCAGAGGTCTCCCATCACAGCTCTGACCAGCTCTACTCAGCCCAAAAAATATAAAGCACCAATTATGATTATGTTTACTGTATATACAGCATACATTTGGCACTAACACATCCATGGCCTTAATTCACTACTGACTGTAGAGTGTGGAGTGAAGTCTTTACCTTCAATACTCAGAATATTTGTCTAAGTTGTATTCAGCAATTCATTAATGTATATATTATGATATTTGACTCCAGCCTCAGTGGAACCATCAGCAGCAGAGGCTCAGTCCTCCTCAGGGCATGAGACAGTGTGAAACCATGTTTCAGCCTCTTTGGAGCAAAGGTTTTAATAATCTATACATGTTTATTGGGACTGTGTGTGCTCCACTGGTGGTTTGTGCTCTCATCTCAGTTTAGTCAATGTGTTTTTCATAAGATAAGATAATAAACTCCTCTTTTCCTTTTTTCTGTTCTGTAAAACAAATTGCATAAACCACTGCTGTGGTTGCGCATGTTGATGGTTAATTATAGTAGCACTCACATACATCAATTTTTTTTTTTTATGTATTTGTTTTTCTTCATTTTTGTGAATGTGTTATTTTCTAAGTCAATGTTGCTTATTTCATCCATGATAATCTGTCCCAGAGTTCACATATTCGTATATACATACACATACCTGGGACGGTCTCAGACTGGAGAGCACTACATAGGCCTCATACAAAGCAGACAATAACCAGCCCCCATTTTCTCTTCACGTTTGTGCGCCATAGATTTATTTTGTTGTCTTATTTTCCCTAAATGCAACTTACTTTAAGCATGCTTCACATCTCGGTCTAACTAACATGGGATCTAAGGCTGCTTCTCTCACCCTTTGTGTGTATGTGTCTGCTTGCAGTGTACAGAAATTTTTACATTATATTTATGATTTGTTTTCTTTTTTTATTCTGGTTCAATAATGTTACAGGGGTTATTTATCCACTTAAGATATCTCACACCTGGGATGTGGAACTACTTGAATATTTGGAGTGTTTGCGTCTGTGTATTGTACTAATCCTCACGATAAGCAGTTCCACGTGCCCTCACTGACCGTTTTCTATAGTGACAAGAGAAAGGACTGTACACAGGGGTTGCATGTGAAGTAGTTGCAGTTTAGGCTGTGTCAGACTGTTGGATGTTAGACTCTGGTGTTTCTGTAGATGGGCATTCCTATGCTCATTGTTTGTATATCCCATCCCTTCCTTACAGCTAAAACCGCTAATGCTGCCCGACCGCTTCGTACTGCCTTTACATGGACATGGCAACTGACACAATCGCTCATCCTCATCTCTCTCATGTCCTCTGTACTCCATTCATAGGCCTCGCCCTTCTTGCATTTTTATGATTTTGATTTGAACAAGTATTTTCCATTTTACACAAGTACAAATCACAGTTAAAGCAAAAACCTGTATAGATTTTTGATTCTGCTGAAGACTAGTTATCAGCGAAGAATTGTAGACTTTTGTACACTCAGCATTTAGCAGGCAATCCCCCTGTTGGTTTTTATGTATGTGGTGTGGATGTTTGTGTTGTTGCTTCACTCTGTCATCTCTCTAAGGAGACAACACACTCCTCTGAGCCTTTTAAAAAGGTCAAACGGTTCAAATGTAATAGCTAATATCTTACAAACCACTTTTTTCTTCACGATTTTTTCTTCATGCCAAAAACTGTGGCCCACTGTTGCTGTAAGTTTTCAATAAATGCCCTCTTTATGTCCGTCCGTTACCAGATGATGCAGTTTGTGAATGCCTTTTCGGATGCGGTCCACTGCCCACTTGTACCGCGGAGATGTTGTTTCTTTGCTTGGAATGTTCCTCAATATGATGTGAAAGAGTATTACCAAATTACAGATGTTTTATCACTCAAAAAGCTTATCTTGTTTCTCCTTAATCACAAAATAGTGACATACTGTGGAATATTCTCGGCAAAACAACATTTACATGGATGCAAGCAGAAAGCGGGCTCGTCACCTGGAAAGCTGCATAGTGCGCCTGTGGACAGAGCTTTAGGTTTCCGGAAGTAAAGTTCATGCAAATATTTTGAGAAGTAATTCTTGTACAGTATGTAAATTGTGTTTGGGGGGTATATGGGGAGTAGTGGCCACAGGATCTATATTAATAGGCCTCATACTGTATATAACACATATTAACCGAGACAGATGAATGAGGGGGTTTCCACATCATTGCAACTGTTTTATCCCACCCTTTTTTCTTTTCTTTTTTTTTTTTTTTTACAAATTAAGACATTTATATATATATATATATTTTTTTAACTAATATTATTTTACTTAGTTTATGTAGTTAGTCAGTCATTAATCTCCAGCAGAGCATAGACTACACTATAATGTATGTTTCTAAATCATTAAAAAAAAGACAAGGTTGGGAATTTTAAACAGTGAATTTTACTTCCGGAAACCTAAGCTACGTCCATTTTGCTGCTACATGAACAATTTTCAAAAAAAGCTCTGTGACACATTGGCTTCATGTGGCACTACGACGACATCTTCTGATTGGTCCCCTGCCGACCAATCAGAGGGTTGATAATCATTTGAAAACTTCACAAAATGCAAAATCTAATATCGCCTACATATACTCTTCTGTGATGTACTCTGTGTCGTTAAGTCTTGTAGAAGTAAGGCTTAAGTGCATGAACAGAAGGCTCTGTGTCAATGTGGTAGAATCTTGTGAAATATTGTGATTTTTGCGCTTGTGTAATTGTAATAACATTGCTTTTAAAAGTTGTGGTTACCGTAGATACCTCAAGGCCGTGTATCCAGACAAGTGGAGCTGTCCCTCTCTACACAAGACTTCGATGTTGTGTGTATGTTGTAGGCCGCAGTACAGTCACCCCAAGTTCTTTTGTCCTGGAATGGATTTGTATAAAGTCACTGGTTCATTGAGGACGATGGTGGTAGAGCACCGGAATGCATGTATTCTGCACGAACTAACACGGTTTCAGACTGCTTCTTTATTTACCCCGGTTTATGAGCTTGCATTTGTTTGTAGTGCTTTTTACAAGAGGCAAAAGGCTCAGAATTAGTATTATATGTATATAGGTGGGGAAACTTCAGAGAGTGAGAATATGGTTCAAAAGTCCAGTTTCTTCTGCAATTCAATGTACAAGGTGAAACTAATATATGACTCATTTTATGGCTCAAAGCTCAGAAAATGTTAATCATCAAAGTGATAATAAACAAAGGCTTGGCAATTACATGGAATATAAATATAAGGCAACCATAAAAATTGCATGAATTAGGCCAATCAATTTAGTGCATTTTGACTGTTTTAAAACAAGATTAACCAATCAGACAAGCAAAAATGTCTTGCTTTAAAATACACAAGAACACTTTTAGAAAAGTATCTTCCGGAATGAGAAAAACTTGTCCCATTGGATGTGCAAATCGTGTTTTAGGAAAGTTGAAAATAAATAATGGCTGCACAGTCCCTACGACACCACCAGAGTGAGTGGTAGACCTTGCTTTTTGTTTTGCTTTTTTACGGATTCCAAAATTACAGGCTGCAAACTCAGCCATGTGATTGTAAAGAACAATATTTCACCCAAGAAATTGCCAAAACTTATTTACGGGAAATACAAAAAAAAAAAAACGTGTGGTGTAAAGTGTGGTGTTACATTACTATGACATGTTTTTTTTACCAGAAGTTCCTGATGTTAGCGTGGATGGATGTAAAAACCACTCCAGGTCTGTTTATGATAAGGAACAATTTTGTAGGATGGTTTAAAAACTCAAAAGTCAAGTTGACTCTCATCAATTTAACCTTTTATAACCATAATATTTAATTATTTTTGCGGTGAAATGTTAAATGAACTTTGGAACGTCATTCTAATTACCCGAGTTCCAGCCGAGTGTCACCAAACCTAAACAGAAGCTAGTTCAGTTGAAACTATTTCTGGGCCTTTTGACTTCCAATTATCCAAATGTGATGTCTGTGTATTCAAACAGCTATAGTCGCTTTTACAGCCCTGGGTAATCTACTCAGCCCCCAGTTATTATTAGTATTAGTATTCAAAGATTCTCCAAGATTTCAGCTATGGGCCAAAACATTTGAAAGATGGAGTGGTAAAAGCGTCTAGTAGATGGGCATCAGTAAAAGCGTCTATGAGCGTTTATATGTTAGAAATCTAACCTTTCTGCCCCTTGTGTTTCCGTCCAGGAGGTGAATTAGCCAACACAATATTTCAGGATCCATTAGCACCCCTCGTTTTAGCTCCCTGCACCCTCCACCCGTCACTCAGCCCACCACTCACCCCTCCCATTAATGAGACCACCAAAGAGCCAAGGCCAGTGCGGTGCGGGCCCCGTGCTTGTCGGACCGAGGCAGCGATGATTGTGATGATGATGGCTCCTATGGTTCTGGCAAAGCGTTCAAGTCAGACCTGCTCCCTTCTGACGATAAGAAGATTTGTACACCTCACGTAAGACCTGGTCTACGTCTTTGAAGTTGGCTCCAAAGCTCCCAAGACTTTAGACCTAACTATTCTTCTACTGCCACAAACAGCCGACCAGAGCCGCACCACCACCACCTCTGCCTCCGCCGCAACCTCCTCACAACTGAAATGAATAGCCTCCAGTTCAGCCTGACCTATTTTGCTTCCATTGCCCACACCCTTTGTGGTACAGAGCACAATGCGAGGGGCGCTTTAATAATCTCCCCCATGTCCCATGATATACCCACAGCACTCCCCACAGAGCCGGGCGTCAGGCAGCTCCCAGGGCCCTCAGAGGTGGTTCGAGAGTCTAGCAGCACCACAGGGATGGTCATCGGAATAGTAGCCGCTGCAGCCCTGTGCATCCTCATCCTGCTGTACGCCATGTACAAGTACAGGAACAGGGACGAAGGCTCCTACCAGGTGGACGAAAGCCGCCACTACATAACCAACTCCGCTGTCCAGAGCAATGGCAACATCATGAAGGACAAACAGCAGAGTCTGAAAGGCAGCCACAAGAAGCAGAAGAACAAGGACAAAGAGTACTATGTGTGATAATGCAGCAGACATTCTTTGAATGGACCTATGGTCACACTGAACCTTCACTGATGCACTGTAAAAAAGCACACTTACTATTGTAAGCATAATCTGAGCTCAATAGTACCGTAGAGACTTCCTCTGCTCAGACATGGATATAGCAGTCGATCATGCCCCACCACGTCCTCACTGACTTTTACCACTATATCCTCACCATCAAAGCACATTTTTGTGAAATTGTTGAAAGGCTCATGTTCTTGATCATTTTTGGCATGTAAGCAGCATATTGTGCTTAACAAGAGTGGGTCAGGACACAGTCATTGTAGTAGTCAGATGTGGTTAATGCATAATACAGGTGTGGTGTCAAAACAATAGAATTGTATCAAAAGAAATATATAAGTAAATTAACTTTGGCATTAATTCACTTTAGTCCCAGTGTCGGACCAAAAGTCTTTTTGGAAATGATCTAAAATATTGTACAGTATAGAGTATGAAATATTTATTTTCAATCACTTTTGATTAAATGCATATCAAACTGTTCTTCTTAGATCAGAGCCTTTACTTTGTTTGAACTGCCAAATGTGTAAAAGAGTAAAAAATGCACAGCAAATGGTGGTTTATCTTTTAGAAAAAATAATGTATGTTGGATCAATGCCTATAACTCTTTTTCTACAGAAGCACTGTTATCAGATATGTACACACAATGTAGAGTGTTATTCTATCTGCCGTCACAGTAAACTGTGTCAAACCACACCTTTGTTTACACAATTTATTACCTGCCATTGTACTTTCAAAAGAAAACATGTTAATTGGGGCAGACATAAACTATTTCATGGAATATCATACATTTTATTAAAGATTATTGTTAGCTTAGAGGTATCTTTTTTTCTTAAAGTTGTGTGAATATTAAATGTTGAGTTCAAAACATTCAGGGAGGCAGCTTTGACCCAATATCTGAGGCTGTCAAGCTTCATGACTACTATTTTAGCCACATCTGCCCTGGGGCAGAATGACAGAAATGGACCAGAGAAGTGGTCACAAGACCCTCCGATCCTTCACACACACAAAGATTCAAACGTCTTGTGCAGTGACAGTTCAGTCGTCCTGCAGCCGTCTGAGACCATTTCCCTCCAAGTCCCTAGACTGATTCAACATCTTTCTAAAATGTTTGACCCTTCACCACCACAATGTGTAACTGTGTGTCAGCTTTCACTTGAGTTTAAATCTCCATCCAAATCAGTGTATGAATAACATCTGTTTTTATGAGTGGACTACTTTTGGAGGACAAACAAAAAGAATGGTGTTTACAAATCCTTTTCCAGGTGATACAGACCAGACACAGTTCCATCCCGTGATGGAACAATAGTGTTCAGGTTGTGCTTGTTCATCCCACTTCCCCAAGACAGGAAAGGGCCAAAATGTCATTCTACTTTGTGGTTGAAATTAGTTTTCACTTATTGTACCACATGGTTTTACATTTGGATGTGCGTGTCTCTACACACTTCCAGGCTTCTCCCAACTTCTCCCCAGTTTTGTCTTTTATTATTAGCTGACTTTGCCATTGCTTAACTTTTTACTTGCTTCTTTGACTAAAAACACTTCAGATTCAGATTCATTTATTTGCCATTTGCAGTAAAACCACATAGGAAAAACTGTGCAAGACTACCCTTGCACTTGAAGTATTCTTAGTCAGAACTGTATAGTTCTTAGATAGGCTGGATTCAGTCTTCTCTTGATCATCAATGCCGACATAAGCCTATTTCCCTGATCGGGGTTCTTCTCTGTCCAACTGCTTTTTTTTCACCAGAGGAAAGTTTTTGTCCTCTCATCCTCCACTTTGGTTTTCCGCAGTGTTCCTCATACGTTGGTGTTGCTGAGCTCATCGGTATTCATTTCAAATCTATTGTGGTGGTGTACAGAGTCTCACTTTCCTAATTGTAAGTTCATAACTTCATGTCACATCTACAGCCCATGTCTAAACATTGATTCACAATATAAACTTAAAAACTAATAAAACGGTGTCAACAAGGCATCTTTAAATTAGTCCTCTAAACTGTCCGACGTCCTGCTGGCCATAACTTTCAAATTTTTGTCAGAGTTCAAACTAGTCTTAAGACCAGTTGGTAGTATTGTCACTTACTTATGTATTCATTCAAAAAGTTGCATCGGTGTATTTTTTGTATGTGCTTTTTCAGTTGTTAGATATTTCTTGTAAGAAGAATGCATCGTATTTATACAGCGCTTTTTGTGACACCTAAAGATGCTTGGATCAACGTTACAGTGGAAAAAATCACACGTCATTGAGTTAAGGTGACTCTATAGTGACTTGGTAATATGTTTCTTTGAGAGGTATCTTGCCCAAGGCCAAAAAACAACAGTGTGGCTCTCACCCTCTTTGATGTTCCCAGAGGTCTCCCATCACAGCACTGACCAGGCCCTGCCCTGCCGAGCTGTTGTTGATTATTTGCAGTGTCTGTTTGAGCGTGACCGTATTTGATTTACACCTACAGTTACTTAAATAGATACCTCTGAAAAGGCCCTGGTGCATATGTACAGTCTCTCATAAGCACCACATTAGGCCCCACTTCTGTCCGGACCGGTCCCATCACCAAAAAATTAAACATTTAACAGTGACATCTTTTTAATAGGCGTCATCTAACCCCCTGTCTTTCCCAAATCCTTCACATCATGGTCCAGTCATGTGATCACGAAGGACTTGGGTGGTATTTATGGGATCTGTCTACAATCATTATTTAAATTAAAACATATCCAAACACATTTCATTTTAGTTATAGAAGTTAAATATAATACAAGAATCAGAAAGGCCAAACCAGTGGAAAGAGATGAAAAGTGTGTTGTGGGATGGAGACAGCAGAACATTTTTCATTTTTCTTGGATCAGAAGCGCATCCTCCAAAGGTGAGTGACGTGTGTAAAACTAATGTGTATGTTTATCAATAGGGAAATATTGCATATTCTAATATAAACTATTGAATAGACTAAGTATGTTTAACTTGACCATATGCTCTCTCTCACTTTACCATCAGGGGACCTTGGTTCACTTATATTTCTGTATTCAATATTTAACGTTTTCATTGTGCAGAGTTATAAAGCTCAGTCAAAATCTACTTCTGTGAAGTCACCTCTGGGCCTTTGGCCAGGTTCATGAAATTGCCATCACTTTTGCCCGACCAATCACAGAAAATGTCAATCTTTATTTGAGAGGAACCATGCACAGCAACATTAAGCTCGACGACAGAAATGTTCGCACCAGCTGTCAGACAGGTGTTTTTCCATTTGCAGTCCCCAATATTTGAAATCAGATCAATATCAACATACAACATAAATAGTGATTGTCATCCACTTAAATCTATTTTTTTTTCAGACAAAACAGAGATTACTGGAATTCACCATGACCCTTATTGATGATCTTGTTTTGAGTGCTTCTTTCATTCATTAGCCTTCTTGTATGTAATGAACGCTGCAAGACTGAGATACTCCCACTATTTGTTGTTATTGACATAAACTATTAAAGTATGAGCGTAATAACGGATGAAGTACATAAGACAAGCGCTCCTCTGACTGTGTTCTTTACATGGACTGTTCTGTAGGATACAGGCTGTACAGCGCTGTATGACCAGCAGAGGTCGCCAAAACTCAAAAGATTCATTGAGACAACTCCTTTCAACTTGTGTAGACGAGAGCAGCGCTTCTAAATAAAGGGATAACATGAGAGTAAATATGAACAAACCTGAAGAATAAATTAGAGATACCGCTGGAAAAGTGGTCTATAGCCTATCGAGTTAGTTTGTTTAAAATCGCTCTTTTATCAGTATTGTCCATTATTGCCCATTCTACCAGCAGGCATTAGGCTCCAGTTGTTTCCTGTCCACAGAGTTCTAGTGCGCAGACGAGAGTGAAGCCGTCCTGACGCAGCAGCCTGTGGAGAGGGTTCGTGAACGCCTCCTCTGGGCGTGTGCGTGTGCGCGTATGCTCCTGGCTTTACCACACACACATACACACACATACACATCAGTGACAGCGCTGGGACTGTCTCTGTCATCTGTCACCTGCCCCGGACTGGGGCTGGCTCTTTTCTCCGCCTGTGGATGGACGGAGGATGGGAAACAAGCAGAGCTAGTGTGAACATCCAGAGGTCCAGAGCTACAGCAGGTCAGTGCACTGTTGTTAGCCTGTCACGGAGGCTGTTTGGAGACTGGACTGTAGCTGTGGCTAAAGACGTCATTTGTCCATTCTGCTTCTGTTCAGACGTGACTAAATGTTCAGCTCATGTGTGCTGTGATGGACGTGCTAGTGCAGTGTCTGAGTACATGCTATGAGCTAACAGCAGTTTGTATGTGCCTGCCATAGAACTACAGCTCTGTGGTGCCTGCTAGTCTGCTAGCGTTAGCCTCTTAGCTAAGTGCTCCGTGTGTAGTCCGCTGATGCTGGGGAGAGGGAGAGGGAGAGGGAGAGGGAGAGCTGACCCGGTGTGGTAGTAGTGGCACAGGACTAAACACCTGAGCTGAGGACCAGCCCAGAGCTGCTGCTGGACACGGACAGCCTCCTCCTGTTGGCGGCAAAGCTGCTGTTCTGACTGTGGGCTCTGTTCTGTGCAGGTTGAGCCCCACTTCATCTTAAGCAGTATCGAGGGAACCAGGACAAAGTGGAGATGCAGACTTTTCTCAAAGGCCGACGAGTCGGCTACTGGCTCAGTGAGAAGAAACTCAAGAAACTCAATTTCCAATGTTTCGCGGATATGTGCAGGTAATTTACTTAGTTTAACTACAGGGACACATGCTCATGCCAGGGCAGGCGGTATGCTCTGCTGCTGCATCTGCTTTATTAACAAGTGTTTTGTCCTGCTTCAGACCAATGTCGTTCAGAGTCTCATTTTATGTTGACATAGGTGTGACTGTGGCTATTGCAAAACCACTATCCTGTTTCTTTATGGCCCCCTGGTCATATCAATTTCCCTCTGACTCTACTGCCCCAGTCTGTTTTCTGTGAAAATGTAATGTTTTGTTTTTGTTTTTAAATAGCCGTTAATATCATTTTCCTTCATGTAATTCAATGACTGGTTAGTCTAACATAACTACAATTCTAGTTTAACTAAAACTATATTGACAGCTAAAATAAGTCCAAAGTTAGGTTCAAACCAGTCCCTCGAGGATTTTTCTTTCCTCTTGAGCCTGTGTCTCAAGGATATGTGTTTGTAACTTTATGGCAAAGCTGATTACTCATTGCTTGATTTAAAAAAAAAAAAAAAAAATCTTGATTTGTCTTAGTTTCCTCTTTAACAGTAGTAAAAGCACCACCCACTTTGGTGTAGAGTAGTCGAGCGTATAGCCAGACAAGCCAAACCTGTGAGCTTCTGTCTTTAAGATCAGCCTGTTTCTGTGTGTCAAAAATGTGACCAGGAACTTGCCCTGCCAGCTCTGTGCTCTGTTGTAACCTAGTTCTCCACAAATTAAGGAGAGGGATATAATCATAAAATTAGGTGTTCACCCAAACCAAATAAGTCCAATAAAACATTTCACTCACTCTTTCCCTGCATTCTTTGATACTGCAGCCTTTTACTGGGTTAAGGTTAGTGTGTTGTGATGTCATCTGAAACACAGTCGTTACCGTCATGAGCTCCTATCTGTGACACTTTATTCTGCTGAGCTTCTGCTCGTTTCTAAGCAACTGATCTTTGTTAGAAAAAAAGCAGTGTTGTGTTTGATTCTTTTACCTGTTCAACTTGACAATATTATCTTTCAAGTTTGACGACATTCCAGGTGTATTATTTTATACTGATTATAGAATATTATAGAATATTAATCATTATTATTATTTTCTGTCATTTACTTACTGTTACTGTGCTGTACTGACCATTGGTTTTATTTTTTTCACAGGAAAAGAGGAATTGAAGTTGTGCAGGTAGAACACAAACACACACACACACACACACACACACCTGCATTTTTATAACAGAGATATTCAATCCTATTGTCTGTTGTGTCAACACAGATGAAGCCCAGGCCTGGTGTCCCTGTATCCCTGTGTTAGCCGAGTGTTATTATGTAGATTGTAGTCTGACAGCCTCCATGTTGGAGCTTAGTGCTGATGGCATGGCTGTTTCAGAAGTCTCTGCTCTGTAATTATATTGGTGCTCCTGCGGCCCTGTTCAGCTGCATCTTTGTTAGGAGCTGTGTCTGTCAGAGGAAAAAGAAAAGCTTTCATTTAACCAATTTCAAAAGTGGTTTCTTTGTTGATTGGAGACGACTCAGAAGAACGTGAATAGTAACACGGGGGAAAGTAGTCATTAGGACTAGTAATTGCGCGCAAAGTAGAGGATCTGGCTTATCAGACTATCATTGTATATCAAGTAACACAATATACTCAAGTGCTTTTCAAGTGAGCAAAACATAAACAAAGTCTCATCCAAGTTGTCACATAATGTGTCACATAGTTTAAATTAAACTATGTGACACATTTGTGTAAATTAAAATGAATATACTTCTTATATTTATACAAGTCCCAATGCTTTGTAACTGCTGTTAACTGCTGTCGATTGCGATACTGTATAATATGGCTCACCATTATGCAATATATTGTTACAGCCCAAGTAGTTATTTGGTTTTTGCGATGTATATATATTTTTTTCCTCTGCTTTTTAAACGGCTCTTTCAGTCAAGATGTCGACCTCACCCCCACAAATCCAGATATCTGTCTTTTAGTTTCAGTGCAGTAGATAAATGGTTGTATCAGTGAAAGGGCGAGGACAGGACAGAAGCACATTTATCTAAGTGAGTAACCTTGTCCGTCATGAGCGCAAACACCACACAACCTTCAGGACCCAGACTTATAATAATAATCTCCATTTGCACATAGTGTGAACTTGTGGAGTCTTATTTTCCTCTTCAATAATGGTCGTTGGACGTGAAAGTTTGTGTAAATATAGTTTGACACAGAAAGACAGGTTTATCTGCTTAGTGTAGGCAAGTTTGACTCTTTTTTGGTTTTTTTGTTTTTTTGTCATTGAGTATCTTGTTTTTGTTAAGTTTTGCAACTTGGCATGTACGAAATGAAAATAAACTAAATTTCGTACTTCAAATCACTGCTGAAAACCCACCTGCTTCTATAACTGTTTTCTATTAACCTGTCCTCTTGTAAAGCGTCTTTGAGTCTCCGAAATAAAGCGCTATATAAGTGAAATTATTGTAATTTATTATCAATTAAATATCAGTTACTTTTCAAATTGTGAAGAGAAACTTTTTAAAGACTTGCCCTGGTTAGACCTGCCCACGCTCACCTCCGCAGCCTCCTGATCCATTCAAATCCTTGAGGCCCCTTGCCATTGGTTTATCAATTCTCCTCCGGCAAATCTTGCTGATCGTACTTCTGCCAAAGTTGGGGACTAAATATATTATTGTTGAAAATGCTTGCGTATCCCCTGCTTGGAAATATACATGCTTTTAAAAATGAAATCTTATTTAAGTTTCTGACATCACCTTTAAAGACTATACTATATTGTGTGTGCACTGTTGGCTTGGTGTTATTATCGGCCCTGTCCCTGGCTCCTCTCGGGAAGTGCATTAGCCGGTTTGGACCACACAGTAGACAAGTAGTCATTCTAACCCTAAAACACAAACATCAGAACAAATGGACATTCAACAGCGCTATCAAGTTACACATTACATTGTGGGAGAGCCCTCTGCGATTGGCTCATTTTTTGTAGTTGTACAGTAGAGGAAAGCAGAACAGAAACATTGTCTTATTTTGTGTGTCTCGCTACATTCGTTCCTCTCATGACAAACATGAGAAACGCAAAACTTAACTTTGTGCATGAGACAAGCCCAAAGCTTGTTTGTCCTTTTGCTGTAGCCCACATCTCCCCAGGGCTTAGCGACCCTGAGAGGGCAGAGCAGCATCAAAGTTAAAAATATTCAAACATGGCCTCTCTGCTCAGTCCGTCAGCAGACAACTCCACAGGGCCTCTCCAGAGCATTTAGCAAAGACATCACAGACTCAGTTCTGTCTGAGCTCCAGGAGCAGCGCCGCTCACTGCTTTTGTTATTCTACATATTTTGCTTTTTATTCTGATTTTTTATTATGCTAAAGATGGAAATATTATTGTTAATTTTGCTTCTTCTTTATGCTAAAGTTGTATATTTTACATGTACTTCCTTATTATGCTAATGCTAGAGATGTTATACTTAATTCTTCCTCTTCATTATGCTAAAGTTCGAGATTTTTAGTTTTGCTTCCTTATTATGCTTAAGTAATCGATTTTATATAGCTTCCTTATTATGCTAACGCTAGAGATTGTACACTTTCTTCTTCATTGTGCTAGAGTTGGAGATATTAGAATTGTTTTCTTATTATGCTAAATCTAGAGATTGTTTATTTGCCTCTTTATTATACTAAAGCTACATATTTTCTGTTTAATATATTTATTGATAGGCAAACACAAATATACATTTACTTGCTCAAATATCAAAATGTATAATATACATTTTTTATAGAAAACAATAAAAAGAAAACACAACCTCAGATGTCACAAAGTGCAGTAGATGAGACAAAATATATCGGCCCATACGGCTGATAGACACAACAAAATAATAGATTATAATAGTACAATAGTCAGCAGTAAAGCTACATATTTTATACCTGCTTCTTTATCATGCTAAAGCTAGAGATTTTATACGTGCTTCTTTTTCATGCTATACTTGCGAGACACTGAAATTTCCCCACTGTGGGACAAGTGGATCCTTTATCCTGGGATAAAGGATCTCTTGGTCTTAATTATGCTTTACTCTCTGGGAGTGCCCTCGCATACAATCTACAACATGCAAACACATGTCTATACAGTCGGGTGGACAGCACAGGGGAGCGTGTCGATGCAAGCTCGGTCTGAAGACGAATATTTGAAGAAACCTCTCCTCTGTGTTGTACTATGGGCTGGGCGTTTTACCTACCACTCCTGCTTTAGAGCTCTTATCAGCAAAGAATCCATCTGACACTCCTTTATTATTATGAGCAATTTCCATCTAGTCTTGATAAATCCTGGGGTTGTCACTGCTTTTGAGCAAATCATTAAACGGTGATTAGATACAGAACTGGCTGGCACACCTTATGTCTGTTCAATAGGGAATTCTCCTGACAATTGCTGCTTTGAAAACTCATTATTGAATTAGTGGCTGTATATTAACGTGTGGAATGCAAGTATAAGTGCAGGCCCTCGCGCAGCTATCGGGCTAACTGTAATTCAACCACAGTCCTGTATGCCAAAACAAGCGGCGAGTCAAAATACCTGGACAACGACTGAAGTTATTGCCAGGCTAAACTTTGATCTGGAAATGCATAAAGAAAAGTGATTTGCTCAAAGGGCTGTTGGCATTGAAGCAGGACTCGAAAACAGCCACTACTTACTATGTTTCACTATACACAGTTTCATGTCTTGGGGAAAAACAAGTTTGTTCAAAGGCTATTAATCTTGTTTATGTTCTTCTCTTCTTTTCTTCCTTACTTACTATGAATAAAACTGTACGTGTTGTTGTTTTGAAGCTGGATTTGAGTCAGCCGCTGGAGGAGCAGGGCCCTCTGGACGTCATCATCCACAAACTGACCGATTTGATATTGGAGGCCGACCAGAACGACTCCCAGGCCATGCTGCTGGTGCAGAGGGTACAGGTGGGTCACTTTTTGAGTCACAATCTACTGGAATCTACTCATTGGGGAATCTCACTTGGTTTTAGGCACTTTTGCCATCAAACTGCATCTGGGAAAAGGCTATAATAATTTAAATAAGCATATATATTTGTGTAATTTGTGCTAAGAAAAAAAAATACATTGCTTTCTTTGAGGAGTGAACATTAAAAGTTTAATTCACAACAGTAACAAGCTCGGAGGACTTAAAAAGCAGAAAAGCAATCATATAAAAGGCTTATAAGCCTTTGGTCCATAAGGAGCGGGATGACCAATGTTCATAAATGTTAATAAATGTCCTTAAATGTGCTTCTATGGTATAGATAGCGCTGAACAAGACAAAACAATTTTTTGCATCTTGTTTGATAAACATTGTGAGTGCGATTAGATTCGTCATTTACAGAGACAATAAAACTTAAACTTCTGCACATTTTTTCATAATTACCACAATCGTTACAATTTTAGTTTAGTTTTTCTGAAAGACTACAATAAAGTAACTATGAACTGTGAAAGCAAATCTGAAAAGACCAACTTGCATAAATATGTGAAACCCCAAATGTATTCATTTAGCACAATTTATGTACAAGGCAATTCAAAAATAGAATTAAAACACACATCAACATGCAGAAAACGCATACAAAATATATTAAAACAGCGCAGCATGAAAGTATTGTGCATAACACTCAGCTAAACAGAATGTTATCAATCTATCTTTGAACATGAGGACACAGCCGCAGGTCTTTTGGGGAATGTCTCATCTTCATGCTCATGACAAGCTTCGCACATCTAGAGACTGAAGGTTTTGCCCATGCATCTTTACAAAACAACTGAAGCTCTGTCAAATGAGATGGGAGAGTGCTTGTGAACGGTTGTTTTCAGGTCTTTTCATAGACTGTTAATTGGATTTAGGTCTCAAAATTCTTGGATTTGAGACCTAAATCCAAGAATTTTCAAAGTTTCCAAAGTGCTATCTCTGTGCAGTACTTTGGAAACTTGTTTTATAAAATGTGCTATATCAATAAAGTGGATTGGATTGGATTGGATTCTCTTCATGTCCAAATGTGAGACCAGAGGATAAATATTTTGACTTTAGAAAAACCCTGGATTTGTTCTTTCGTCACACTTTTAATTTGGTTTGCGTCACATGTTTGTTGAGTTGAGTTTTGTAATGACGGTTGAGCAGGTTTTCAACAGAATAAGATGTAAATAAATGAAAACTTTGATGTAATAAAGCCTTGTGGACGAAGTGGCTTTTTGTTGAGAGCTGAAAGAGGGATCCCAGTCTCAGCGATACACGGGTTGGGGTCACATTGTGCCCGTTTCAAATGAATCACTTGTGACCATTCAAAAGAGGAACAGTGACGTCATTAATGTGTCACATACAAACTGCTTTCATAATGGAGAAACTAAATCCTGTCCTTTTTATACTGAGTTGGTCTTGCCCCAGACCAGCTGTGCATGTTCAGTGTTTGACAGTGAGAAAACTCCTTGTGCTCTCAAATATTAAACATTATATTCTAATAAAGTAGAGAATTTAAGTCTGGATTTTGCATTAATGCTCTTATTTTTGCTTAAGAAATACAATACGACAAACTAGCTGATAAAACAACTGTACATTAAGTATACTCACAAACGGACACACACATACACAGATGTATGTACTCATTACTCTTGTATTTGTAATAATACAACCATTTAGCCATTAACTAAATTTTTAAATAAAAGCGAATGATAAAAATAGTAATTAGATTATTATAACACATTTTTAAGGAGCAGACATCTCCTTCATGTGGACTAGTGCTGTCATAATAAACTAGACCAGTATTTCTCAGCAGAGTTTATGATTCTGTTATAAGTGGAACTGTTTTATCCGAGCTCAATCACACTCGCCCACGCAGAGTCTGTGTGCTCTTTCCCCATCCGTGATCCTCCCCGACAGCAGAGACCTGTCCCGCTCCGAGGAGAGTCACGTTTGGCTTGCGTAACCACAGCAGCATTCTTGATAGATCCGAAGTAAATCCTATACATGTCAGGGCTCAGACATTTGTTTATGCCCTGATTGAATGCGTCTATTTATAAAGTCGGAAGCCACAAAAGGACATGTTAGTCAGGGCAGTTCTGCTTTGGCCCGGAGGCTGCTGCAGTCATGAACAGGTGTGTGTGGAATGAGTCAGCTGAGGATGTGGAGACGGCCTTATGTAAGAGTCAGCTCCACTCTGGCTCAGATTGATGATGTAACAACTCGCACTTCGGTTCTGTGATGTTTGCTCCGTTTGTGTAGGACTACATCGATGCACACCCCAAGACCATTGTCCTGGACCCGCTGCCGGCCATCCGGACCCTGCTGGACCGCTGCAAGTCCTACCAGCTGGTGCACCGGATAGAAAACAGTATGCAAGGTGAATGTGCATGAAGAAAAATGTACTGGTGAAACTCAAAAATATTCCAAATTTGTTCACGGCACAATGGGAAACTGACACTCACACGGCTCATACAATCAAATGGAGATATATCAAGCCTTTGTTTTTGTTACTTCTTGGTGTCGTTTTCATTAGTAATAAAAAAAAAATCCTTTTTTTAATCCTTTTCCCCCACTAGCTTTCCCTTGTATCAAAAAATAAATAAATAAAAAGCAAATCATAGACAGTAATACAGTATAAAGCAGGGGTGCCCAAACCTTTTGCTTCCAAGGGCCAAAGTAAAAATTTGCCAGTGGGCCGCGGGCCAAATACACCAATATTATGCATGAAACACAAATAAATGTAGATTTGATCAAGTTCTTTTAAATGCATTAATTATTGTCTATCAGTGAAAATCACAGCTGAATGAATGAAATCAACACAGTCTTAGTGAAGTGGAGGCTCCAAGGAAATATGCAGGTTTGAGGAGACTACAGTACGGAAAGATTCCGGCCGGGTAATCAGGGTCCAGAGGAGGGAGATTTTCTGTCATGGCTTATTTAAAGATTAAAATCATATAAAAAACCTCAAAAAGAGAACAGAAACATACATTTTGTGTGCACCATGTGCACTTGTATATTGTAAATAGTAACTGTAACTGAATATTAAACTAACAAAATCAGACTAGTTAACCATGATTTGTTCCTGGAGTTTTGTTTTGTTTTGCCTAAACACAGTACAACATTTATAAACAATCAAAACAAAGTAACTGTTAAAGAGTCCGAGTTTCCGCTCCTCCAAAGGGCTCTTGAACGCATCATAAAACTCCGCGTAAGTTCTGACATTCAATGATCGCGAGTGAGGACGGCGCTTACCGGCTTCTTTCATGGGGTTGTAGAAGGGTTTGTTTTGCACAGTATTTGTTGCTTCTACTTGCGTGAATCGTGCGCTGCGATCCCTGCTTGTCCTGCTTGAACTCACTCTGAAGTGTTTGTGTCCGTCCTTTTTAACACACCGGGTGGGTGCGGATTGCGCAGGTGAATAGTTCCACTCACCATTTCCCTCCGGTGAGGAGGGGGAGTGGCAGTTCGGCAGCACAATCCTCTCAATTTAAATAAAACATTAAATAGCTCCAAAAAATAATAATAGTAGGCTGAAAAAAAAGAACATAAAGGTGCCTTGCACCCAATTGTTTTGAAAGATGTGTTTGATTTTAAAAAACATTTTAGTGCAAGTTGATGTGAACCATGAGTGAGGAGTGTTTCTCGATACAAGAGTTAAGTACTGGACAGTCGGTATTCAGAGGCCGACTATGCGCCCGCGCGACCTCAGACATGTCACTGTTTGTTTAGGGAGGCTGAGGGACGCAGATAGAAACTTGGGCAATGTTTGGCGGGCCAACTGAAATGGTCTGGCGGGCCAACTGAAATGGTCTGGCGGGCCAACTTTGGCCCGCGGGCCCCACTTTGGGCACCCCTGGTATAAAGTGTATTTGTTTTCGTTGTTGATATTTCTATGTTGAAAATGGACTTTAAAGCATAATCATTACAGTTATAACAAAGGCATGATTTTTGTCACTGCATGTAAAAAGTCTATTTCAGATTTTTTTTTTTTTTTTTCACATTTTAAGTTGAAGGAATGAATATTTAATTTTCCGACTCTCACCTGTATGACAGTTTAGAGTCTGTTTAGAGGCGAGTTTGGTGTCTTGAATTCAATGTTTTTTATTTTATTTTAATGCATCTTTACATCAACAATAAGGAACAACCAATTGGGAATTATTTTAAACTGACACTGATTATTAGGGATTTTTCTCTGCTGACTACCAATTTAAAAGCTAATTTCTTTTTCACAGTAGAACCTCATATTTGTTTTATATTAAAGGAAAAAAGTTCTTTGATGGATAGTGAATTAGTTATGCATCTTAAAATGTATTAATTTAATAAACTTCAAAAGAGTAAAACTAATGTCTTACAACCTGATTTATGGGTTATAAAACCACTTCACATGAGTTATGTTATGAGTATAAGATTGCTGAAGTTGGCTGAATGATGATTGCTTATTATCGAATTTTCTCCAAACTAATGTGTGGATTGTTATGTACCGATTGCAGTTCCTGCGCTTCACGTGTCTATATTGGCAGAGAGAAAAAAGTTCCCAGCCCTAATCTTTAGTGGTCTAGTCTCTCTAATGGTAAAGCTGCACTAAAGCCTCCCCTCCCTGTAAATTCCTGGGTCACCTTGCATTAACTGCACACTTGAAATCCCCCCAGAGTGACTCAATGAGGATATAATGTACAACTTATCACAACCACTAACGAGAAGTTGGCAAAATATGACCATAACAATGGCCGGACAACTTGTACAAGCACAACTTATAACCAAACCATCTTTCTGTGTATGACGTATAGAAGAGAATTGAAATCTTTGTAATTGCACTGTTGCAGAGTGGTGAGCTATTTTCATTTTCAAGTCGATCTCATGCACAATAGCAAAATGTAAGAACGGTCAGTGTTTGTAGAAAACGTAGACAAACACGGCAGACTCTATATTTATCCATGACGTTCACTCGCACATTTGCTTCCTCCTCCTTATCAGCTGAGCGTTTGGTTGCTATGACGACGCCATTAGAGGCTCGGCTGTACTTGAGTTTTGTGTGACCGCGTAAAAGCTGCCGTAATGTCGTCGTGGCTTTGAAGGCCTCTGACTCTGAGTACATTCTCCTCTTTTTTAATGGAGGTACATTCTCTGAGCTGTGGTCCGCTCTGAATCTACCTCTGTTTCCTTTTAGTGAATGTTTCTGAGTAATCGTCAGAAAAGCACAAAATACTTTTTTTTGCAGCTGCTTGGGGTTTTCTTGGACACATTGTCAAACAGAAAAAGTGCAGCACTTAGAGTTTAATGTAAGCAGTGAGTCGCGGAGAGGTGAGCCAGATCTGATCTGAACGTAGGTGTTCCAACACTTCAGGGGACTTCAGGCCAGTGGGCTCCGAGGCACATTCATCCAGGAGAAGTGGATAATGATCTTTTTAAAGGAATTCCTGCATCGTCCCATAAAGTCTGGCTCCTTCAGGTCTGTGTAGAATTCAGTGTTTAGATGTAGTTCCTCAAAGGGACTAAAACAGCGCAGCGTACTGTCTCTGCAGACTCATGTTGAACATAGACTTTTCTCCTCTGACAAGGATTTGGTCTTCTCTGTGACGCAATACAGACATGTTCCCTGGAGTAGATTGTTTCCTGAAAGACATTATGTGCTATTCTTGTCCTGTTAGAATAACATAAGTATGACAAATCTGGTTGGAGCCAGTGAGCGATGGGCAGAGGGACCGGGCCACAGTCCTCCAGCTGCAGACTCTTACGTAACACTGCAATCAGAGCTTTTACTGCTTTATGGTTGAGAGTCGTCGTTCCTTAGAACCTGAATATCTGGTATTGTCACAAAGAAACCAAGCATCCATTTTGTCTGCTTGTTGTGAAGATGTAATTTAGGCAGCGCACTGGTTACATGGTGAATTGACAAATGGAACATTCTACACAGAGATAGAGAAGTTGGTAATGCTTTATAATAATTAGTCTTTCCCCATGAACTCATGTCCTGAATCATTGGCACTACATCACAATGAGTATTTGAGTCACCATGATCTGGATCCTTAATATTATAAGGATGAGTAATGCATTCATTCATGTCTAGTTATTGTAAAATTGTTGCCTATTTTCTTTTTTGTTCACTATCTTCTCTCTCAACATCTATAACATGGACAATGCTCTTTTTCCCTCTGGGGTCAGGACTCTGCTGAACACTCATCTGAGTCTGATGGACTTGTGTGTTAATAATAGTACTGAACCTGTCCCTGTGTGTGGCAGATGACAGGATCTGCTCTCCGCTCTTCATGGTCCTGAACGGAGAGTGCAGTGCAGATGTGCTCCGGCAGATCCAGGAGCGGGGCCTCACATTCCCTTTCAGTAAGTCTCACTTATTCCAGAACATTCTGCTCTGTCATGTCTGCGGAAATCTAATATCTGTTCAATAAGTCGCATTCTTTGTGTTTCTTCAGTTTGTAAGACTCGGGTTGCTCACGGTACCAACTCCCATGAGGTAAGGCTCAAAGGTCACCACCTGCTTTGTTCATGTGTCACAAGACGCTGGCAATCATTGTTCCTGTCATCGATTAAAACTGTTTAGTCATCTTTGAGCATAGTGTCTGTTAGAGACTGAGACTTATGTGAATATTGACATGTCCTGATGATCATTGAGCGTGTCCTCTTCACAGATGGCTATTATCTTCAATGAGGAGGACCTGAAGGACGTGAAGCCGCCCTGTGTCATCCAGAGCTTCATCAACCACAATGCGGTGCTATACAAAGTCTTTGTGGTGGGAGACTCTCACACTGTGGTGGAGAGACCCTCCCTAAAGAACTTCCCCTCTGGACCTGCTGGTGAGCACAACTAAGACCAAATATAAAGACTCCAAAGGTCCCCATAAATAGCTTCATATTTCCCCGATCAGATCCATATGTCCTTTTATGGAAGGCCGCAGCACAAAAGGATTTCCTTAGTGGCACACATGGTCCAACACAGTGACAGATTAAACTGTCCTTGTGAACAGCAAAGATGGTGTTTATTCTCTAAAGCCAGTCTTCCCCAGCTTTTGCATGTGAAGCCGTAGGTTCTGATGCAAATGAAATCAGTTGCCTGTTGATCTGAGCTCCAGTCTGTTTTGTATAAAGTATGTGGAATGCTGAGTGCAGCAGCAGAAGCTGTTCCCTTGTCAAACACATAAAGCACAGGCTCAGGTCCACTGCAGGACAGTGGACCTGAGCCTGTACCGACAGGCACGCATGACCTTACATTATTCTTAACATTCTTAAACTACTAATGTGTTATTAGGCGAAGAACCACTGGAATAAGAGGAATGATGTCAATAAACCATTGTGCTTTGTATTAATCTTGACTTCTAAGAAATCCTTTTGGAACGTGACACCACAATAAAACACTGGTCACTATGTCTTCTGAAGAAAAACATGTCAGACCAACTGTATCTCATCCACATTAAAGCCTTTTCCTTTGATAAAAACAATACAATAATTTGAGCTTTGCTGCCACCTATTGGCCATGAGTCTGTCTGCAATATCAATAAACCTGTACAACATATTGACACAAATGTATTGAACTCTTTAATTTTGTATTTTTTTCAGACCGAAAAGCCATTTTCTTCAATAGCCACAATGTTTCCAAACCAGAGTCCTCCTCGGACTTGACCTCGGTGCGTAGCCTCTGTCATTACCTGCTGAAGAGTGTGTATTGTTAAACATGTTTACCCGGGTGATTATGTGTTTAGAGGGACAATGTAGAGGGCGTGTCCCAGCCCCCGAACACTGAGGTGATCCGGGAACTGTGCCGCTCGCTGCGCCAGGCTCTGGGAGTGTCTCTGTTTGGTATCGACGTCATTATCAACAACCAGACGGGCCAGCACGCAGTCATCGATATCAACGCTTTCCCCGGTGAGGACTGGTCAGACCTGTTTACACACCACACAGTCCACTCATGGCTAATACATGTGGATTACATGTCGTGTGCAGGTTATGAGGGTGTGCCAGAATTCTTCAATGACCTGCTCAACCACATCAGCAGCGTGCTCCAGAGTCAGAGTCCAGAGGCAGCTGCTGTGCCGGTGAGCAGCAGCCCCCCCGCCCAGGGCTGCTGTAGCCTCCTGGGCAAAGAAGCCAGTGGCCCCTGGATTGTGGACGGAGATAGTGGTCGTAAGGGTTCTTTGCAGAGACTGGGGTGTAACAACTTCCAACAGCACTGTGTGTCCACTATTGCCACCAAGGCCTCGTCCCAATGACTGCTCCTGAACAAAGCTGGTAACGCCTCCTGTTCTAATCATAACAATTATGATGATCCTAGATCTGATCCCTGACCTTTTCCTCTAGTTGTTGAATAGACAATGATTTGGTGTAAGATTTTCTCTCTGCCTTTTTGTATGTTTGATTTGTTGAATGAGATTTAAAGTACTGTAATGTGAACATTTGCCTGATAATTTCACTTTTCTGAGGTGGGAGTTTGGCAAAGACAGATGCTTAGGTTACCAAAGGCTAATGTAGGAGTGATGTGACCTGAGCTGATCCCACCTACAGCCTCGCGGGCATTTGAACATGTCCCGCTGCGGAACCAGACGAGCCAGACACGCCGCTTTCACGAGTCCATCCCATTTGACCAAGACCTAGTGAGACGCGCGGTGTCTGCTGTCCGCTCCTCTGGTTCATGCAGGGACCGGGTTCAAGTATAGACGTTTGTGTTAAGCAGTCTACTGAGGACAACATTCCGTTTTTGTTTGCCTATGCTTCCAGAGAATTCCATGATTTCTTTCTCATATTCCACTAGTTGAATCCAATGACCTACTAACAGTTCTGTGTCTGTCGGAGCAAAGCACTCCAGGCAAACGCTCTCTGATATATTCACTTTTGACTGATGTTGATTTACTTTGTGAGGACATCATAAATGCCACTTGATTCTTGAGATGTTTAAATACCCAAACGTACTGGGTAACGATTGTGCTTAAAGTGCTTAAAGTGCTTATGACAGGCTAACACTGACTTTCCACGAAACAGGATTATGATTATGCTAAATATTTGTCAAATTTCATTCCAGTTTGGCCATCTTTCTATCTGCATCAGTTCACTTCCTGCTTGTAAAGAATACAAGAATATACGCTGATTTTAGTGGAGTAAATCATTGTGTCAAAACAAAATGTATTTGTTTATAATGCCAAATTTGATTAATCTTAACTTCTATTCCTGCTACTCTACGCATCAGTTATGGGCTCTACTTTCTTTTAAACAAAAACTTCCTCCATAATCTTCATTACAAACCGTGTGTAAAGGAAAAAAAAAACTGGTGACGCTCAACCAGAAATCAACCCAAAATCCTGCGTTTATATTCTGTCGTATGCACGTTAACCACGGTATAGTGTGTGTATATATCGCGGGTTTGTTCTCCTTCCAGGTGATTCCGTGTCTTCGGTTGTAGCTGCTGTTTAGGTGTCCCCCGGGCCACGTGGATTAATAACAAGGGGCAGAATGAGTGTTCACTGTGAGATTTTTTTTACTCCTTTTTAATATTTTGTCCGGATCTAATAATAAGATTAACTTTATTTTATTGAGATTTTACGAGGAATTGCTTTATATACGTATGTAAACTGTGTGAGATTTTGAACAAAGTGGATTTATGAGTTTTTTAATGATTTAAAAAGAGATGAGTTGCACAAATTCAGCAGGGTTGGGGACAGAGGCTTATGGTTGTCATCTTTTATTTTCAACTGTATGAATTAGAACGAGCACTGCCTGTAAACGTCTTCTGTGCCTGCTCCCAAACCTGCACTTCTGCTACTACTTTAAACACACGTCGGAATCAATTCACCATGGATTGATTTGTTGAACTGTAAACAGGGTTCCTGCAGAGGGATAAAAATCATTGCGTTCGTGAATGTGGAAATCAAACCTTTTTAAAGAGACCATTTTTCTGGATCATAAACTTTTCTCATCAAAAGTTTAATGTGTCAGGTCTATGGAATCAGTCGCGGGAGTTTTAAAATGTCTTTTATGAATAAAGTCGAAATCAGACTTTATTGAAATCTGTAGGAACCCTGTAATATTTAAAGGTGATGTCAGATAAATAATGTTGTAAATAATTTCTGATCATGGGACACTGTACTGTTACCATAATTGCTGGACTATAAGCCACTACTTTCTTTGAACCCTGCGGCCTATACAGCGATGCAGCCAATGTGTGTATTCTAATTTTGCTGGAGTATCTCCCGGAGCTCAGGAAAGGATTTGGACATGGCTCTATCAGCTGTGGATCTACCACAGACATTCCTGCTCCCTGGTGTTTATGTGAACAGCAGAGCCGATACAAGAAAGTGCTGGGAGGTTTTTGTAGCTACAGGATTATTATTGTCAAAATAGATTGGATTTACCAGAGTGCTTTAGTCATCACCTAGTCAGCAGAGCGTTAAAACAGTAGTCTATCGGCTGTTTTGCCCCATCAGCTGTTGGTTATCATCCTATATGGGGACATACTGTACTTTCTCTTCAAATTTACCTGGTGCGATTCATAGTCCAGAAAGTTATATATGTACAGTAAGTATTTTACAACAATAATATATTTAAAATGGCCCCTCCCATTGGCAGAAGTACAACCAGTGAGATTTTTAGTTTGGGAACGGTTAACAAATGGCTACAGGCAATTTTTCAACCAATCGGGGAGGAAGGGCGGGTCTTCAATAAGCTTCACACTCTGCTGTTTGAAAAGTAAATTGCATTCACTTTAAACCAGAAAATGTGTATTTGTTTATAGGCTTTACTAATTGTATGGTGTTCATATCCATAAGCCTTAGTTGACCTAATGTTTCACCATTTTATATCAGATTCTACCACTGGAATCACTGCTGCTTATGATTTGAATTGGACACTATTTTGAGAACGGTAGAGAAAGTGCAGTTTGGGCAGGCGCAGGGGAAGCGTGGAGGAGAAGGGTGTTTTTGGTCTTGGCTGTGGGAAGGCTAAGGCGTATATGTGTCTCCTCTGTGTTCTTGTTGCTTGTACATGTGCAGAAGTCTCCACCTGAATGTTTACTTGTATCTATACCCCTATACTTACATCCGTACAGTATGCTGTTTTGTATCAGATCTATAATTGAACAGAAATCAACATTTTGGTGACATTTTCTAATTAAATAATCGAAAAAATCGAAATAAAGTGTGAAATCTTTGACTCATCTTGGTTCGTTAAGGTGGTGTCTGCAACTTCAATTGTATATTTGAAATGGCTCATCTTGGCAAAACCACATGATTTCCTAAATGTCTTGTTCCTTGTGCACTTTTAAATAGTATTTTTATGAATGCCTTTGTCTTACAACTTGATAGCACCTTGAGCCAAAGCAAATTCCTAGTTTTGACAAGGGCGGCATGGTGGCTGAGTGGATAGCCATCAGCATGTTGAGTGAAGTTTGCATGTTCTCCTCCAGGTCCTCCGGTTTTCCCCTACCACTAAAAACATGTACAATTGCTCTGGTATGGCTATCCCATTCCCAGAGACAAATGCCCACAATTTAAAACGCTTTGACTGATATGTAAATTCTTTACTTTACTGATTCTGGGCGGCACGGTGGCTGAGTGGATAGCACTCTCGCCTCTCAGCAAGAAGGTCCTTGGTTCGAATCCCGGCCGGACAAGGGCCTTTCTGAGTGGAGTTTGCATGTTCTCCCCGTGTCTGCGTAGGTTTCCTCCGGGTACTCCGGTTTTCCCTACCACTAAAAACATGCACAATAGGTCTGGCATGCGCCTCCTGTTCGGCGACCCCGCTCCCATCTCTGTGTGGAGTGCGAGACAAGTGCCCAAAAATAACAATTGTAAACCGCTTTGTGACTCTGGTCTGTGAAAGGCGGTATATAAATAAAGCTTACTTACTTACTTACTATTCTGATTGCCATTGGTCAAACTAGCTAAGAATGTATTCATATTTTTTAACCAATTGGGAGGGGGAGCATGGGTTCTCTCTCTTCACAATTTAAAAGCACTTGTAACTGACTTTTTACATAATGTTTCATATCCATTAAACTTGACACTAAACTTTTAATATTTATAAGGTTAGTTGGTACATACGACTGCACACACTAGCGTTTTCTATTCACAAGAGGTATTTATTCCTTCAACACAGTGAAGAAATAAGTTCATGAAAGAAGGAGACAAACGGCACATACAAACATCCCAGTGGGGCATCTATACAACGATATTTTACAACAATATACTCATAATTTTACTCTTCTGTACATGTAAAAAACAACATGGATATTTATTTACAAAGTCCTAGTGCTACGGCGGCCTGTCAGAGCGGGTGCAGGTGCGGCCCGCTGGGGGTGGGGTTGGCCAGCAGTCCCAGGATGGTGGACAGACAGTGGAGCTTCTCTTTTACATGTTCAGGCAACTTCTCGTTTTCTCTGTACCTTTTGAAAAAAAAAAAAAAACGTAATTAGCGCTGCACACATTACACGGTGAGTTACTCAATCCTCGGCACATTTTAGGTTTCACCATTACTTAATTTTGAATGTGAGCTGTCAAGTGTCAAAGGGTTTTATAGTTTAACATAATCTGGTGTTACGACATACTTTCAGCCTGCTATAACAGATAATAGAACCATTATTCTTTTGATTTCTAGAATTGTTAAAGTGTTTCCAACTAGACATATTTTACTTTTTAAAGGGGATAAACATGTATTAAAGTAAAGGAAGGTTTCTCACCCATCATCTGTACTTCTTAGCAAGTTTTCCCGACGTTTCGTCCTCAACCTGGGGACTTCTTCAGGGAATGAATTCTCGGACCGCGCGTTGGAGATTTATAACCTATGGGTGTGGTTAGCCACACCCTAATCCTGATACTAACTCGTAAACAATCTCAGGTCTGCTTGATGTAGAAGGGAGCAGGTCTAACGACCCTGCTGAGGCTAACGACCCTAACTCCTTAGCATGTCACAGACCTAAGGAGTTAGGGTGTAAATCTCCAACGCGCGGTCCGAGAATTCATTCCCTGAAGAAGTCCCCAGGTTGAGGACGAAACGTCGGGAAAACTTGCTAAGAAGTACAGATGATGGGTGAGAAACCTTCCTTTGCTTTGACTAATCCCTGTACGACTGAGAGCTTACACAAACTTATGTATTAAAGTATATATTTTTTGCAAATAGAGTATCATCCCCTTCTCTGTGTGAAATGACGCAAATGTTTGGTGTTTGAATTTATCTATGTACCATATCTTGCCAACTTTTACTCATTTACACACAAATAGGACACGTTTATGATATTGGGGGTCTGTAACAGTGATTTTTCTTTTTACCTAAATGTTTCTTTTTTCACATTTTATTTAGCAATACAAAAAAGAGACAGACATATGACAGTAATAAAATGCAGAAAGTGCCGACAAGACAGACGGGGAACATGGAGGTGTGTCTAAATATGGCAATTAAGGGTTTAACAATATGAATCACATGTAGGAGAGTATAAGGTGTGTATTTGTTTTTTGTATTATCCATGTAAGTGATTATCTGAAAGGAGTGACTGAGGGCTGACACTTACTTGGTGACTCTTCCTTCTGGAGACGTGTAGCTGATGCAGGACACTCCCGCCTGCACCACGAGCTGCGAGCCGTCGTTAAACTGCACCCACACCTCTCCACTGGTCAACTGAGAAGACAATAGGACAGTCATTATCAGCCATATATGCACCCATCACTTTCAAAATCACTAAAGCACTATCACCCCAGGACATACTTGTGAGGCCCAGCCGACGTTTGGCACAAATATGGACTTGAGCACTTTCCCAGCGTTCTGTCGAGGTGGAGAATGTTTCTTGTTTACACTGGCGGTGGTGAAATCAGAGCCGTCATAAGAGATCATCTACGAGGACAAATACGTATCATATCTGCAGGAACTTCCCTTTCGCTTTTAGTTCGACAAACGGGTTAAACACATTCAACTTACGGAAGGATTTATCTGCGGCGCCTGTGGAGGGGAGGCTGCCTCAGGGGCCGGGTGAGACGGAAGTGCTGGGGACTTCTGAGACTCGGGGTTCGCTGGTCGTCTGTGAATAAACATTGTACTGTTACGGTGACACAGAATCATCACTCACCATGATTTAGGAGCAGTTTTTAAGATTAATACAATCTTTTCGTCCCACAGTGGGGAAATTTCAGTGTTGCATCAAAAGTGTACAGACAGGAGGAATGAGGAACACACAGCACAAGATAAATTAATGTTAACTGTTGAAATAAAAAAAATACAAAACATCTAACTTTAGCATAAAAAGAAGAAATATTTTACATTGTAAGGAAATAAGTCTAAAATCTCCAACTTTAGTATAATGAAGAAGCAAGACTTGAATACAAAAACCTCTGACATTAGCATAATAACGAGCAAGTATAAAATGCAGTATATTCTAGTGCAAGTAGTTGTGTGTTCACATCTGTACATGTTAGCTGCATGAGGGTATGGGACAAAGTGACTCAGTAAAGTGAGAGGAACACATGTGGTTCTATATGGTACATTCTGACATTATTAAAGAATCACTATTGCACAGCTGAGTAAAGTAAAGTGACAGTGACATATTTCTCGTACCTCCCAATGGTGATGGGGAAGAAGGGGACCTTGTGTGTGCTCCTCTGCTCCTCTGCAGTGATGGCCGCCTCCAGAGACAGGCACATGCTGTGGCCCTGGTCCGACAACTCCACGTACCTGCGGCTGTCTGCGCTCAGCCCGCCCAGCCCCCGCCCCACCTCCCCCCTCACTGTGTACGACTTCCCCCCGCTCTCCACCACCTGCAGCAGATCCGACGACTTGTGCGTTTTTGCTCCTGAACCACACACATAAGACACTTCGATTAACACACGATTATAAATAAACACACACAAATAAACATACATAAATACAGTGGGTGACAGCGGCTCAGTTGGTAGTGCATTGAAAGTTGTGTGTTCGAGCCCACCACAAGACCTACTTCACGACTCTCGCCGATGTCTGCTGTTGTTATGTACTTGGGCAAGACACTTAACCCCACTTTGCCTGAAGCCCCCACTGAAAGACCTCAGCTCCTGTGGACTCACCACCTGCAGGAGGATCAGTGAGGGGCTGGTGCTCTATGTACTGGGTGCATCTTTGACTGCCACCCCCTCGACCCAGAAATGGATTAAGGAAAAGAAGATGGATGGATGGACATAAATACACACACAACACATAAATATATACAAAATCCAGTCTACAGAAACTGAAAGTGGCCTACAACGATGCCTTAAGACTGGTACTGAAAAGGCCCAGATGGAGCAGCGCCTCTGAACTATTTGTGTTGTTTCAAGTGAACACACTGCAGGCCAACTTGAGGAACCTAATGTACAGGTTTATGTGTCACCTGAACACTAATGCAAATATGATGATTTTATTGTTGTTGAGCAGAGCGTAGCAATGTTTGTTTTCGCTCTGCACTGTGAAAACACTGGTCTGTTTGCCTCCTCTAAAGAGAATTGGGGACTTGTATTGTTATGTTTTCTGTTTCTAGTGTGTTGTGTCTTGTCTATTTTTGTTCCAGACTACGAGTCTGTAATAAAGCTATCTATCTATTTAAATAAAAAAACACACACACACACACAAATAAACACACCTAAACACAAACAAATACACATTGATAAAAGGAAAATAGACAGAAATAAAGACATAAATAAACGCACAAACACAAACGCCAGAAAATGAAAACATAAGTGTGTGTAGTTCCTCTCACCATCATAAAAGCAGACCTCCAGATCTGCGTTAGGAGAGTTCTCCATCAGCATCACTTTAGCGTTCTTGGTGTAAAGTGTGACCTTTGGAGTCTTGGATTTCACCAACTGGACAAACTTTGATGCGTACTGGTATTTCTTCCAGTATTTTTCTGTGCCAGAAAAACAAGAGCTGGTGAAACATCTAGAAAATAGCATCTAGATTATAGCCATCTATTTGTTGTGGCGTGAGTGGAGGTGCTCGTATACCTGGAAGGTCGTCATAGCTGCAGATCAGAATGTTTTCTGGGGGAGCGGGAGGGTGGTCGAGAACAGGGAAGCCCTTGCCATCATTAGGTTGATAAATCGTTACCTTTCAAAGTAAATTTAAGGGGACTTTAATGCCACATCCATTGAAAAGTCAAATAATCATAGCAATGTTACAGCCGACTCACCATTGATCCATCGCTGGAGATTTGCAGCACCTCCTTCACCCGCTCCTGACCACTCACATGTTTCAACAGTTCCATACAAACTTCCCCAGTGTCCAGAATGCTCACCTGCAGCACACGACAACCATGAGTTTATTATGATGAGTTTTATAGCACAGGAGTTCAGAGGCGTCACTCACAACTGCATTCTTGGTCTTTTGCCTGATGGGCTTCAGTCTGGTGGTGGACAGCGGTGGTACGATGCTGCGGAGTGTTTTCTTGTCCTTGTCCAGAGCCGGCTTCAGCGTGTGGGGCTTGGAGTTGCGGCCGTGCTGTGGCTGGAGCTCTGGGTCGATCTCCCTGTAAACGTCGGCGTTTTGAAGCTGTGAAAAAGGAGGAGTGTGGTGTCCTGCTCTGCCCGGAGCATCAGTCCCAGAGCCGTGAACGCCAAACGGGCCCCTCCCGCTGTAAAAGCTGCCACTAGTGCTGTGTGCGCTGGAGTCTGTGGTCCTCAGACAAGAACCTGGACAGAACAAAGAAATAAATGTTTCAAGCTACAGAGATACTTTCACAACAACTTCAACGTCCCCATAATACACAGTAGAAATATAGCCAACATCTTTTACTTTGTACTTGATTTTTTGTTTAGCACTGCCCTCTAGTGGTTGTCATCAGCATGTCTATTGGGTGAGGGGGTAACAATTTGGCAGACTTAAATGTAATGTAGAGCAGCTCCAGGCTTCATCAAGTTACATCTAAACAATATTTTTTTAAATGCTGTTTAGAGAAAATACAATGCCAACATAGGCGAGCAGGCCGGCACTACGTTACTCATTCATCTGACATATTACACAATTCTTATCTTTTTAACACAGATATGTTTTACATAATAAAGAGAGGAATCTATGCTACACCAGGCAAAGCAGAGTTTGTCTGTGAAGAGAGATTTACTAGTGTCACACAAACTTGATCGAACTAAAATAGGCGAATGGCAGAAAACATTAATTATTTCAGTTGGCTAATGCCACAAATTCTCAAATGTAATTCCTTGTCAAGCTTGAAATGCCTTGAACTTGGCTCACACAACTGTTATACCTTTTTAATGATTTACAAAGTTCTGGGGGCTACCCTGAAGACATTGCACTTGCCCGGTAGGATTTACCGTAGTTAAACATACAAAGATTAAATATTTTACCATCTTTGCTGAGCCAGTTTGAGTCCTGAAACGGGAGACTTGGATCAGCCGCACATGTGGGTCGCGAGTATGGAGCACTGCTAAATAAATGAGAAAAACTGTTAAAACTCATAGCATTTAAGACAACAAAAGTAGCAGAGGAGGACTGGTTTACCCCACTGACTGTTTGACGGGGGGAGAGGGGAGTCGCCGGTCCTCTTCTGGATAAGGATGAAACATGGGCCTCCCACAGCTGTTTAAGTGCTCCTCAGAGTGACAGCGACCGAAATCCTCACGGCTGGAGCTCTGTGAGAGGGCCGAAGACGCAGATCGATCTGAGGAGTGGGACCTGCGGGAGTGATGCGCCATGTCCCCCATGTGCTGCCCTCTGCTCCGGCCCTCTCTCTCAAACCGCTCTGGATTGTGCTGTTGCCACGGTTCTGCGCTAACAAACTGCCGCGGGAGGACCGGGGCCATGCGGTTGGGCAGAGTCGAGCCGATCACGTGCCTGGTTTTCTTCTGCAGACGGCTGTTGCTGCTGTTAAAGTTGGAGGACGTGTACGCGGTGGAGATTGTTGCTATGCCGCTGTCCAGGGACCCGTCCTCATCCAGGCTCAGTTCTTTAGTCCGGGAGAGGAGGCTGCGGGTCATGAAAGGGTGGTCTAACAACGCAGACAGACTCGGCCGCAGAGAAGGGTCCCTCTGCAGCAGCTGATGGATCAAGTCCTGAGCCTCCATCGACACGTGTGTGGGCATCTCGTAGTCCCCCAGAACCACCTTAGAGAGCGTGTGTTTGACAGTGTCGGTGTCGAAGGGAGGGCGGCCCATCAGGAAGGCGTAGAACATGCAGCCCAGGGACCAGACGTCGGACTCCAAGCCGTGGGCGCTGTGGGTGGCCACCTCCGGAGAGATATAGTTGGGCGTTCCGCACATGGTGAAGTGCTTCTCGTTGGGCATTTTGAGCTGCGTGGCCAGTCCGAAGTCTGCAATCTTAATGTTCATGTTAGTGGTCAGGAGGAGGTTGGACAGGGTGAGGTCCCGGTGGAGAATGCCGTGCGTGTGTAGATAAAGCATTCCTCGGACAATCTGATTCATGAAGTGTCTCGCTGGAAAAAAAGATGAATCTATATAAGTACTTTGACTACACAGATAATACACGTCACGTACATATAATACTTTGAACAGTGTCTGACTGTGCAACATAGAGCCACATGTACCCACTTTACTTCATCCCATACCATGTACAGATGTATACATACAACTATATATATTTCTGCACTAGAATAGTTATGCCACAGTCAGAAATGTTATACCGGCTTCTTTACTTTAGTATAGAGTTATTGTTGACTCATCTCATGCTGTGCCTACTGTTCTGTAACTGGTGATGCAACACTGAAATTTCCCCACTGTGGGACAAATAAAGGATCTCTTAATCTTAATTACCTTCATCTTCTGAAAAGGGCATTTTTCGGTCTTTGAGATAGCGACTCATCTCCCCGTTATGACACATCTCCAACACCAAGTACACATAGTTACTGTCTTCAAAGTAGTTGTACAGCTTCACAAGAGAAAAACAGAAATGGTTTGAATATATTTTGTATGTGTTTTGGTTGACGTGAATCATCCAGGGAAGGGCCCTTACCTCCAGTACTGAGGGATGCTTCAGACGACATTGAATCTCCACCTCATTTGTAACACGCTGGACCATGCCAGCTTTGTGCATTGCCTTTTTGTCAATCTGCGAATGCAAATCACACAGACACATGGATAGAGCACTGATGGGAAAGATAGATCAAAAAGCACTCGCATATACAACGACAGAGAAACAAACGCTTGGTGATGCACCAAGACAACGTTTTCCTATTCAATACCAACTCAAACTTTGTACTTCAATAAATGTCAATTCCAAATATAAACCCAAAAAATGTTTTTTCCCCCTCCGAAAATTACGGTTTAGACTAAAATTGGTACGGTTCATGCGACAACATTAAAAAGAGCTTATAGTTAAAAACTGTGGTGGAGGGAAGCTGAAAAATCTTTCCTGGTAACTATTGAAGAAGATGACATAGTCTGGGATCGTGTCTTTAATTCAGACAGAAGACATGTTTTATTGTCGATGGTAGAGACAGCATGAACAAAGCACACGAACAACAGAATGCAAGTGTATTATACAGAGCGGAGGCATGGAGACCTCCAATCAGCAGCTGCCACGGTGCCATGTAGCTTGGCCTTCAGATAGACAAAACAAGGGAAAAGTACTGGCTTCTGCACATTGATAGAATGATGAGTTTAACTTTAACAAAAGTTGCTTAAAAGTGTTATGAAATCTCACACTATGTTTAAAGTCTATCTACAAATATTGTTTCTTTCTGATAGAGTTGTATTGGCACCTGCTGAAATTTGAATGAAATGTTTTTATTTCGAGTTCAATATACATAACTGAGATTTACAATACACATTTATTTTAAATAACTAAGTATCAACTCGAAAAAGGAGTGAGAAGAAGTAAAACTTATATACTCCCACCCCTGTAGGCTATATCTCGTAGCCATCAGTAGATTTTTCTGCTTTTTGCAAATTAGCAAACGTACTTCACCTTAACCTATGCTAGAAGATACAAATAATAATAATAATAATAAAATAAATAATGATACATTTAGTCTCTCTCTCTCTATCTATACATATATATCAAAAATATACATATATACACTATACATACACATATACACAGATACATACATACATACATACATACATATACATAAACACATGTACATACATACATATACATGTCTACGCATATAAACATATATTAACACATTTACACAAATCAGCATATACACTAGGTAAAGTTATTGCCCTCTCTAAGAATATCGAGCCAAAATGGTTTCTTTGTATTTTATGTTCTCATGTCTGGACATCCCTTCAGCTCCTCACTCATGGCGTTCCAGAGCCTCACCCCAAAGATAGAGACACAAAAACTCTTTCTAGTTGTAAGTGCTCTCGCAGGCTTGAATTTGAATTTACCTTTTAAGTTATAGACACCATCTCTGGATACAAACATTTTTTTAATTTGATTAGGTAATTTATTATAATTTGCTTTGTACATTATTAATACTGTTAGATAATCAACTAGATCATTGAATTTTAGTATTTTTGCCTGTTTAAATAAATAATTTGTGTGCTCCCTGAAACCCACTTTGTGAATGATCCTGATAGCTCTTTTCTGTAGACAAATTAATGGGTATATAGCAGTTTTGTAATCGTTTCCCCAAACCTCAGCACAATAGCTCAAATACGGTAACACTAATGTACAATATAATAAATAAAGAGTTTCTGTCTAGCTTTGGCCAAAACTCCAATACTTCTGGCTAGTTTGGCATACACGTATTTAATGTGTGCTTTCCAGGTACGTTTCTCATCTATTATCACCCCTAAGAATTTAGTTTCACTAACCCTCTCAATATTTGTGCCATCTAACACAACATTTATATCAGAATTTATTTTTCTATTTCCGAAGAACATTAGTTTTGTTTTACTTAAATTTAGAGATAATTTGTTACTGTTGAACCAAGAATAACTTTTTTCACCACCACTATATCCACTCCATCACAGTCTGCTGACTTCTTATTATTACATTCCCTAACTAAATTCACAACCTCAGCTTCATCAACAGCACTTAGAAATATTGAATGTGGATTTGTCTTCATGAAATGATTTACGTCATTTCCTAACGTTCCAGTATCAGGAACTTTACTTGCAAGCTCCGGCCCAATATTAACAAAATACTCATTGAATCTACTGGCTATTACCTCTTGATTATATTCCTCTCTACCCTTGTCAAGGAAGTAATTTGGATAGTTCTTTCTTCGTGTTGAACCCTTTTTAATAATATCATTTAGAATTTTCCATGTTCCCTTGGAATATAGTTTATTCTTTTCTAATGAATCTCTATAATAATCTTTTTCTGCATTCTTTATAATACTTGTCAGTTTGTTTTTATACGTTTTATATGTTTTATCTGCTTCTTCTGTTCTTTTTTCCAGGAACTGCTTATATAGTCTGTTCTTTTTTTGCATGCTTTAGCAAGACCCTTAGTTATCCATGGACAGTCATTTCCTTTCCTTCTTCTTTTGTATCTCTGTATAGGTCAATTTTTATTAAATGCTGACAAAAAAATATCTAAGAATTTATTGTAGGCAATATTGGTGTCAGAACTACAGTATACATTTTCCCAATTTTGATTAAGCAGGTCCTTTTTGAAAGAAATTAATGCTTCTGCTGATTTGACTCTCCTATACTCAGACTTTGTGTCTACTTTCGTTTTATTGTGACAATCATTTAAAACTGTGAACACATGTAGGTGATCTGTGATGTCACAGACAAGTATTCCACTTTCAGAATCATTAACAAAATTGTTAGCGAATATATTGTCTATTAGTGATGCACTATGAGAAGTGATTCTAGTGGGTCTGTTTATGCGTGGATGCAGACTCATACTGTACATTGTGTTGATAAAGTCTTCTGTTGATTTATGATTCTCTGAATTTATTAGATCAATATTAAAATCTCCAGTGACTCATTTGTGCAAATGTTTCCTCAACCCAGTCTCTAAATGTCTCTACTTTAGAACCTGGCTTCCTATATATGCAGCTAATAATTATATGCTTGTGATCATGATAAACTTATACTACTTATACTTATACTGTATTTAAACTTCAGCGAATTATGTACAAATAATCCAACACCCCCTCCTCCTTGGTTTTGTCTGTTTACATTTATAAATTCATAGCCCTCCACTTCCTTTTTCCAGATTTATCCATGTTTCACTTAGAGCAATTACACTGAATGGTTGTGTGAACTGCTGTAATGCTTAATGTGATCGAAATTTGAGTATAAACTTCTATCAAATACTGATATAACATTTTGGAACCTGAAATGAAGCGGCCGTGTATTTATTCTGCAAAATATCTTGCATATCTATGACGTTCGGAGTTCAAATCAGCCAGTATCATCAATTACAAAGCCCAATCAGTACAACAACTCAATTCATATCAGAGAACAGCTAACCGATAAAGGATTCTTTTCCAGATCAGTATTGATATTTGATACCAGTAACCGTAGCTTTGCATCTCAACAACAGGTGGATGATTTTTCTTTTTGTTCTGTATCCCAAAATTCAAATAACCAATCTGTTGCCTAAAGAAAGCATCCAACTGGGAATTGTCCTGGGACTAATGAAGCCACAGAGAAAGAGTTAATCATAACACTATAACGGCCACAGGCAGGATCACAGATGCTTGTTAGTCATAAGCTATAATTAAGGAGAAGACAGTTGTGTTCTTACCGTTTTAATCGCAACCTCCAGACCAGTCTTGGCCGACTTTGCCCGATAGACACATGCGAACGAACCCTTTCCCAGAAGTGTAAGGACTTTAAAATCCTGCAGAGAAAATATTAATTTGTCAGGTTACTATTGAGCCCTTCACAAATACATAACAAGAGCATAAGCATGTAATTACACCTCTATACAGCTCTCAGGGGACAGAAACAAGCCACTGTCCCTGTGTCTACAGACAGTGAAATCAGAAGAAAAGTTTTGAAAGTAGTGTTGTAATATGTTAAAGGGAACCCGTCCATGCTCCGACATGATGGAAGTAATGAAGACACCGCAGATGCCAACGACTTCGCTTGGGGGAATAATTTGCAACCACAACAACCAACAACAATGCCCAACACCTGCGGCTGTCATCTGCCCAACTAAAGTGCACATGTCCCGGCTCTTGTCCCGCGCCAGGGTCTCACTTGTGGCTGTATCTAGGAAACTGGGAACGCAAACTTCAGCGGTGCAGCAACAGCACGGGCTGCGCGCAGAGGGGCGTGTGTGTTAAATCACTCATTATAATAATAACGCTTTAGTAGAGAATGTAGCTATAGTTGTATGTGTTGTCTTGTGTGTTAACAATTGGACTAAGACTAAATAATAATATTGCACAAAGAAGGTTATACAGTCGTGTGGGCTTGGAAAAGTTAGTTCACTTTCAATTTTAACAAAGCAACACTAAAGCTAGTAAGCCTAATGGTTAAAATATATTAGTTACGACAAAACAGAGGGTGGTCTTGCATATAGCAATTACCTGTAGAATAATTATTTATTTAACCACCAGTTGACATTACAGCCGACACGGCAGAGCAGAAGTAGAGGAGGGCCCCATAGTTGACGCCTGGTCTCTGGCTAATGTTAATGTTAGCTAAACAAAGGAACTCACCTCAATCTTATCTCCGATGGGCGCACTCATCTTGGCGATCATCAGGAGGCGCCCTTCATATTCGTCGGTGGGATGCACCCACAGTAAACCCAGGCATGAGGACGAAGAGTGCTTTAAACTGCGGTCGCTGTATTTACCCTCCAAAACATTTTGCCATTTCTTCCATTTTGAAAATATGCGCCCGTTACTCGCGCGCCTGCGCGGCTACTACAGCTGTGTCACGTGACAACAACAACACGCCCACAGTGTCGCTCATAGTGAAAAGAGACCTCGGGGAGAGTCTGTGTGGATCACGAATGATTATGATCTTTATAAAAGATGTAGGTGAGGGACCAGGTACTCCCTATTTTTTCAGTCACAAACGTATAATTCACTCTTGTAAACTTGTGTGGGTGTGGTGACTTTCCAGAGAACACAACAGTTGTGATACTACCAGTGTTTTGAATTGTTGTTTTGTTCTTTTTTGAAGTAACTAATCAGCTGTGTAACTTATAACAAAGATAAGATAAGATAAGATAAGATTGCTTTATTTATCTCACAGAGGAGAAATTTACATGTCACATTTGGCATGGATAGAGACACTCAGATTGTGCAAAGGGAGGAAATGTGCAAACATGTTACATGCAGGATATATATGTACAATAAAAGTGACAATAATTATGTACAACAAAAGTGACAAGTGTCAATTGGAAACAGTGTCAATAGTAGTGCAGGTTTTCACACAGTGATCATTTAAAGTGACTTATTGTACAGTCTGACAGCGGTGGGGATAAAGGCCCTGCGGTAGCGCTCCTTCCTACACTGAGGGTGCCTCAGTCTTCCACTGAAGGAGCTCCTCAGCTCCTCTACAGTCCTGTGCAGTGGGAGGTATTGTTCATGATGGAGGTGACTTTGACTAGCACCCTCCTGTCCCTCACCTCCTCCACAGAGTCCAGGGAGCAGCCCAGAGTGGAGCTGGCCCTCCTGACCAGCTTGTTCAGTCTGTTTCTGTCCCGCTCTGTGCTGCCCGGGGCCCAACACACGGCAGCGTAGTAAATGGCAGAAGCTACCACAGAGTCATAAAAAGTCCTGAGCAGAGGCCTGCTCACTCCGAAGGACCTCAGCCTCCTCAGAAGGACCTCAGCCTCCTCAGAAGGAAGAGGCGACTTTGGTCCTTCTTGTGCAGGGCGTTTGTATTATGGGACCAGTCCAGTTTATTGTTAATGTGAACACCCAGGTACTTGAAGCTGTCTACCAGCTCAATGTCCTCCCCCTGGATGTTCAGCAGTGTGTGGGAAAGTGGTTTTCTCCTGAAGTCGATGATCATCTCCTTGGTCTTACTGGTGTTCAAGCACAAGTGGTTGCGCTCACACCAGTCGACAAAGTCCTTGATAACCGACCATTGATAACATAATACTAGTTATAATCAAAGTCACTCAAGTTACATGCATAAATTATTTCAGATTTTCTTTCTCCATACTTTTTGAAAATAAATTGTGTGGAAACTCATTGCTCTTATTTTCTAATCTACTGTAATTTGCGTAACGATTACACATTGTGAGCATAATGCAAGACTGTAATCATGTATTGTATTATTATTATTATTATTATTATTTTGTATTTTGTATTGTATTCTTGTTTATTATTTAGTATAACTTATTACTTATTTTTTTAATATAATGATGTATGTATAATGTAAATGTGATGTATTTCTAGGTTTTAGGGACCAGGTCTGCAAACTAGCTGTTAGCTATACGGCCTATGAACACAGCATCGGTTCCTGTAACAATGCTTCTTGTTCTGTCCCTATCAAATAAACAAATAATAATAATAATTTACATTACACAAGGCATAAATAGAAAACATTAGCTTGGTGTCATTCAAAAATTAAAAAGTGTAATATAATGAGTGTTTCGAGGAGAGGAACTAGAGTAGTAAAACTCAATTACATTTTAAAAATAGTAAGAAATAACAATTATGTTCTATTTGAATCCCAGTAACTAGCAGCACATTGTGATCTTGGAATACGCATGCGCACAACAGGCAAGGAAGTGGAATAAACAACACAGGTTAGCCTGTTAGCTTGACTTAAGGCGTTTGGAGGCGAGTAAACACAACTATGGGCCTGTTCGGAAGAACACCTGACAAAGCTCCGAAGGAGATGGTAAAAAGTCTTTGTTGACCGTGATTCATGTTGTTATGAGGATTCAATCACTATTTACCGTCGACCCTGCTGTGGGTAGCCGCCTGTTCAGTGTGTTGACAGGTTGAAGTTAGCAGCCAGTTGACCTAAGAGTCAGCAAACTAAATTGCTGGGAAATGTATTACATATGTATAAAATAATATATCATATTATTTTTCTGACTGAATAAGCTCTAGTGTGTTTTGTTTTGTTGACCTGACGTAACTGTAGTAGGGAGCGACTGAGAACAAATCACATTACAGGTATGTCTATGAAGGCTGTTTTTAAAGATAATTTATTCTCTGAAACAGGTGAATGAGTGGTCCGGAAAGATTCGAAAGGAAATGAGAGTGATTGACAGACAAATCAGGGGTAAGTTTTTAATCATTATTATTGCATAATATAGTCCTCTGTACCAAAGGGGACTGCTAATAGAGAATGTAATGTATTCCAATAATTACTGTATATAAATGTGGTATTTGTCATTATGTTTTCTAGACATCCAAAGAGAGGAAGAGAAAGTAAAGAGATCCATCAAAGAAGCTGCCAAAAAAGGAGAGCGGGATGTCTGTATAATTTTGGCAAAAGAAATGATTCACTCTAAGCGTGCAGTCACAAAGCTGTATGCATCTAAAGCTCACATGAACTCGGTGCAGCTCAGCATGAAGAATCAGTTGGGTGAGTTTTTCAGAATTGTATCTTTTTACAGAGCTCATAACTGTCATGCAGGATCTGAGAATATTCAATGTCATTTCAAGCTTTGGTGCGAGTCTCTGGGTCCCTCCAAAAGAGCACAGAGGTCATGAAAGCCATGCAGAACCTCGTCAAAATCCCGGAGATTCAAGCCACAATGAGAGACCTGTCAAAGGAAATGATGAAGGTTTGACAAGTTTCCTAATATCAAAGTTATTCTTAGATTTGTTGATCTTAATTAAATCGACAAAATGTGACTTGCTTTTATTTAATGTCTTACTTACTTAATAGGCGGGCATTATTGAAGAAATGCTTGAGGATACCTTTGAAAGCATGGAGGATGGCGAAGACATGGAAGAAGAAGCAGAGGAGGAAGTTGACAAGATTCTTTTTGAAATTACAGCAGGTAATATTCACATGTCTTTTTTTTTTGTCTTTTTTTTTTTTTCAAATAAGTATTTTGTTGTCACTATGCCACAAAATCGAAAAGTTCTTGTTGCCGGTTTCTCGATACTATTATTACTAGCCTCATTGTGATACTAAGATTTTTAAGTTGGGCTTTTCTGTGTGGAGTTTGCATATTCTCCCCGTGCCTGCTCCAGTTACCTCCGTGTGCTCCGGGTTTCCCCTACCACAAAAAAAAACATGTACATTTTTTAAAATTTCACAACTTCAAATTTAAACATAAAAATAATACGTTTTATAATAAGTTATTTTTATGTTTTTAATCTTTTTTCAGCCTTTACACTTTCTAAATAAGTTTCTGGTTTCAATCTTTTTTTTTAAAGTATTTAAAGTATTCATTTTTTTTTTAATACTTTTGACAAGCCTAGTTCTGGAACTAATTAAGGATAATACAATAAATGAATATGACTTTCTTCATACAGTTAATTCTCTAGTAACTCCAGGTTATGGTTATAGGACAGAAAGTTGCATTTGTTTCTGTTTGTATTCCAGGGGCCCTCGGTAAAGCACCCAGCAAAGTCACAGATGAACTTCCTGAAATGGAGTCTAAAGGAGCCACCGCCGCCTCAGACGAGGAATCTGAAGAAGACATTGAGGAGATGCAGTCCAGACTGGCAGCTTTGAGGAGCTAAGGTGACCCCAGCTCTCACCGCAGCCACTCACACTAAAGACAATTCTGGTGCAGGATTAAACGTTCTTTCATCTTCTATTCATTTATTACAATCGTATGAGGGGGAAATGATGTACTTTAAACATAAACAAATGCTTTTTGCTTTGCTCTGGTAAAACAGAAGATGGGCGGTGTATGAAATGTATGAATAACCTGCTGTGCCTAATATGCTGAATTGTTTCGAGAGTATTTCCAGATTTAAATAACGCTACAGTGCAAAAGTGCTTTCACTCTTCTTTAAAGGGGTTCTGTTCTTTATACACTGCTCCCTTATTTATTGTGGAGGTTCAATTTGATTCTCTTTATTTTAAAAAACTTCAAGTCATGCACATACTGATTTCTTGAGTTTGTAAGTACTTTGTAAAATGGAACCCTCCGGAAGCTGAACTCACATTAGTTTATATTCGAGCCCCGATTATAAGCTAATGTAGTATGAAACGTTGATATAGAAGATAAAGACGATATTATTCGAGTAGCTACTCTTTCAGGCCTCTTGTACTTGGCCCTGCCCCTTCGACACATATCACAAATTCAGAAAAAATACATATCCGAAAGTATCGACATTCACAGGACTGAGGGGAGAGCCATGGAGGCGAATGCTATAAATCTCTCAAACATGAATGGCTCAAACTAAAAACTGCTGTGAGTGTGTAAACGACAATCTGAGAAGTTTTGTCCCCTTTTATCAAAGTACTACTACTCCGGCATTTCCTTTGCTCAAAAACATGTTACTGTTTGACCCAAAATCATCAGAAAAAGGATATTACTGAATTTTGAATATGAAATTGGCAAGCCTTAAAAAAAAACAGAACCTATCTGCAAAAAATGATTTGCAGATACATGGCATACTTATGTGAATGAGTATATTTTATTTATTAAGAGTCCTTGGTGCACTGCTTACATTTAGTTGGGATTATCTGACACAATTTTTCAATAAAAACGTTCACAGTATATTATTAACCATTGATCTTTCATTTAAAAGTATAGCCTCATAAATTACACATCCTCTGCACCTGTAACTTGGCCTGACGGAGCCTCCTGCTTATCCTCAGGGAGAAGTTAAAATGCAATATTGTTAAACATTCTTTGCATCACATCAATATAAAAAACATATTCTCTACATGACAAGCTACTATGAAGTGCACCTGTGACTTCAACCCCATGTTTAAAAGTAGTCCAAGAAGAAAAATACAGACGATTGGAAACACTTTTGCACTGTACGCGTGAAGTCTCGAAACGATCCGTGCCAAGTCGTCTCCTGTCCTGGACTCAAAGAAGCAGGTTTTCACTGATGGTATAAGCGAAGAACGGAAATTGCACAAAGAAAACTCAAATCTGTTCTAGTATATCCCCGAAATAGAATTGTAATCACAGTATTTAGTTTGATATTCAGACTTGTTAACAATTCTTCTCTGCATGTCTCCTTAAACTACGGTTCCACCAGCCTTACTCTGTTTAGCCTACTCTACCCCACTCTACTCTATATTATACTTCATTTTACTCCTACTCTTCCTACTCTATTTTACTCCTACTCTACTCCTTCTCTGTTCTACTCTATTCTACCTTATTATTTTCCTACTCCTCCTACTCTGTTCTCCTTCTACTTTACTCTACTCCAAACTGGTTGTATTTCCATTATGCCTTAGTATCTGGTACTGTATAGCAACCTACCCCCATTAAACCTGTATCCATGGACATTCCTTGGTTACCTTGGCTTCTTGCAGCACTCTGGCCAATCTCTGTCAGCTAGAACACTTTAGTACTTGGCCTGGTTCAAACAAGGGCCAAGCAGGTACTATCAAAGTACCTGGTGCCTGTTAAAGCCTCTCAATCAAGGTAGAGTATAGTAGGGCTGGTGGAAATATCATGGTGTCTGTTTGAGAATTTTAAAGTTGTCTTATATTTATCCTTTTTAATGGTGACTTATGTTATGTCTTTCTTTACATACAGCAATAGCTTTATTATGCTCTTCAGGAATAATGCTTTGCACATTATTATACATTTTGTTTGTTTAAAAAGCTCTGACTAGTGTTGAGCTTCCATACTATGTTTTTAAAGTTGTATGTCGCTGGGAATAAACACATTGGATATATAAGATTTTTCTCAAGCTTTAGTTAAGTGGTTGTTTTTATGTATTTAATTAATTACTTTAAGACTGCAATCAACAAGATTACCGGTTATTCTATTAATAGGTTTAGATTACCAGCCCAGCCCTGTGGACTGCCACCCAGTCCACAGGGCTGGTGCTCTGTGGACTGGGTGGCATCTCTGGCCACCCCCCCGACCCAGAAATGGATTAAGGGGAAGAAAATGGATGGATGAAGGTTTAGATTACAAAGGGTTAATGAATAAGGGATTTGATCAAGAAACTGAGCAAAACCACACATGTTCTCTAGGAGCCTCCAGGCGGCCTTCCGTATCAAGTTTGCATGTTCTCCCTGTGTTTGTGTCCATCTCCTACCACTATAGTTCATGGTGAATGAGTGAGTTTGTGATTTTGACCGTGAGACAATGGATGGAGACAATGGATGGAGACAATCTGGTGTATTTACAGTCCCGAACAACAACAAAAATTAGTTAAAACAATTTCTTGTTAAATTTTGAATAAATACCTAAATTGTAAAGCACTTTGAGTGTCTTGTTCTGTGAAATTTGCTTAATAATATTGCATTGGTTTTATATAGTGCTTATTGTATACTTAAAATAGCATTATTCTTCCACTCCATACACTGTGGTGTAACTGTAGCCACAGTTGCCCTGGGGGTATTGACCAGTATATGCCATTGGCCCTTCAAATCACACACACGATTCATATTAGGCAATGTGGGTTAAGTGTCATGCTAAAGGTTATTTGGCTCTTTACAGCCGCCACTGTGGCATTTGGTGTCCCAAATGGTCTTCCATCATAGTACTAACCAGGCCCTATCCTGATTAGCTTCAGAGGTCTAGCAGAATTTGTCTTTTACATGCAGGTGGCATCACAAAACAATAAAGTAGTTATAGAATGTTGACATAAAACCTTTTCTGAATATGTTTAGGTCTATGTAAGGTTTGAAAATCTGGGATAAAAAGTTAGCTGACAACTATTGATGACTTGCGATTGACCCAGAAACCTGTTACAGCCCTCTATATGTAGATGTTTTGTCTCAACCAGTTCCACAACTCCTTCTGAATGTGCCTTTTTAAACTTTCATTCTCAACCTCAGTCAGGCCTTTGACTGAAGATTGGATTACCTGAGCACTTTTTGTTCTGCTGTAACCGTACCTTTCTCCAGCGGCTCCTGCGTTTAGGCTAAAGGGCTGGATCAGTGGCTCAAAGTCTCTTTGAATGAAATGTTATGTGTGAATTGTGTAAACGTGTAGCAAACATGTCAAACATATTCTATCAAGAGTCAACCCTGTCAGTGGTTTGAAGCATAGAACAATAGATCCATGCTTGGATTGGCAACTAATTTCTAATTTCTGTACTAACTTTTATCTCTGGTGCGATATAATTGTATTTTCTACTTCTTACTTTTGAAAGACGATACTATATTAAAATTAAAACACGGTGTCCTCAATGTGTTATGTTTCTAAGCATGTATTTTGTATATTATGGACCCACACATTGTTTATGTTTGGGTCCACAGTTTTACTTGCCACCTCTGACCCTACACATAACAAAGAAGGCATTAGGTCTAACTAAGTGTTGTGTAACTCAAACCTTATCCTCTTTGAACAACACAACACTGCCATCTATGGACTAGTTTTGGATTCACGTCTCTCGTCTCTGTTTTCCATCACGATCGAGCCCGTGTGCGTCTGGACGCACGCTCCAGGACGCGCTTGCCATTTGGAGGAAACTCCTCCCAGCAGACAGCGCGTCCTGTCGCCTTTTCAGCGCAATGGTCTCCTGGATTATCTCCAGACTTGTGGTGTAAGTCATTTTAATTTCTATTATTTGAGTCAGTATTTGTGCGGGATTATTGCGTTTACAGTGTGCATGTTATGGCAGCGCTCGATGGTGCTTTCGCCTGCGCCCCTGTAAACCCGCACTGTGTCTGTATAATGAGATATGCAACTGGAACCGATGTCTATTAATCTTTGACTAAAGCCGTTTAGATCACGGGAGGTGATTTGCCATAATAAGCCACAGCCGCCTTGGTGCCATCTGTATACCTGTAGGCTGCCCTTCTCCGTGACTGGCAGTGCTTTATATTTGACAGACAAAGAAGTGATCTGCTCGCATACATATTCTATGAACATATGTGGCACACAGTGGGGACGGCCCGCTTGTTGTCGGCCGCATGTCTCTGGAAACGCCACATAGGGCACTTTGCTAGGGCGTCTTGTTTATGCTTCATACTAGATACAAAAGGGATGGGTCAGACCGCTCATGTTACAGACACAGAATTGTTAAGATGAATAATACTAACATTTAATAGCAGAGCAAGGCCTGTCATATTTAGAACCATGAATGGATTTAATAATAAAGAACAGCTGGTATTTTAGGTTGTGGATATTTTAAACCCCTACAAAGTATGAATCAGCACAACAGATCTATGGCCTGTGCTAACACCAGCCCAGGTCTGAAAATAGGGAGATTATTAAATTTAGATTGGGGTGTACTGTTACAGATAGCTATACATCTTTCTCCGATCGTTAATGTTTGTGTTTTAATCTTTAACATTAAGTCCTGTGTCCTGGTTTGGTGCATGAGTTCAGGGCAGTGCGGCCAAGGTAATGCAACATGATGTGGGTCAGTAACTTGAGTAGCTCTTCTCACAGCTGTTGCTTGGTTGGCTGTGGTTCTTGTCTCTCTCTGTCCACTTTCAAAGACACAGGTGTCACTCCCAAATAGAAAAGACAGGACAAATACTCATGTTTGAAGCGATAGTGACAGAGAGACATCTAATGAGCGTCTATAGGGGTAACTCAAATACACTCCTGTTTACCATCTCACCTCTTTTGTCCTACAGACTTGTGTTCGGCACATTGTATCCTGCATATTCCTCTTATAAAGCTGTGAAGTCGAAAGATGTCAAAGAATATGTAAGTTTTGATGCTTCCATATTGGGCTGTGACAAGTTTTTGATTCATCCCCACTAACATTTATTAATGTAGAAATCATGGCAGGTTTTCTTAAACAGCTGAGAATAAGTTTTATGAATTAAATCTAGATATATTTGCAAAGTATTTATAACAAACAACCCAATTTGTAACAAGTCCCCTGAATGAATTTGTCCTATACTTTAGCTGTTTTCTGGTCACATGTAGAAAAATCCCATATTCACTGAGCCTTCACATTCGAAATCAATCAATCAATCGAAGGAATAATCAGCCAACTAATAGATTATCGATTTTTAAAGCTGGGACACCTAACAGCAGACAAATAACCCCTCTTTAAAGTCTTCTTCCTCTAGTGTTCACATGCATGTATTTTTGGCCTCTGACAAATCTTTAGATCAGCCTTTTTTCAGTGACAAAGAAACCTCCAGCCCTCACTCAGCCAATCAGCTCTCCGTATGTAAGAATAAAAACGGCATGCCGTGGTCTGATTTGTTCACAAAATGTTACTAAAACATACATTTATGAAACCGAAAAAAAAGTTAGGCACTCCAGCTTTGGTTCTAGCCCCACTTCTATGCCTATTATTGTATTTGAAATGTCTTCTTTAAAACCTGATTTTGTTCTTGTAGGTAAAGTGGATGATGTATTGGATAATATATGCCCTATTCACAACTGTAGAAGCCTTCACGGATATATTTGTATGTTGGTAAGTTGGTCACTACAGGGTTAAACGCTATTGTTCTAATGTTTTCAGTGTGTTTCATCATATTCCCCTCGAGGACACAATAACGACAGCGGTTATTGGCTTTTCTTCCAGGCTTCCTTTCTACTATGAGCTGAAGATCGCTTTTGTGGTGTGGCTGCTGTCCCCGTACACAAAAGGTTCCAGCGTGTTGTACAGGAAGTTTGTTCATCCAACGCTTTCCTCCAAAGAAAAGGTGAAATGCCATCTCCTGTGTGTCTGCGTGTCCACTTCCTGATGTGCTTCCAGGAAAGGGGGAAAAAGTGACTTGAAAGAAAACAAAAAACGACTGGAGCTAAGTTACTGTGCTGTTGTGACTAATGTCATTTTGCACTTAACCTCGTATTGCAGACATGTTTTACATTCTTTTCCAGTTTAGTGGAAAAGGAATGACATGTTCTTTGCTTTGGTTTTCAAGGTGCTTTGTGAAATCAATGAGATGGTAATGCTTAATCTGGAATGATGGAGCTGGGCGATTATTTTTGTGTATATATATTTTTAAATTTTAATGGGGATATTTGACAGTCAGTCATCAAAAATCCTGATTCTATTATTGAACAAACTATTTTATTACAAATGTTATAATTCCAATTATAATAACCAAGTCGCTAAACACCAGAAACTTGACACTTTGGGCGTGCCAGAATATAAGGCGCACTGTTAAAATATAGTGCAAGATATATGGTAAGTTATATCAGTATACACTATTTTTGTAATGGATTCATAGTTTTTTTCAAACCATACTGGACCAAAACATGCAGAGAATAGATTTTATGCCTCAGATAATTACAATGGAAAAACATGGCAGTGTTTTTCTATGGGTGTTTCTAATCAAATGAACAATGAATAAACAATCATGTTACATCGAGTCTCTATGAAGATGTTCTTGAATGGCCTATAGCTTTTAGAGTTGTTTTGGTCACATTCCCATATTTTGAGGATTTAAGCGACTAATCAGAAGCTTGACAAATGTGTTTATTCAATCACCTCTTGTTCTGTGTGACTTTATGCTTTGTTGCATAACGTATAACCCCTCCTTGTTTTCCAGGACATTGATGATTACATCTGTCAAGCAAAGGACAAGAGCTATGACACACTGGTGCACTTTGGGAGGAAAGGACTCAATGTAGCGGCCACAGCAGCAGTCATGGCTGCCACTAAGGTGAGCGCTAGCACCGACACCAGCTTCAGTTTATACACTGTGTGCTTTATAATCATGACATTAACATGTTTGAAGAAGATAACTAAACTGATGCATCTAGTGAGACATGTTATGAATTTGATCATGGACATTCTTTTGACATAGGATTCAAAATACATGCATGTGAAAACTAAAAAAAACACTGTTTTTAAAGTTGGGAACTGGTTACATGGATGTTATACAAAGATACTATTTTGTAGATAAAAATTTGGGTACCCCAGCTTTAAGAAAAAGAACCCACCAAGGCACTACCACTGAATCACTAAAAGTCATTTTATTACAGAGACAGAACTCGCCTACGTGGCTCAACGCGTAGAAGTGCCACATGTCTGTAATAATAAAGAACTTTTATTTTCCCTTTGAACGTCAACGTGTCAGAATTGCTAAATGGGCTACTTGTCCTCTACCTCTAAAGTTTCAGGGCTCCACCTTTTGTCTGATCCTGTAGAGCACCTGACTAATCAAGCCACTGTACTGTGGGGCAAAAAAGTTCTCATTTAAATGACTGGGGCTCATTCATTTGTAATGTAACACTAGTTGGCAAGAACAGAGGTCAAACGTTTCCCTTAGGTCTTCACCAGGTTATAGCTGGCATTTTAGCCCATTCTTCCATGCAGATCTTCACTGATGGAAGAAGGTTTTTGCCCAAAATCTAATTCATGGACCATCCATCCTTTCCTATCCCTGTGCTTTACAGCGGGTGGATAATATCCTGTCATTTGTTGGCTGGATGTGTAAACATGTCAAAACACACGTTAGATGTTTGCTGATGATCCCTTCTGGTGCAGAGCCAGGGCGTGCTATCGGACAGACTCAGGAGTTTCAGCATGCACGACCTCTCCGCACTCCAGACAGACGATCCTCCACACTCCTCCCCCACGCCGCCCACAGCGTCCCAGCAGCGGAGCAGACCCATGATGCGCAGCAAGTCGGAGAGTCAGAAAGGTAGCTATGAACCGCAACCTTGTTAAGACACTGATGAACGGGAGCTGGGTACTTCTATTATAACTGTATTTTAAATTAAGTGAATTATTTATTTCAATCCAGAACCACCTCTTCACAGACACAGATATGCGTTTATATCTGAAAAGGGATTTGTTGAAGCAGTTGATTATATCACTCTGATCCCTCTCGATACCACCTGTTTAACACAAGACAGAACTGTACAGTACATATTGTAATACATAAGGGCTGTAACAAGTGAATTGATCAAAAGCAACTAGTAACTCATTTTGAATCAAGTTGAATCAATATTTGAGCCTTACCTGGGCGAAAACAAGAAGGTTTTATGACTCCGACACAGCAGGGTTTTATGTTTTAAGTATTTCTCATCAAATAACCATCCAATAAATCTAGTCTCGATGGAGATGTTCTTAAGTTGCATTGCTACAGCTCTGTTTTGTACAAGTATTTAAAAATGTCCATGTTTAGTTTATTTTAACAGCTTGTTGATTAGCAAATAATTCTTAATTACTGCCCTACAACATGACACTACCACTGGTATGAGACAAACACAAGACAGACACACACACCACAGGCCCAAACACTCTCCGACCCTACACCTCTCTCTCTCCTCACTCAGTGCTGAAGGCATCACTAGCTCTACTCCACATAATTCTGCAAAAAAAACATTAGAATAAAATCAGGTTTGAAACATCTTTCTAAATCATTTGTCATTTTATTCCATAGAGCAGTTCCAGGCTCTGAGATACTCATACAGAGATTATAAAATACAGTCTGAGCTGCATAAGCTGCGTGTGCATAAATCGCGAGTACATTTTAAAATAAAGTAAACGTTGTCCACTGATAGGCCACACTTGAATATAAGTGTTGTAATGTAAAAATAATGAGTTCATTAACTCTGCTTTGACAAGGGCATATAAAACAAGTGTATTTATCTATACTCTTGTGTCGCGGCTGTCTGCTGTTCACATAAACACACCAGGAAGTGGGAATGTGTGCTATATCATTAGCTCCAGAGATTAACAGCTGATAGAAAGAGCCGGGGGAAGCTCAAACAAAATGAAAATACATACATTGGCCGCATTGGTGTATCAGCCGCAGGGTTCTAAATATAGCCTCATACAGTTTTTAGTTTCCTCTAGTCTGTAATTGCGGTGTGCATCTCTATCATGGAGCAGGTTTTTCACATCGGGAGCCAGAAAGTTCTCCTGTTCTTAATTTCTCCTAAATCTATGAAGAGTGGATTAGAATTAGGTCTATAGTGGATATTAGTGGACCATCCTAATGGATTGAGTTAATTAAAGGCTGTAAGTGAGATTTTTAACAGTTTCCTCTCACTTCAACACAAGACATGTAGAAATGATTGATACAATCAATGAGCACAGGTGTAAGGTTTGGTCTTGTGTCTGTTTCACTGTGGTACCAAATACATATAGCCTACAACTTTCTCTGTCCCTTACGCTAATGTTTATTGTACATCGTCACTGTAGAAATATAAATTATACTATACTATTTTCACTGCATATTATCAGTGGACAGACAGGCCATGTGGCTGTTGGACCCAGGACACACCTCAAACCCCTGATCTGCTCAGTCCTATGATCAAACTCTCATGCAGTCACCAGAACTTCCCCTTCTATATTCAGCAGCAGAATTACCATTTGTTCTTTTCATGTGATTCAATTTTCCTCCGGAGAATCAGCAGATATCACAATCATTCACTTCAAAGTTGTCCTATAAAAACAAACACCGCCTCAAACTCCAAGTAGAAACATTTATTTGAACTGATGAAAAGCATGCTCTGATAATTATAAAACAAAAGATGAACATCTTTTTTTTTATTGAATATTTTGTTTTTCATGCCTTTTCTATTTCCTTATTGTTGTTATTATGCAAAATTTTAAGGATATTCTTTCCATTGAAAAATCATGCTTTCATCTACAATTATATCATAAAAAACCTTTATCGCCACATGGAAATTAACTTTCATCTCGTTTTCATATTTTACAAACTAGATGCCATAATTATTGTTGATTGAATAATATAAATATTCACGTTACATTACAAAACACCAAATTGTTGATTTTTGGCATGAATATGTTTTAAAATATGAATTTTGTCAGCAGAACAGTGTGTGTAGAAATATCTAATTTTAGCCTGGGGCTATGCGTTTCGATATGTTAAACACTTGAATGTATGAAAACATAGCAAATCATTTTTTTTGTAATTTTATAGATTTACAGGTGAAGCATAGTGGCATAAGTAATGAATCTCTATCATATTTTGATTGTAAGATGAATTACAGGAGGAAATACATATTCTTCATATGTACTCACTTCCCATCCAGAAGATGTAACAATATTTAAACTCCATATTTTATACCATATGTCTCAGTTTTTGTGTTTCAGCTTCAGGTTAAAAAGTTTAAAAGCACAACAATACAAACCTAAACCCACACTAAAAGTAAACAGTCGGGGTCAGTGTGGTCTGACCCGTCTCTCCTCGCACAGGACAGGAGGAGGATATGGACTATGAGCTGCTGGATCTGTGGAGGTCCAAAGAGCTTCCACACAGTGACCCCCAGATCTTCTCCCTCAGCCCCCAGTCCTCTGCCCGCTCCACCCCCTCCCCGCCCCCCTCCCCTTCTGCACCTGAGCCCCCCCAGGAGCCGGCCACAGAGCTCCCTGAAGCCTCTAGTTCCCCACAGCTCAGGCTCAGTAGGAGGAAGGCCCCAGAGGTACTGTGGACTGCTGCCCAATCCTGACTCTGGAGAGTGTGAGAAATACTGATTATCACGCATCAGTGTGTTTGCGACTGTGGCGTGTGAGCTTCTAACTGTTTACTGACAACACGTGCATCTGCTTTGTGCATTATGTAATTAGTCTGTTTGACTCCAGAGCAAACAAGAACAAACATTTGAAGATAGAAGATTGCGTCAAATGGTAACACAAATATTATGCGTTTGTAAAATTCCATAACAACAAACTGACTTACTTTTATACCTGCTTTCATTTAGATATGTGTGGTGCTACTTTTTGTTTTTGAAGAAAAGCCAAAACCAGCATAATTTAACTTTACACACTGGCAACCCAAATGACTCATTCTAGTCTCTGGTTGAATAATCTGCTTTAATCTGTTTTTCTTAAAATGTCAAACAGGGTTTTTACACGTGACCTGTCATTTGAGGACATGCATAAAAGATGTTGATGTAATTTGATTTAAACAGAAAATATGACTGTCCCAATATCCCAACACGCAGTCCTCCACAGTGCTTCTAACCTGAAGGGGTTTTTCAATGCACTGCCATCAGGGAGTCCCACCCCACAACTATAGATGATATGATTATGAACTAGATTTGATAAGATTTAAGTGCATCGGTAAATTTTGTTCTTCAGACAGTGTTAGCTGAATAGACGTTTCATAGCATGTCCGACGATTGTGCTGTGATGTACAAGTGAAGTTCATTTCCTTCTGTAATGAAGTGGACTGTGATCCATAATCATCAGGCCTTATTACCATATTCCTTTAAAGGCCCTACAGTGGAACTTTCTGAATAAATCAAACCTATTTCAATCAATCAATCAACTTTATTTGTATGGCGCAGGCCATACAAATAAAGTAGCAGGCGGCAGAAACTCCCATCTAAAACCTGTTGTGTTTTTGGCTAATATTTCAAGATTCACTTTTAATTCACGCCTTAAAGTTGATGTCGGATTGTATTCATTTTATTTTTTTACTTTTTCTTATTAAAGTTTTTATTAGGACAATAGTAAACTGTGCAGTTATACAACTCTGACATGTACAAAGTTCCTTTTTGCTAATGAAAATAGTATTATTTTAATTTAAACATTAGGACACTGGAAATTTTCCAAGAATAATAGTTAAAACTGTTCCTCCCTTTTCATTGGTTTAACTATTCTCGAGTAAATATTTCCACAAGGATTTTAATTAATTTCAACCAATCAGGAAGCAGGGTGAGTATGGGCGGGTCTAATCAGTGCATGTCTTGAAACAAGTTTCACTCTCTCTTCAGTTTGAAAAGTCACTAACGTCCTGACATCTAATGATACTAATATTGAATTGATTTTGAAGTGATTTTCTGCAGAAGGAGAAATTGCACTATTTAAATCCGTTCTGTTTACGATCATGTTGTGTCTCCTCCTGTAGCCTCCTCTTAGAACGCTGAGACCCCTGACCAGATCCAGGAGTGCCCTTTCCTCCCACAATGAAGCCATTTGACCGTGTGCGCCCGGTCACTCCGATGCCTTCGCTGCTCGTCCCAACAGTGAGGCTCAGAAAACACCTGGCTTTGGAAAGGAAGAACCAAAGTGCTGATGACTGCTGTCCCGTTCCAGTACAGAGACACTTGTGTGAATGAACGAGGCTTTATGGGATCCACCCTGACGGTCATCAAGTCAACTGCTTACGGAATAAGTGTATTTATGTATCTTCAGTTGTGTGCACTTTTAGTTACAGTATGTCATACGTGGGCATCTGCATGTGCGGTTTCTCCTTTGTACTGATAACAAGTCATACTCTGGCTTCTCTGATGTCACGCACGGGAGCTGGGGTCAATATTCAGCTACAAAGCCTTAATATAGTGACTAAGTTGATGCTATAATATATGTTGTGCAATTTAGTATAGAAGTAATATCACTGGAGGAAGATTACTTGGGGGAAAAACTGATTCAATCTTAACAAATAAAGTGTTTGTTGCACGTCCTAACAGATAGACAGAGATTCTGTTTATGGAGCCTCAGCTTTGTCCTGATGTTGCCCCCACTTTCTGTGTGTTCTGGGGCCGAAACAAACATTTCTCAGGTACAACTGTTGTGTTTACACATCATCTCTCATTGGTAAACAGCCACAAACATGCATTTGTAGTCCAAGTTAGCAAAGTTACGTATTTACACAACTGTGCATAGACTGATTGATAGCTGCATGTTTATTATTGATTCATTATTAAATCATTTCTTAAGTGAGCCTCTTCACCTTTGGACGATTATGTTGGTTCTAAGTGTCCATTTGTTCCAGTTATTTAGAGGCACCACTCTTAAAATACATTATTTTCTGGCAGGCCAGAATTACACATATATAAAGTGAAAACATACTTCAACATTGTGACTGTAGAGTGGTGGAAATCATTTCTCATGATTCTGTTCAAATTAAGATCCAATCATTAAATGTGACTCAAACCGGTCTCGTCTCGTTCTTTGGATGTGATCAGTTTTATTAGAAGATATTTACACATATACAGGAAATACATTAGACTTTGAGGTTGTTCCGGTCATGATAGGTCAGATATGGATCGTTGAGAAACCAGTTCCTCCTTTTCCAGAATGAGGTGGTCATCTTGTCCAGAAGTTTGCTCTGGGTCTTGTTACAGATGACATGCTCCCTCAGGCGCCGCCGTCTGGCAGGGAGCTTCTTCCACAGCTTCTTCTTGTACCCGGCCTGCATCAACACACACACATGTAAGTAAGTGTAGAGGACTGAGAGCTTTCAATTCAATTTATTTTTGTATAGCCCTAAATCCCAACAGTTATCTCTTCACAAAACAGTCAAATTCACCAACACAGATGAGAGAAACAATTTAAAAAAAAAACACAAAGACAATGATGGTCCACATGGGGCAGATGACCATCCATGTATGTCAAGTGTCCTGGATCATCACCAACAATGATCCTGGACACTCGACATCCTCAGTAGATGAACCTGAGTCCTTAGAAAACAGCTGCAGTTTGGTCAGGTGAGGTTTAAAAAAAGGGATTGTATGTAGTATGCACTCTTAGCGCTCTATTAAAGTCATTACTATTCCGACTTAAGTTGCCAGAATCTTCCTACCAATGACACATGTAGTTCATTTATACTCTATCCCCATATTTCTTACTGTACCTTGCGACGGATCCACAGGCCACAGTGCAGCCTCATGAATCGTTCTGTGACCGACTTGCACGACTTCCTCTTCCCTGTCGTCACGCTGTAGTACGTGATACTTCTGGCGGGCTGCAGAGTCAAGCTGGGAACAAGAGCAGTCACTCTGAAAGCAAAAATACAAAAGGGCTGTAATTAATGATTTTTGATAGCTGTTTTTGATCCCGAAAGTGAATGTGTGTTTACTACTGGAGAACATATTCATAGATGTAGATTAGTTAATTCTGCAATCCCCATAGAATTGTATTGTAGAATCCTCCTTCCACATGTTTAAGTCTATGGGAGGTTCAAAAAACGATTACCATCCAAGCTCTGCTTGTGTACAGGTATCTCCATGGCCTCGTACCAAAGTACATCTGAGACATGTTCGTGCCATATGAACAAACTCAGACTCTGAGGAGCACAGGGACTGGCATCCTGCTGGTGCCCAGAGTCAAGACTAAACATGGGGAGGCAGTGTTTCAGAATTCATGCAACAAAAATCTGGAACAGTCTTCCTAAGAATGATCAAATCCAGGTTAGCTGTGCATACACCTGCATAATTGTATATTCATTCTTTTTATATGTAACGAGATTATTTATCATTTATCAATGCCTTGTGATTTGTATATTCCTTTTCTTGTTTTGTTTAGCACTTTTAATTGCCTTGTGTATGAACTGTTTTATACAAATCAACTTGCCTTGCCTAAATACACCATATTTAAGACAACTTAAGGCTTCAATTCCATCTGAAATATCTGTAGTATACCTTTTCAATGCAATAACAGAAGAAACCACCGCCGATACGTTTATTCAATAGCTGTTACCTTTGGAGGATGCTGGTTTGCACAGTGAGGAGAGAAGCCCGCAGAGGGTCGCATGTCCTGGGGTAGACAGAGCTGCACACCCGCGGGGGAACAGCGCTGGACAGATGACCCACTCGATCCACCCTCCTGCCCAGAGAAACTGCGATCGGCCTCAACAAACCTGTGTCAAATAGATCCATGTGTCAAATACACTGTGGTCACATTCAAGGACAGGAGCAGGAAGGCAGCCGGACACAGCATGAGGCTCTGTAGCGCAACAACAACATGTGTACAACCATCAACACTGAACCCATGTTTAGTTTAGAATCATGGTGTCAAATGTTATCATCATAAGTCCATTTAAACATGAAATACGAACCACAGACTCTCCTTCCAAATGTGGCAGCCATGTTTTCCAGCAATCTAGAAACAACGGAAGCCTGCAAGTCAAGACCAAACAGTGAGAAGACTGTAGGAGATACATTATAGTGCCATCTAGCGGGGGATGTTGTTATTGTTGTTGCCCTGACATTGGTGATTCTTCAACTATGGACAAATCCTTGCTCTGGATTATTTTTATATATTTTATAAAAACAATTTATAAATAGATTGAAAATTCAAGAAAAAAACTCTTCAGCTGTCATTTCCAAACATGTTATATTTCTTTTGAATTTACTCATAAAAGGGTTAACAGTACACTAATGAGCTAAAACTAGAAATTAGCATGCTTACAAAGCTTGCGATTTTGTTGTAAATGTGACGTTTCCATCAAGGTCATTTCTATCACATTATTCTATTCCATCCCATTATAAAATAATAGTAAGAATAAAATTGAATATTAATCAGAAATACTAGACATGTATCTACAACAAAATTTTTGAAAATTGAATTTAGATTTTCCAAAAATTGGAGACCCCGATTTGACCATTGTTGAAGAATCACCCATACATACTTTATACATATTTATGAAAGCAGGTCATATTATTTTATTATAGTAATAAGACAATAGGAATTTAACCTTAGTAAACACTAATATAAATAATAAGTAATAATAAGTGTTTACTAATAATGATAATATTAACGATAGCTAAATCAAACATTTGAATGAATCACTATGGTTATGTGATTATATGAATCAACACTAACATTTGAAACAGTGAAAAATGTAAGACAGGCTTCTTCTCAGTGTTAAAATCCAGGTTTTTCTTGTTGTATTCTCATTCTTTTCAATCAACTGTGATTATTTATTTAAAATTGTAAAGCCTCATGTGATTGTTATGTTTGTCTCTTTTTGTTGCATAAGAACTGTACCGCGCAAATAAACCTGCCTTGCCTTTACATGATCATGTGCCCAGACTCAAAAGATTGAATTTTGGGCGGCTACCACAGAAATTAACAATTCAAACCTATTGAATCATGATCGTAGAATGTTATAGCACAGAATAATCCACTACATTTGGTTAATGTCTAACTAAAAATTCCATAAACTGCATCCCACGCTTATACCAAGCCTTCTCCTGTACTTTCACTTTCTGTTCCCAGACTAACTAACAGGTTTCTCCACAGTTTTGCTTCGTTAGTCACGGCCAGCTTTGTTAGCATAAGAGTGTGAAAATGAATTTAAAAAGAGGTTAAAAAAAACTATGTACAACTTATAAGACTTTGACTTCAGATTACCTTTATTACTTCTATCGGCATTTTTATTATTTTTTGTTAAAACATAAAAAATGTGAACACAATTAGGAAACATGGCATCAACAAACAGACAACTCTCAAGTGCAAAACAATGACCTCAAAGAAAAAGGTTTTTGAGAGAAATGTTTGCACCAACATAGTTTTATAATCCAATAACCTTTACCAATGTAGCACACAATGCGATCATCTGTACTTTAATAAAATCAAAGCTGGAGAAAATTCCGGTCATGACAAGTTCATTATGGAAAGTCCATGAGGCATCACCAGCCTGCGTACACGGGCTCCGCGTCACAGGGGATGCCGTAGTATCGGCCCTGAGGACGCTCTTTCCGCAGCAGAGGCGTCCGAGCCACAGACAGCTCCCCGTCAGTGTCTTTGCGGCGACGCAGCAGCATGAGGATGATGAAGAGTAGGGCCACTGCAACAGGAGGAAGCTTTGAGTTCAATTGTGACTTGCGCAGGCGTGCTTTGGGGCAATGGTTTCACAGATTTAAACAAAACACATCATCGGATTGAGTTTTTGTCAGTTTTTAATTGCTTGTGAAGCACTTCAGGTTACACTCTATGAATTCTGCTTTATAAATACATTTGACTGAATGATGATACAAATAAAGCTAATTAATTTCTGTAATTCAGCTTTAAATGGGAAACTAATATATGATGTACTGTAGACTCATTGCATGCAAATAGACATTGTTTGTTATATTATTGATGATTGTGGCCTTTTCTGAGACGTATTTTTTTTTTTTTTTTTAAATAAATATGTGTGAATTGCACTTGCCTCCTCCTCCAACAACGAGCAGAGCTATAGTGACAGGGGCCAGTTCACAAGTGTCCCCTGCCTTTCTGAAGAAGGTCTCCATGCAGTAACCAGGGGCCAGACTGCCCTGAGGACAGAAGGCATCGCTGGGACACTGGATGGGAGTCACATCTGGACTCTGAAAACCAAAGAATGACTGTAATCATCCCAAAAAAAGGAGAAAATGTTCTTGTTTCCAGAGCTTACGGGACAATAGTGGTTCTCTGGGCAGACGTCACACTGCTCCTGGCCCCAGTGGATCTGGTAAGAGCCACTGCTGCAGATTTGGCACATGGTCAGGTGAGCGGGCTTGTGCATGCCTGTGCAGAACAGAGCCTCCTGACTTATCCTAATGACACTGATGAAGGAAGAGGTTGAGGATTTACCTGGACGACACAGAGTACAGTCTGTGGCAGCGCTCTGCAGAGCCTCCCGACCGGCAGGACATGTCTGACACTTGGGGCATCCAGAAGAGCTGGGAATGAGCATTGTATTAACACTGATGAGAAGTGAGCCTGTACATGTCATCTCATCTGTAAAGAGTAAATACTGCAATCATGTGCAATACTGCAATTTCCACTGAAGGTCACTGTTTATACATTCTCCCCATATCACCACACAGACACACAGAGACAGAGAGAGACATTTTTATAAATACTTATTGCTTACTCATAGCCTTTACAGCCTCTTATCTCTTATCAATGTCCTGTATGTCCGCTGCAACACTGGTAATTTCCCCCTGTGGGAATATTTTACTTAAAGGACATCGGAGCACATGAAGGAATGACAAACAATCATTGTTTATTCTCATCATAAATGTCTTTCATGTCAGGCAATACAGACCAAGGAAACATCTGATGTTGATTATAATATAATATTAATATTATAATATTATATATAATATAATATTATACATTTTACTACAAGAAGGAGTCATGATGCAAACGTATCTTACAAAAGGCTTTGTTTGTATTAACAATTATTTTCGTCTTTACAAAGTTTCTTTGATTAATGCAGCATGGAAGAGCACAGACCCATGAGATCGAGGCATGTGATGCCTGATGCACTACTTAGATAAGTAATTTTCCAAACACACATATTTGGACTGCAGTAACTGGTAAGAGCAAAAACATGACTGGTACGCTCACTTGCAAAAGGTTCCCGGTGAACATGGTGAACAAGATGTAGAGCTCTGCAGAGCTGAGAAGGAGCCTGAAGAGACAGAACCATCAGACACCATCAGGACCAGGTGTGAGAGGTTGAAATGATAAAGTCTGACCTGGTGAGCAGCTGATGCAGCTGTCTGCTCCGGTGATGTTGTTGAAGGAGCCTAAAGGACAGCCATGACACAGGGGGCTCCCTGTCAGACTGAAAGAGGGAGAGTTCTGAGAGTCTGATGCTCACACAATATCACCATTACTTATAATGAAGTTATTACTTAGAGTAGAAGCCACGGGCACAGGGCAGACACTGCTGCTGTCCTGCCAGAGGCTGAAAGGAGCCCACAGGACACTGCAGGCAGGCCCCAGGGAACAGACAGAGGCCAGGCTCAGAGCAGCAGGCACACAACAGCGTGTCTAGAACACCACACAGAGATTAGAAGTGCCCAAACTGGTCCTGCCCCTGGCCCTCAGGCTGCGTCTCAAGATGTGTAAGAGGAAGAAAAGAGGCTCACTGTTGTCGTACTGTGATCCTGGTGCGCACAGCTCACATGAGGATGTGTTGAAGGCAGAGCACCCTGGGGTGGTGCTGATGGGTGGGCTGGGGGTGGTGCTCAGCAGGTCCAGGGGGGTGGTCAGAGCAGTCACATTGTCACTGAGTGTGGTATCAGTGAGAGGGGACAGTGTGGTCTGACTCAGCACGAGGCCTGGGGCACAAGCAATGTTAGTGAAATAACCAGTTTGGTGACTGCCTTCATTTGACATTGTCTGTGGATGTGTCTTAATAAACACCCAAACCATAATGAGACATTAGAGAGTCTTACAATGTCCACAAACAAACAAAATCACCCACAGGTCTTCAACAGAGTGCTGATGTTTAGCATGGCAATAATCTAGAACACTTAGATAAAGACCTAATCCTGAGTATACAGAAGGAAGCACAGCCAACAGCCTCCCAAGTCAACACAGCTCTTTGACGCCCAGAAGACAAGAGGGACATGTCCCACTTGTTCCACTGCAGTTTAAATATTTGCAGAATATAATCAAAACTCCATTCAAGACACTTAACCCCACTTTGCCTGAAGCTCCCACTGAAAGATCTCAGCTCCTGTGGACTCACCACCTGCAGGAGGATCAGTGAGGGGCTGGTGCTAAGTGTACTGGGTGCAGCTCTGACTGCCACCCCCCCGACCCAGAAATGGATTAAGGGGAAGAAAATGGATGGATGGATATAATCAAAACTATAATAAAAAACAACTAGAAGAAAGATTATATATTTTACCCATAATTTACAAAATATGAACAATTTTGAAATATTCTGGTGTTGAATGTGACATCACCATAGGCAAATGTATTCTAGTTCGTTTCATTGTCAGTAACACTTGTATCCTCGTGGGTGATATCATCTTTATCTAATTTATTATAATCAGATAAACAGGTGATAGATTTGACAACTCCACTCAGGGCTCAGGGTTTGGCTCAGGGTTTGGCTCAGGGTTTGGCTCAGGGTTTGGCTCAGGGTTTGGCTCAGGGTTTGGCTCAGGGTTTGGCTCAGGGTTTGGCTCAGGGTTTGGCTCAGGGTTTGGCTCAGGGTTTGGCTCAGGGTTTGGCTCAGGGTTTGGCTCAGGGTTTGGCTCAGGGTTTGGCTCAGGGTTTGGCTCAGGGTTTGGAGAAGGGTTTGGAGAAGGTTAGGACTGCATTGTAGTGTCCCTGGAAGTTTTAAAGATTGTTTTTTTTAAATGCAAGTGTCAAGTCTAATTCAGTGGAAAAGTGAAAGTCAACAGAGAGGTCCTTAAAGGGGCAAAGAAAGACAAGAACATGAACTTCGAACAAACCAGTTTTTAACCTTAGAGATGTGTGCCAAATGGTGAGGCATCCCCAGGCTCCTCACAGAATGACACTCACTGAGGGCAGGGCCTTTTTGGTTGTTGGTCAAAAGTCCAGGAGCGTGACCCAGTGCAGCCACAAAGTCCATATTGTGGTCCTAATCACATTAGCCATGTGCTCTTGAGTATGAGCCTCCTCATGCAGTGCAATTATTCAGGAGCAAGTCATGTGCTTTTGGTGTTTCTGCTTCTACAAAACGGAAACTCACGATCTCGATCTTTTTAAGTCCACAAAAACAACGACACAGATTGACAGTGACAGAGCCCCTCTTTATAAGAGTAAAGATCAGTGTCAGAGGTTTTTCAAAGTTGTACTGACCGAGCAGAGACGCGGCGAGCAGCGCAGGCAGAGGTCCCCGGACTCTCATCCCGTTATCGAGCTCCGGCTCCAACCAGAGACCCGCTGTGGGTTCTCATCCCGTCCCTGAGCTGTAGATCCCGGGTCAGTGTGGAAGAAGCGGAGGACGCGGAGGAAGCAGCTCGCTCTGACGCCGGCCTCTCTCCCGCATCAGTCATATGACAAATACGCATCATGTGATTCTGCTTAATGGAGAAAAAAACCCTGAACTGACCGAAACAGTACAAAAACTGACCAGAAGGGGGAGATAAATGCACCTGCTGATTTACAAGAAACGCACACAAAACAATATTAGCTCAGAACAGAAAACAATAGACCATTTTAAAGACTTAGTGTAAAAGAACCTTCCATGAAATAAAACTAAGAATAAGCAAAACATAAGGCTTGTCAGTCTTTATTTGTTTTTTTTTTCATCATTTGACAAACATCAACATCATGCATATCATTTTCTTTGTAATTTCAATAAAATTGATTAATAAATGTATCACCATTTATTATTTATCATTAATTTTACCAAAACGTACAATCCAAATTTCCACAAAATGTCTCTTTAAATTGATTGACATTTTATTTCATCTTGAACCTTATATCTATACATAGTTCCCACAGACCAATGAATGTCACATGACCTCCTCGGAGACGCCATCTTTGATGGCACGCTGCTGTGTTTGTGCATTCCATTAAACAGAAGAATGAGAATAAATGTAGATATTCAAACGCAAATTGGAAAAAAAGAGCAACTTTTGAGCAAATAATTGTATATTAATACAATGGCACCACAGTTTAACGTGCTACGGACATGTTTTACATATTTGATCAAATTATGCAGCAAAAATTAACAAGCAATGCAAACATTTCTCAAAAACTTTAGATTTAATACCAGTTGGAGCTCCATTTAATTATTTTAATTATATTAACAATTAATTTAATTAATGCTAATGCCACACGGACACTCTGGATTGCTGTTATTGTTTATTTCCGCGTTTTTGACCGTATGTTTTGGTGAATGGTGGGCAACTGATTTTTCCAGGCGTAAAGAGCAGTTTATTTTATGACACAGATCTTTTTACAGAAGCAATGCTGTTTGTGAACATTGTTTTAGCCCACCATAGAACTATTATTATCTATTTAATACATTTACGTTGCCCTCGAGAGCCTCGGACGCGACACCGATCCTCCTCATAATAAAGTAATCTAAATAATGAAACTCTCAAGTTACCAGATATCAGCATACACAAGTTAGTACTGAGTAAATTACGTCTGTCAACACATTATAAGATACGATACGCACCAGAATTCTGAACAAATGCACATGGTTACAGACTGTACATAACAATACTTCTACAAATTACAAATTACAATTACAATTACGTCCTCTAGAAAAGTCACCCTTGGGATCTGAAAAAGGTTTACTACCATGATGCAGCCAGGTGTACGTTCTTTTCCAAGAATAAACAGCACAAATGATAATAAACTCCAGGCTGAAGTCATAAAAGAGACACAGAGGCCAGCTCTTGTATTTGGAGTGCTAGGGTCTGCTCCAGGTCCCCCCAGTCTCTCTGCTCACAGCTCGTCTGCTGAACGACAAAAGCAGAATGAGGCGTCAGTGTCAACATGTTCGAGGAGCTGGACACATCAGAACCAAGTGAACGGTTTAAGTCTTATTTCAGTGTCTCTGTTTGACTGACTTTGCTGAACACGTCTTCAGAGTGAGATGGTCGGCTGCTGATCTGTTCTCTGTGTTTCAGAGAGTTCCGTTCCTGCTTCTTCTCCTCCAGCCTCCTCTGCAAAGCCAGGACGGACTCATGCACAGCCACCACCTGCCGACAAGTCTGCTGCTTTGTCCGGTCCGTTCTACCAGAAAACATATCCATTGCTTTCAATTTCCAGATGTATGCAACATTCTAGTTGTTTAAAATGTTGTTTTACATGGTACACTACATAGTACACCATCGTAATAGTCATAATCATGCATATGGTACTGGAGCATTTTTTCCATATTTAGATTTTCAAAGTGGCCTTTTGATTTGTTTGGTTTAAGTTGGTTAAGATTTCAGGTACGGACAAATTGCCGCTACATGTGCTATGAACTTCTCTAACACTTCATAGTTTTCTCTCCACAATGTAAAGAGTGAATCTGAGTCAATTTTCTCAATTGAAAAATAGACAACTTTTGTCCCTTGGTGCCCACAATGCTGCTCTGTGATTGGCTGAACCCAGATGGCTGGAGCTGAAGACAGAATCTCAAGAATTTGTGAACTCACAAATATAGAGATTTCATCCTGCTAACATGGAAGTGACATGGAAGTGACATGAAAGTGACATGGAAGTCACATGGAAGTCACATGGAAGTCACATGGAAGTCACATGGAAGTGACATGGAAGTGACATGGAAGTGACATGGAAGTGACATGGAAGTAACATGGAAGTGACATGAAAGTAACATGGAAGTAACATGGAAGTAACATGGAAGTCACATGGAAGTGATATGGAAGTGACATGGAAGTGACATGGAAGTAACATGGAAGTGACATGGAAGTAACGTTGAAGTGACATGGAGGTGACATGGAAGTGACATGGAAGTAACATGGAAGTGACATGGAAGTCACATGGAAGTCACATGGAAGTGACATGGAAGTCACATGGAAGTGACATGGAAGTGACATGGAAGTGACATGGAAGTCACATGGAAGTGACATGGAAGTAACATGGAAGTAACATGTAAATGACATGGAAGTGACATGGAAGTGACATAGAAGTGACATGGAAGTGACATGGAAGTGGACTTATGGCACAAAGATGAAGCACACACCAGACAGCCACATTCAGGTGTTTTGTGTGAACGTCGTAGGCGTTGCGGACCTGCTGGTTGTGACTTGTCTTTGTGCGTTCCGGTGGTGGTCAATTGTGTCCAGCTTGTGTTGAAGCAGTTGTTTTTTCTTGTCTCTCTGTGAGTGGATGTCCTGGCGTCGCTGGAGCCTCTCAGTGAGCTGTTCCTCCTTCAAAAGAGCCAGGCGCTCTTTGAGCTCACACAGAGACATCTCACCCAGCAAATCATGGCCTCCAGTCTGGGGAACACACAATTGAACTTCTACTTAATGGTAAAATGTTCACAGTCATCCTCCTACTTACCTCTCTGTCATCAAAATGGCAACTTTTGGTACGAGAAACAGATTCTATAGCGTGAATTTGACGAATAATTTCACATTTTCTGATCATGTCGGCTTCGGCCTCTGCCAATGCTCTGCGGAGGTGCTCTTGGCTCTCTTTGGACACCTCTCTCACTGAAAGAAAAGCCTCATGTCACTAAAGATTTGATTCAAACAAATGAAAAGTATTTACCACGGTAACAGACACTTTGTTCATCAAGCATATTCAAAGACCTACCAATCTTTTGCTTCATTTCAAACAACTTTTCTTTGGCAGCTTTGGCGTTCTTGTGGCCGTCTGACACCTGTTGTACCAACTCCTTCATCTCCTTCTCCTCCTGGAATCTCTTGACAGCGTATCGACGCATCAGTTCTGCTGCCTTCAAAGAACAACAGTTTTAGTGAGAACAGTGTGTGTATTGTCTGCAGTGCATTATTGCTGTGAAATCTCCTGAAACAGTCCATTAAGATTGTGACTAAGACATCCATTATTCGTCCCACAGTGGAGAACTTTCAGTATGTACACTTTGTATTACCTCCTCTTTCTTGAGTTTTGCAGCTGCCTGGTTTTGAGCCATGAGACGTGAGCGAGCCAGTGCTGCCTCCTCGCGGCTAATGCGCCCTTCTAGGCGTCTGCATTCCACTTTAGCCAACTCTTCCTGCAGATCCTTCTCACGCATTTCATTTTGCCACTGCAGGAAAGCTGACGGCTCCAGCGCCCCTTCCACAAGACACTCCATTCTGTTCATAAACAGTCCGTTGACTCAAGGAACATGAATAAAGGCCACAAAGAGTAAGAAATGTGGGAAATAGAACCTGACAAACTCCTGGCTGAGCTGACGATCAACCAGAGCCCCTTGTCTCAAGATTGCTGCACTGTTTAATTTAATATTCCAATGGGACTACAAACACAAACACAAACATGAATGAAAAGAAACGGTACTTGTACATCTCTCAACAAATATTATTCAAACTAAATTGAAAAACAGGGATGGGATGAAAAGCCATCACACAGCAGTCTGATCCCTGAGGTGAGAAAAACAGTCCAGACTCATGGCCCTCGCTGGGCCTCACAAGACAACAACACTTTGTCTGTTCTCTCATGGAAGCTGCCCTTATACCGGTGTCCGCTGACTGACCCCAGGTAATAATAATAATTATACTATTCTTTGGTTTAATATAGCTCTTTTGGACAAAAAATGCTTCCCATTGAATTCTTCATTTAAAATATAACTCATATAATGAGCCTTTTTGATGACAATTGTGAAATTGAGGTTAGGATGATGAGAGTGTTTCTTCTGGTTCCAGGCCTGCTTCTTCTCTACAGCTTAGGTGAGTTGTGCAAACAGGGTAAGCAGGTTAGTCCACAAGGGACAGTATATTTCCAGAAAAGACAACTTGTTTTATATCTTTGTCTTATGTCAGCATCTGTACACTAACCAATTTAGAAATATTTTTCTATTTGACTTTGATTGAAATAGTTTGATTAAAATTGTTATCATTCAAAAGGGGAAAAAATATAATAAAAAATGAAAATTTTGCCATACCACCCAGCCTTGCATAGAAAACTGCTACTGTTGCCACAGCTGCTTTGGGACAGGCTGATGGGAGCAAGGCAATAGTCTTGATTAAGGGCATCAGCAGCCTCACTGTGGCATCTGGTACTTCCAGCATTGTCTCATCCACATTTTAACCAGGGTTAGGGTTTGGGTTTCATTAAGTGAGGTGTATCTATCAATAACTCACTTGTCTTGTTGTTGATGGAAGTGGTGTAGACTTAAAGGAATGGAGCCTTTCAGCAGAAGGGATGCTCTCCTTAGACACCACTTCCTGTGAATAACAATGGCACAAGTCAGATGAAGATTATGTACAGTAAAGATTATTCAACCGAATACCTGGAAGTACAGATAACTGTTAGATAATATTGTCTGCGTGTCATGAACCAAAAGCAGAAGTGTTTGAGTAAAAGTCTCATACTACCATCACCACCACAGGTTTACTTCTCCCCGTGTAATCACTCCCCTGATATAATGTCACACACCACAAGACCATAGCATGTGCGTCACTGGTGTCTGATAGTGGTCCAGTTTTGGCCAGGCAGAAAATGACCACAGACTTTAATGTTTAACCCACTGCGTTCAACTAGAAAAGTGCTCATTCCAAACAGCCCAGAGCCAAAAATACGATATATAATGCATCCATGTAGCATTCATGTATCAAAAACTGTTCATTCAGGTACAAACAAAACAGATTTGGAAGGAAACTATACAGGAAGCGCCTTCTCCCAATAATGAATAAGTGGACAGTGATATAATTTAACTATGTAATTCATAAAGAAATATATATTTCTTATATAAGGAGCAATGAAATCAATCAGGTATCATCTCTGCTTCTGTGTCGCTCTGACCTCAAAGAGAGCTCTGAGCATTACTGATAACTAAACAATATCATGATTCAGTAAGTAAATGTACTTTTTCAATGTGAAGAAGGTTTTCCACTAAACCCAAGTCAGTTTTTCAAGTTTGGAGCCAGTTCATGCAAGAAAGTTTATTATGTCTTCCATGAAAGACAGTATTTCCTTTAAACACATTGTATCATTAGAATACAATCTCAAGACTGGCCAAAATATCAACAAAACAGAAAAACCAAAACAAAAGAACAAATGTGAATAAAAATGACCACTTTTACCTGATAGTGTTGGGACTTGAGTGGGCTCATTTGAAGATTGGCCTTGTACAGCAGTGTCTATCCCAGGAAACAAATACAAGACAAATGTCACAGTATTATTATCTATCAGAGTGACCCATACATTATATAAGCGAGATATATTACCGTGATTGATTGACAAAAACAAAACACAAACCAGTGTGATTGCTTCTTTGCCCAGTGCTGCACATTGGCAGATGGTTGTGACTATCCAAGAAACCGTTTTAACAAGTGAAACTGACCTCAGTCCTTTGTTTATTCTTTTGTTTGACATCATGTATAATCTTCATTTCTTTTGGAGCCGTATATGTGGTTCTGGGCACCTACAAACCATTCTGTATTAGTCTGAGCAGATGGTGAGAGAGTGTCTCAGAGGGACATGACTGACCGGCTTCTGTTTCTCCAGCACTGGGATGACCTCAGGTACAGGCAAGGCTCTGGCCTTTGGTTTGGTCAAAGCAAACTCCTGAGGTTCAGTGGTTTTAGCTGGAGCTTTCCTCTGCTGACTCCCACTTGATACTTTCACAGCCAACTTCTCAAGAAGAGCAATTATCTCAGGACGCCACCTAACAGGAGGAAAATGTAACGCAAAACAATAAAAGATATGAAACATCAGTAATTTGATTGAGATGGAAAGGAAATAACCATCAAATCAATCATCATTATGATTTTGGATACAATTCTTAAAAAATTTGTCCCTAAACATAATTAATGAGCATTTAAAAAGTTTAACTTGGGATTCAATATAGTACAATATAATCCTATAATCAGTAAAAAGTAAGATAATAAGATTAATTATTAAAAACAAATAAACAAAACAATAAATATCTATACACTCTTCACCACCTGAGAGTAGGCTCTATCCACTGTTTCTGGACATGTTCAGCATCATAAATAGCCGTCCACTTCTCCAGTACCAGTGTGGTGAGGTTTGACAAGAAGAACAACAAAAACTGCAAACAAAACCTGTTAAATAATGCCAAGTTTGTGAAGATTGTCAAATAGGGAACTTACTTTTTGTAATTTGTGAACACCAAGAGATTTGACAATGCTGCTGAAACACTTAAGTCCCAGTTTATCCAAAAAGCATGTGGTGAGATAACAGACAACTAAAAATACAAACATGTAATTTAGAGTAAAAGGTTATTGTACCATTGTACATAACAATGTCACTGTGTACTGTGACTTACTCAGATACATGTTCAGTTCTCTTTTGGGCACACTTTCAGCTTTTTCATATAGGTTGATTACAACATCAAGGATGTTTTTATGTTCAATACAACCTGATACAGTGTCAAGTATGAAGTGCTTATGCCGGGGATCCAGGCTCTGCAGAAATAAACACTTTGATTAGGTTTGGTATATGAATGGTGATATTATGAATGATTCAACTTGGCCAAGTGAATCCAACATAATACATTAACTAGTGTTAGTGTAAATTTACTCGTGTTTATTTGGGTTAGTTTAAAGTTTAAACTATGTTTTTGTCTTTTTATCATATTAGTACATTACACAATATTCTGGGAGAGTTAGTTAACTATCTAACAAACTAGTTAACAAGCTAAGGTTAAGCTAACCTACGTCTCTTTAACATGAGCGTTCTAAAAAAACCAACCTGCAGATCTTTAGAGCTGTCCTCTACAAAGTCGTCAAGACACTGTCTGCTCTCGCTGAACTTATCGAGCAGCCTGATGGCGTCTCTCACAAGCGGTACATAGTTTGAGGACATTTTTTCAAAAGAAACGTAAAAAATTACCTAGATGTAACTAAGTATCTGTATTCATACTTTCCCCAGCCTGGGCTGATGCGTTTATGTTGCTATTACCAAGTTGCATAGCAACCAAACCAAACACCTGAACAAATAATTAATTTTTTCGCAAAAATTAACATCAATAACCTAAAAAGAAATCTGCGGGCTTAATTACTTAAAAAGAATATAAACAATTCAACCACAACATACCAAATTTGAATGTAACATTATTATTTAGACCGTCCCGTATGTTGTTTGACCTACAAAGTGATACATAAACAACATATGGGCAACATGTCATTTTCTTAACAATATCCTACTGTTGAAACCTCGGTGTAAAGATCAACCTTAATCTCTGCTTTATCCCATTGGAATAACAACCTCATAGGGTAAACATGTTTTTCTGATGCCAATAATTGTCCGTGAACGCATCGTTTCCTGGGAAAGTAACCGAGAGACAGTAGTGGAGGGACCGAGGGACACAGCAGTGCAGCTCTCAGCTTTATGGGCCCAGAACCACAAGAGAACCGGAACGCAAGCAAAATGCGTGTGGGTCCAGACTTAGCATAGACCAACACCAACACGCAGAGGAGGAGACCCTGAAGAGGAGAGGAAGGAGAGGGCAGGAGCATAAACACGCAGGGGGAGCGCCGAAGGAGGAGCCGCTGGAGGCGCAGACAGAGACTGGACTGTACCCGGGACTACATGAGGATGACAGGACCAGGAAAGCTATTCTACACCGGCCCAATGGAAACGAGACGTGGCTGTCTGATAGCTAGCTTTGTCGTATGTTGTTTCGATTGGGTTCTTTGTTAAATCTGTGCTTCTCCTGGTTGCCAGCGTGGCTAGCCTAGCCTCGAGTAGTTACAGTACAGGTACAGCTGCAAGAAAAGAGGCTTCTTGGACAAAGCGCACTAAGGAACAATGAACCGCTTCCGCAAATGGCTTTACAAGCCAAAGGTAAGATCTTGGAGACATTGTCACGGCTGTCTTACTGTTATTAGCTGTATATTACATTGTTCATGCGATACTCGTTTGCCCCATTCTGATCAGTGACCACATCTGCTAGCGTTAGCCTCTGTGTGTGTGCACAGCTTTTAGGTGTTGTTTAGATTCTGATCCTGTGCCAGTGCCTCTTAAACACTAGTTCTGATTATCATTCATGTCCCCTGACTATTCTGTTTTGTCCAGTTATAATTAAATAACACATGCCCTAACATCAGTATTTCCACAGGGTTGTTTTGTTCATACAGCATTAGTGAGGAAGCGGGTCTGTGATGACACAAAGCATTTTTTTTACTTGGCCAGGACTGGTGCAAAATGTTTTCCAAATATTAATAGAGCCACCTCCTAAACATCCATGCGTTTCATTAGACGATTTGTTCATGTGTTGAGGAAAATATTGTAATCAAATTTATGACTTTAGAGGGTTATACTTTGTTTTAAGATTATAAGGATTGAAAAGGTCCTGCCGAGCAATGATTCTCTATTGACTGCTGAAGTCTAATCTACCTTTTTTAAAGGATGTGACAGCCATTAGGTAATCCATTTCTACACTTAGGGACAGATAAACAAAAGCCGGTCTTCTTGCTCCTTCATGTCAAAATGTCTGTTCTTGTATCACTCAAGGGCCAGTTAGTGGCCACCCAGTTCTATCACAACTGTCTTCAAGGAATACAATCACCAAACCTTGAGTTATCATTAAAGGACATTACTTTCCTGCTCCAATGAAATAAGGTATATGGAGCATTTTTGGTACTTTTTTGGTTCACAAATCATGTCCCCATTTTGTGCTCGTTAGCACATAATAGGACTTAAAAGAGCCACACTGTGAGGTCTAACTTAGTTCCTGCTCTGAGGCATAACAAGACCAGGAACATTTTACGGAGACAACTATATGAACACAAACTTTATTTAGAGTGTGCGTTCAAACATCAACATTCACCATTCATTCTCAGGCAAAACTATAGGTTTACTTGTTCACTAATATTTATCCAAACCAACACTGCTTTATTGGTAACAGATGAAAATTAAATGTTCCTCCACCAGATCTCCATTCTCCAATGAAATTGTGGTACATTAAACAGATGCTATTTGGGCTCCAGTTAGAGCTGCTTTCTTCCACTTTGCTGTGCGAATGTGACAAAGGAGGTCAAACTGGGTGGACTAGTTCTAATTCCAAGTTCTGGTATGTGTAATATCCCCTTGATCTAGTTGGGATGAAACACAGTGTGTTTTAGATGATTCTTCAGTGTCCTGAGCTGTGGACAAGGGCTCACCTGCGTCACTGGCCTCCTCTGTCCGACCACATGTGCTGTCACAGCAATGTGGTGTGTTTTGTTGAGCGTAGGCCTAAGTGCTGGGCTTCTCCACACTATTGTCACTGCCCTGAATAAGCTGAAGCGCTGAGCTGTTACAGCAGACCTCTTTGTGCATAATTATAGCCTTGGACTGTAGTCTCATCCATAACACTTCAGTATGATGGCTTTCAATTACATGCTTCAAGAATTAAGAGAACCTAACCCTGTGCATGATCAAGATGACTTTGTATACTAGATAGATACTTTATTAATACCCTCATAGGAGAATTTCAGGTGTCCAGTAGCAGCAAAAATAAATTAAAAATAAGATTGATAATTCTAAAAAGACAACGTACAATCTCTGCCCTGAAAGGAATTGATGTACACACATTCTCCTTTCAGTAGATTCTGATTGGAGCTATGTGTTGGATTTTTCCTTACCCAGTCTGGCCAGTACAGGAGCCATCTGAGTCCAGCTGTTGATGCTCTTAAGGCACATGGCTGTTGAGGTCACTAATGAACACCTCTGAATGGCAGGTGTTTTCCATTCTCTATTTGAATAGTGATATAAAATTATATACAAGTCTTCTCTTTTTTCAGTCATATAGATGTTTGGGACAGCCTTATGACAGTAGTGACAACCTCCAACAGTTGAGGGAGGGGATGTTTAGTGTGGGACAGCTGAAGGAGCCACAGGGACACAATCTGCTGACTCATTCTCCACAGGCTACAGCCAGCCGCCTCCACAGTCCAGCTCAGTCTTGGTCCCAAAATAACCCATTCATTCATTAAACATTCATTCATTAAACAAATACATTTATAGTTGGCCAAAGAGATTAAATAAAGCTATTGTTCACCTACTACTAGTTCACTAATCTTACCAGAAAATGTGTATTAGTTAATATACGCATTTTGATGGTATTTAGTGCAAGGGGTTTGATCCAGGCAAAAAAAATTGTTATATTTTGCCTTTTCTAAAATTATAAGACATGCATTTTGTGATGGTGACATGACGACACACAGACTTCCTTATTATAATATGGCACTATCTGGACACAATGATCTTGTGGGCACTATGGCAACAGGGTGGAAAGTACAACATGGTCTGACTTTTTGATGAAGATGTTGACTTGAAATCTTGATTGTTTCTCATACAAATTGACAGCAGATATAGTGGCACTGATCAAAGTTCCAAGCAGAACTTCCCCACTTCTCTAAACTAGATCATCTCTAACGAGTGTGAGCCGAGAGTGAAACGGTTTGCCTAAGTACTTTGGAATAATGACACATTGTAATTTTCTGAATCAAAATGGGTTGTTTTAGTCACTGCTGCTGAGAAATTTCATTTAGTCATTGCTGCAATAATGACTGTTCTTCATGATACTTGCGACGAGTTCTCATGAAGAACAAGAGGAAGCATTTGTTTTGCACATTCATATAATGGTTGATGGTTCACTCCTTGAAAAAAAAAAAAGTAGTTTACAATGTTATTTAAAACAGATCCAACTCAATTCACATGTTCAATCAATTTTGTTATTATTTGCTACAGTAGATATTTCATTAGATTTAAGTTGAGTAGAGCCAGAATTTTAGGTTGACTACAGCTGTAATTGTATTAATATTTGCACTAGTACCTAAACTTCTAATCAGCTGATTAAGAGCCTTTTTCAGTTTATTTGTAGCATTGTTTATCTCCATTTCTATGTTTTGGATTTTGAAACCTTTCTACTAAACTTTTAACCAGTTCTTCACATTTTTAATTGAAAGGTATTAAAATTTCATCTTTGAAATGTTATGTGCAAAGTTAAAACATATGAACAACTCCCACATGACGTTTGTACCACTATTACCTCCATTTTTAGAATATACATTTGAAATCAACACCAGAAAAAATAATAAAGAAGCAAAGATGGATTCTCACATCTTTGTCCAGCTTTAGAAACAGTATATTCATCGATTTTATTCTGCTTGCTAGTGTTTTGGTGTTTGGAGGTCACATTCATTTTTACAAACTAGTTCATAATCTGACAGAGCTGCTTTCCCTGGGCCTTGGCTCCTGGTGGTGTTAACATTATTAATGAATGAGAGAGAACAGCAGCATAGATCATATGCAGAGAGAAGCCAGGCTCAGGGGGAAAGCAGCACGCACAGGAAGCACCACCAGTTACACAAATGATACCATGAAATGAATGAGCCGGCGATTAGAACTGCCTATAACAGGATCTGTTTTGTAAGAAAAATGACAATAAAGGGAATGCTTCTCACCCATCAGCTGTACTTCAGTCAGCAGGTTTTCCCATTTGTTTTGACTAATCCCTGTACGACTGAGAGCTTACACAAAAAATAACAATAATCATTCCTCTGCATCAGACGTCTTCTCTCCTTATTGTATTATACTGTTTTTATTCTTTATGAGTATAAAACTGGTTCAGCACAATTGTGTATTTCATGAATCTATAGGCAAGCTACAAAGCTTTGGAGAAATAAATATTAATCTAATTTCTATTTGGAAATTAGATAAAGATTTTTATCTTTATTTATTTTTGAAGTATGGTTTGGTTATACAAACCTTCACAAAGCTTTGAGTATGGCACAACTGTAAATCTACCAAGACTGTGATCTGCCCAAACTCACTGCCAGAACAAGGACACATACTGATCACAGATGCACGAAGCCAATGAAGCCAGACATCCACAGTTCACCAGGGGGATCTGTACATGAGGCAAATTTTCCTCATACCGTGAAAGGAAAAAAGTAATTTTCAAAACACTGAGGTCAGCTCCAGAATATGTATCAGATATGCATACATGGTATCCATCACATATTCCATGTTGCTTCAAACCCTGTTGTGAAATATTGTCATACTGTATGTTTTTTGTGCACAGCGAACTGACCCGCAGCTCTTGGCCCAGTTCTACTTTGCCGATGAGGAGCTGAACCTGGTGGCCACGGAGCTGGACAATCTGGACGGGCGCAAGGATCCTCAAAGATGTACGCTGCTGGTCAATCAGTTCCGATCGTGTCAGGTCAGTGCACCTGGGAACTTTAGGGTAATAGTGGGTCACTTAACCCACAATCATTATCTGTTGACTTGCAAATGATTACTTGGTTGAATGTCTCATTTGTCACATTTACATGATGAGAATGAATATTTTAATAAAACCCATCTATAATTGATGTTTAAAGGAAATTCCTCTGTAATTCTTCAGGATATTGTGCTCACCATCATCAATCAAATCATGGATGAATGTATCCCTAACGACCGGGCCAACCGGGACTTCTGTGTCAAGTTCCCTGAGGAAATCCGCCATGACAACCTGGCAGGGCAGCTGTGGTTTGGGGCTGAGGTATACGTTCTCTACACTATGGCATACAATACATTTGAAGTGGTAGAAAAGCTATAATTGTCCTTGTATTTGTCATAACCGTGTTGTTTCACGTTGTCAGTGTTTGGCTGCTGGCTCCATCATCATGAATAGGGAGATAGAGAGCATAGCTATGCGGCCATTGGCTAAAGATCTGACACGCAGCTTGGAGGAGGTTCGCAATATCACCAGGGACCAGGCCCTCAGGGACCTCAACTTCTACACTGACCGCATGAAGGATGCATTGCGGCATTTTGACAGCCTTTTTGCTGAGTTTGAACTCAGGTAAACTTGCCGTTACATTCCAGTTGAAATACTATGCAGTTCTGTTACATTGACATTTTGTTCTTTTGTCCAGTTATGTGTCTGCCATGGTGCCTGTGAAATCTCCCAAAGAGTACTATGTGCAGCAGGAGGTGATGGTGCTGTTCTGTGAGACCGTCGGCAGGTAAGTACACAGCAGCACATTGTACAAGAAAATAAACACCGTTGATCATTTGCGTGTTTTCTTTTAGGGCCTTAAAGCTTGGCTACCTCACGCAAGACATGATCGACGACTACGAGCCTGCTCTAATGTTCACTATCCCCAGACTAGCTATAGTGTGGTAAGTCCATTTACTTTAATTTGAAATATAGCAATAGATATAACAACACACATAAAGTTGTGCGAGTACCCATTCTTCTTATTTTAGACTTATAGACCTCTGTATTCTTCTAGTGGCCTTGTAGTGTTTGCAGAAGGACCTCTAGACTTGGACCGGAAATCTGAGGACATGTCTGAACTCTTCAGGCCGTTTCGCACCTTACTGAAGAAAATTAGGTAAGGACTGAAATAGTTTAATAGCTTAATATATTTTGAATAAGAGAGTAACATGTGTGATGCTGGTTTTGCAGAGACCTGCTGCATACACTGAGTGAAGAGGAGCTGATTACATTGGAAAGAAACCTGTGCATTTCTCAGGATGGAGAACTGCCTATTCCTCAGACTCTGGCAATGAGCACAACACCAGTCCCCAGTCAGGATTCTCCTACCAATAATGAGAGCTCAAAGGAGGACAGCAAAAGTGATCAAGAGGACAAGCCTGTTTTTGTGTGTGCGGGTCCAGAACTGGCGCAGGTGGAACGAGGCTGGGAGGAGAGTGAGGGCTCCGAGCCAGAGCAGGGGCTTCTCTGTGAGGAGGCAGAGGAAGCCGAGCTGGCCTGCTCCATGCAGTATGATGAGGAGGAGCTGGAACAGCTCAATATGATGGTCCACCGTGTGGGAGACGAGATGTCCACTCTACTCTCCCCTCCCAGTCAGGAGCAATCACCAGCTCACCAGCCCTACAGAGACGCAAGGGGCAGTGGCTCAAGCACAAATACTTCTCCACACAGACCTCTACACTGTCGGGATAGGACTGCTCAGGAGGAGGAGGACAGAGTGTTCTTTATGGAAGATCTGGATGCAGCTCTTTCCAAAGAGTGTGTTTGTCTGGCTTCAACCTCCCCTACTCCCAATGGAATCCCACAGCACAAGCCTGTACAGGTAAAAGGCCCAGTGGGGAATGGCTGTCACTCTGTGTCAGAGCAGCCCAGCAGCCACCTCTCTCATGAGCTTTGTGTAAAACCTCCCACATCTGTCCCCGGCTCTCAACCCACACCCTACACCAACGGCTGGGAGCTAGAAGGCTGTGTGCCTGAGACCGCAGAGGTCATAGCTCACCGCATGGGAGGCATGAAGCTCTCTGCCACCGTCATCTTCAACCCTCACACCTCGAGTCTCACAGAACTGGCTGTGGACAAGTTATTGCCTCGAGCTGCCCCCTCTGACCTAAATGCCTGCGGACCCCTAGTGGCCACTCATTGTCTTCTGAACTCCTGCGTGTGCTGTGGCAGCTGTGAGGACCATGAAGACCCCATCAGCTCAGAAAGCTCTGGGCCTGGCTTAGCTCTTGCTCTTGGGTTGGACAAACATTGCAAAACATCAGCAGTGGCCTCTAATGCTGTGATCCAGTCTTCTGCTTGCAGACTGCCTCCTCAGTCATGCAAGCCTTACTGTGCACCAGGGAGGGTCCCACTGACCCCACAGCCTGCTCGCTGCTCTGACAGGCTCCTAGAAGAAGAGGAGGGCCCTCTTTGTGACAAGTGCCTGCTGGTGTTGCACGACTGTAACGAGGGGGCTAGGACTGAACAGAAAGTTGGAGCCTGTGGAGCTCAAGAAATGGAAAAGGAGGACGAGCCGAGCCGAGCCATGAGTAGAGAGCTCAGGAGAGAACTTAAGGATAGCAGCCGGAAGAGCAGGTGGGCCCCTGAATTGTGCACATGCACTAATTTCTACTCCTGTGTTGTTTTGTTTTTATTTTTATTTTGTTTTCCATCCTCATTAGCCTTTTGGTTTTGTAGTTTTCAGCCATCTCCCCTCAGCTCAGTGTCTGATAGTGACTGTGAGAGTGTGTCCGTCACCTCTTGTAGTCTGTCCAGCAGTGTCTACAGTCCAAGGTAACTCCTGCCCCACAGCGCCCTAATCTGCTTTATAGGTTGTCTTCACGTTCTTGAAATGTTAATTGTATTTACAAGATCTGGCATTCAAAAAAGTGGAACATTTAGATTATATTAGCGATTGGTTCTAAAAACAGAAAATTAATCTTGTGGCTTGATGACATCTCTTGGCCTCCTGCTTAATCTTTGAATGTTGATACGTGAACACAGCCTATCGGTGTGTATGTTGAGTGGTTTCCCCTCTTATTAATACATTTACATCCTGGTATTTGCTTTATTAAAAATTATTTAATTATTAAAAGTTCATGTATCACAACAGTTCTTTGAAAACCATTAGAGGCTAACAAAGCTGTGTGTTGTGACCCCAGCCCTGTGAGCAGCCTGACCCTCAGCTCCAACACTTCTGATGATGCAGACCACAGGGACACCTCACTGACCCTGCCCAGCACCAAACTGGCAACGAGGAACAAGATCCGCTCCCGCTTCCACAGCAGCAGCGACCTCATCCACCGGCTCTTCGTCTGTATATCAGGTACCCCAACATTTTCTGCTCTTTCCAATGATATAATTAAGGCTAAAACAAATAAAGCATAGATCATGATTGATGTCGTTTAGCAGTTGGTATTAAATGGCAGACATTTTGTATTTTAGTGTGATATAATCTCACTTGTTTCTCCTGCTGCGTGATACAGGAGTGGCTGATCAGCTGCAGACTAACTATGCCAGTGACCTTCGTAGCATCCTCAAGACTCTTTTTGAAGTTATGGCAACAAAGACTGAAGAAGGCGACAGCAGCAAGCATAAAGGTAACTTTTTGCATAAGTAGTTATTTTCTTAGTTTTGGATGAAGTCTGTTTCTATAGTCCTGGCTTTCTTTTGTCCCATCAGGTCCAGTTCTGTGCAGTGCTGAGTTAGAGGATTGTGCCCTGTGTCAGGAAAGCATTTCATCCTCTGAAATGGCAGCAAAGACCAGAGATGGTCAGTTTGACGGTCAGCGCATTCCCTTGCATATCTGGATGTCTCAAACCTGTCCTCAAGTCATCCTTATGTATTGATTTGTTTTGTGTGTAGACCCTCCAGACTGGGTTCCGGATGAGGCATGTAACTCTTGCATTGCATGCAAAGCCCCCTTCACTGTTATCAGAAGAAAACACCACTGCAGAAGTTGTGGAAAGGTACTGGAATAAATCTTCTTCTTTGTTCCTTATCAGAAGCCTTGCTCATCAGATGTGCTGTCTTTGCAGATCTTCTGTTCTCGCTGTTCCTCTCATTCAGCTCCTTTACCCAGATATGGTCAAGTCAAGCCAGTGAGAGTATGCACACACTGCTACATGTTTCACGTCACCCCCTTCTACAGCGACAAGGCTGGCATCTGACCAAGCATCCGCAGGAAAAAGCACTGAACGAGGGAAGCTCGACTCTGGCTCCAGCAACGGTCTGTTCCCCCAGCTGACGGCTGTGAGAGGGCCATGTTGGGACTCTTCTCTTTGACAGACACAGAGGAGAGAAGAGGGCCTACTGCTTCTGAGTGATGTTGCTGAAAGGATTCCATATGAGCCAAGAGTCTGCCTGGTGGTATTCTGATTCAAGTAGAATTTAGAATGAAAGATGATATCGATTTCAGTGCTTAAAGCGTTTCACATTTCTAGTTTTGTGAGCTTCCAACATTTGTCCCAGAGACTCCACGGATTCCATTTGCTTTATTCAAAGAGAATGTACATTGACATTGATAATGAAAAGTGTGCTCACCCAGTGTTATCAGTTGCTTAACTTATAAAGAGATTAGCCTTTAGAAGTGGCATTGCACTTCTGTAAAGTTTTATTTTTTATGACTCTTTCCTTTTCCTCTGCATTATTGAATGTTCTTAAGCATTACTGGAACTGGGCACTGGATGCCAGCAGCAGGCGTCTCAGGATCTTCCTTCGGCTTTGGCTAGTGCTGTTTTAAGCATTCTGGCATGGTTTCTGGGCGCTGAGGGCGAGCTATGAGCACAGAGGCCTTCGGAGGTGCAGGCTGCAGAGGCCTACACCACACCCCTGTCCTCTTCACTTGATATGTGCAATACTACTGCAGCCATTCTGCACAGGACGCTGAGCTGAGGAGGGCATTTGTGTTTACACTGAACCCTTTCTTCGAATGGTACCGGATCCTATTTATACTATTTATAATGTTATGAAGCCTTTCATCATCCCAACATGTGTAATAAGACTCACTCTCAGGACTACACCTGTCACATCCCAACAACCCCCAGTCCATCCTTTTTTATAATGAATATGGGTTAAATAGTAACACATCACGCAGGAGATGAAGTGCGCTGCTGTCTCAAATCTTATTTTGTAATCAGCATATTTCCATTGCAAAAGATGAACACTCAAATGATGAAATTTAAGTTTGTATGTAAATAAATTGCTTTATACTTCACGTGTGGTCATCCTTCATGATTTGATGTGTGCTCTAAGAGGACCTTTTTACATCCTGGTTTGTCGAGCCTCCTGCAGATGGCGCCACAGCATTTCTATACTTTTTTTTTTTTTAACTGAAATTTATTATCCTCTTTCTCTTCAGTACTAAATTATTTGACCTTGACCATGAGACAGGTAAAGGGACATTGTGCAACTTTTCTGGTGGGTTCTACTGTACTTTTTGCCAATGAGCCTAATGTCAATTTTACCGTTGTACAATGATTCTAATGTTTCCTCTCTTGTTTTATTGGTTAATGCGATGGTTTTATATAGCGCTTTTCAAGAAACTCAAAGATGCTTCACATGCTATTATTCTTTCACTCAATACACGGTTACACAGCTGCCCTGGGGCATACTGACAGAATCGAGGCAACTTGTATGTGCCATCATAGACCCCAACGACCACCACCAGCCATTCACCCACACACCAGACTCATTCTAGGCAATGTGCGTTAAATGTCTTGCCTAAAGTCACAGACACAACGTTCTATGACAAGGATTTTGGAAGGACTAAAAAATGTAAGTCGGATGCAGCCATATCATGTCTTTCCCTTTGTGTCCACACGATGGCGCATATGTAAAACAATGATAACAAAAAAACGGTATAGTGTTGCGTGTGTGTGTGTGAGCAGTGGAACTTTCTAGAAAAACCACGCTCCAAAGTCAAGACAAGTAATTGATCTTTTGTGATCTTTAAAACTTTCAACATTTTGGCTTTTGTGTGGTCCTGCTGAGCGCCGCGCTGTGATTGGTCCTCTACAGAGCGCCCGTCTTTGCTCTCTCCTGGAGGATAGAAAAAGTCCTTCAAGCCTCAGTTTGGCCATCTCCTTTCTCACTTTCACTCTTTCCTGTCCTGGCGTACGCTCTGATGCTGAGAGGGATGTAACCAAAACCATTCACGTTCTTACGCACCAAGAGGAGGGAGCGCCACCTCTGCCACAGCGGAACCAAGACTCACAGCTTCAATGAGGTGATTTTTTTTTTACTGCTAAATTCCTTGTTACGTACTTTTATATTGCTGCATTGTCAAGCCTGGATTAAATTGTTTATAGACTGGGCTAAATCTCACTCATATACAGTGTAGCTCGCCAGCCCCTTCCAGGTAGCTCCCCAAAGGATTTAGAATTGAACACATGATCCTGGATGAATACATTACATATCGTTACATATCGTTACATATCTATTATAAATTAAAAACATAATAATAATAAGTTACACAGTATTATGGTATATTTACATGTGTTCACCATGTGTGTTTTTCTTAATTATTGCATAGATTTGTATTACGAAGGCAAAAAAGGAGTAGCTCTCTGCCTCTTGTGTTGTATAAAAGTAGCTCTCCAATTGAAAAAGTTTGGAGACCCCTGCTTATAGATGTCTTAATTTTTCTTGTGTTAAAAATGTCATGTTTCAGCACTGGGAGACATGTCTTCTGTCAGAATAAGCACCATGAAGACTGCCCTCATCATTTCTGTGGTTGTGCTGCTCACAGACTGTGCCATAGGTATGTGTTATCATTATTGTTAAAAGGAATTGTGTTTGGATTGGGAGAAGTCATGAATGTCTGGCGCATTTTGATTGATGGTTGAACTTTATGGTGTGTGGAAACAGAGTATTAAACTCAGACTGCAGTAGAATGTGGACAGTTTTACCCCCAAACCCAGGGAGGAGAGAAAACAGCACATTGGAAGCCTGAGATGTTCTTTGTAATATAAATAGACCCAATTCCAATTGTTCTGAACTAGTGCAGTACAGTTACGCTGATATCAAAGACAACCTTATGGTAATGTTTCCCTGAGTTTGTGTTTAATATATACAGTCTATGGTATTTATGTACAGGTTATAGCCATATATTAAAGTTTTAGTTTTATATCAAGTGTTGTCCTGTAGTCTTCCTGTGTGTATGTGTTGTAGTGTTTTAGGAAAGAAAGTGAAAAGAAGGTGAATTGTCCTTTTTTTTACCATTCCCAGTCCCACAAACAGTTGTATTTCTTATCGTATCGGCCTATACATTCTCAGCTGTATTTTTTTAAGCATTGGAACTACATGTACAGTAATTCCTGAAGAATTTTAACCCCAGCCATGCGGCCAATGTATGTATTTTAGCATGGTCAAATGTGGAATGAGAATCTCCCACGGTAAAGGAAAGACATATTATGTTTATGTGAACAGCAGAAAGACTCAACGCAAGGAACTACACAGGACTAGGACCGATTAGCCTGGTCGTATCACACCATCGTACAAATTACATCTCGTTGGAAAATGATAATTGCCCAGAGTTTACGGATGGCTAAGGCCCGGCTAGGACTGATTAGGCCTGTTATCTGAATTTATGGAGTTTTTATTATGACTCCATCAAGTTTTGGTAGCTATAGGACACTCACACTTGTTTATCGTCAAAAAAGTAAATTAGTCCTAACCTGAGTTCTCAGAGTTGACTGTGTTATTTATCTTTAGCTTTGTCCACAGCAAGTGTGTTCAAACACCTTGACATTAAATCGCTTTGTTTTGCTCTATCAGCTGCTAATTTAAGTCTTACATTACAACATGAAAACCTTTATTGTCAAATGTAGCGGGTGCAGTTTCAAGAACAGAAAAGACAAAAAACACAATGTCAACAAATGTTAGGTCCAGGATTTAGTTTAGGCTCAAGCAAAGCAATCGTAAATAGCCATAAATGTCCTCAAACCTTCTGTATATTAAGCTTCAAGATTTATATTAAAATTTATATTAAAAACCTACTGATTTACTGAAATATATCATACCAACTACATATCTCTATTGAAAGTGAATATGTCATTCTGTTGTAAGTACCATCACTTCTTCCTCTATATTGTGGATGCATTCGAGATGTTGTTACAGTTCTCTACACCTGGTAGTTCAAATGCTCTTTTCTTTATTGATTTCAGCTTCTGCTATAACACATTTTTTTTACTAAAAGAAACGCACATAAGCGAAACAAGGGCCACGTTCATGTATTTCAAAACGACACCAACAAGGTCAAACTCATCAAGGTTTTTCCGGCTGCACTTTTATCAAAAATACATAGTTTTGTTGTGGAAAGTTTGTTTGATGCTCACATTTTCATGGTCTTTCTTTTAAAATGTGTTTGTTGTTTTTAAGCGTATTTCAGATTTAGATTCAGTTTATTTGCCATTTGCAGTAAAACCACATTGGAATAAATTTGCCAAAGTCCCCATTGTGCCCCAGACAAGTACATCAATAAAACAGACTGAATATTACAAGAAGCAACTTACTCTTTTCTGGTATAGAAGAACCAAATATCTTTATTGCTAGTAAAGAAGACAAGATGGACGTTCCCAAAACAAGTACAAGAAGCAATTGTCTCCGTGAAACAAAGCAACAGAAGTACAAAACAAAACTTATCTAAAACAGTTTCAAGATCCTTCAAGATCCTATATCAATAATATTTAGAACTTAAACACATAAAAACATGAATAATTGAAGCAATCACCACCATCTAAAAGTGCTAGATTTTTTATTTCTAATTTATTTGATTCTTCCCCCTTTACCCCGGTACCCTCCATACCTCTATGCTTTTCACATTTTTCTGTGTAAGTTTTGTTTATGTGTTTACGGTGCATTCAAAATAGACACACTCATGGTGCGTCAGGTGGATTTTTCTCAACAAAATAAGTTTGTTTGGATTGAACGAGACTGGACCAAAGTAAGGATTGTAAAGCTATAACTGTAGCCGTAAACCCTTTCCTCCTTGGAAGATGGTTGACTACGAGAGGAAGTTCCGATCACACACATATTCCTCTAGATGCCTCAGGCAAGAGAAACCGATAGGGCTTTTAAAAACATGTTTCAACCCAATAGCATTTTGGTTTCAATATTGAGAATTAATTGCATGATGTGGATGTTTTATTGAAAAGAAATAGCTGTATAATGATGACATGCTTTGGAAGCCCATAGCAACTTCTTCATCAATGCTGGTTCAGAATTTTTAGGGGGGGACTAAAAATGTTATAGGCCCCCTTTTGGACACCCCTGTGCTCCGCCTCTACAGTAGTCATGCACACTTCTAACCAGTAATAGATCTGTCCTACTTGATCGATCTATGAATCAATCAATTAATCAATCTGCTTTGACCTTTGAATGATTTTACTCTGTCTAAACTGGTTACCTTTTTCCCCATTTTTTCTCATGTATTCAAGTTGCAATCATGTTCAGCATCTTTCTGTGGTGAGTCCAATCTGTTTGCCCCCTGAAATAGCAGTACCTCCACTTCTGGCTGCGTGCCTCGGGCCAGTTTAACAAAGAGGAAACATTAGTGCTCTTTTTTTTCTTCATTGTTTTAATTAGAAACAGCCTCATGCATTCTGTGGTTTGCGCCCGCATCTGGGGAAATTTAGAGCATGCAAATTGTTTTGTGGAAATTCACATTTATAGTAGGTAGGATCGGTGGAGCGCATGTACAGAACGTTATTGCACGCATCTAGGAGTGATTTTCAACCGGAGGAAGTGGAGAGGTCATTAAAACAAGACATAAGGTGGACCTTTGACCCAGCCGTCTGCTAGGCCTGTGCCGGAGCCCCTCTTTACCGGGTCTGGTCCATTTGGGGAGAACAATGAGTGGATTATGCTGTGTACTTGAGGTGAGCCAGGGCAGTCACTCATGTTAGCACTGAGCCATGCAAACGCAGGCTAGAACCAGGGCGGCACAGGAAAGCTCTCTGCTCCTGGAAACTCCAAATGAACCAAAAGTGCCTCCAAAAACAGCACGAGCCTATAGCACACACACATGCAACAGTCCAACTACACATGCTGTCAAAATTAGGGCTGGGCCAAAAATCCAAATCCACAGAGTTTCCAATGGCCTGCACTGGAGTAGGCAGTAAAAAAATAGAATGGAACAAACAAGACACTAAAAAACCTAATCTGACATCTCATTAATATAAAACAATAGTTCAATCATATAAGGGTAAACATAAAAACACGGATGACCACACAACTCACATAGCAGCTTAAAGACCGGAGGGAACAAAAGTGGGACTTGGTTACACCCGTCCTAGCCTGGTCGTACCTCACCATAGTACAAATTACATTTTGTACTGAGGTCTGGAGGCGCTCCATTGAGCTCCGTTTACAGGTGGGAGGGGTTAACTCCTTTTGCAGATTGAAAAGATTGGATCTGAGTTTACTGTGACGTTTGCATTGCGCCCGAGTGAGTTGTTAGCATTTAGCCTAGCTTTAGCCATCTCCTTTGCCGCTAACGGAGCCCATGGGGAGTAGTGCCACAATCTTTGCCAGCAATTACATTTGCTAAACATTCTTCTTGCTCCGGCCTCAATTTCTTGATAGAACCAGACCGGATTACTTTACTAATGCATTCTTCGCCATTTCCAAACTACAACCTGCCCATTTGACGCAAACTCTTTGACGTCACCCACATCTAAACAACACCTGCCTTCCGCGCTCTCTGATTGGTCGGTCGAAATTCAAGCGATTGTAATCGCTAACACAGGGACCAGACCCAGACGTTACATGCAGGAAAATGTTGATTGACCGGAGTGTACGGATGGCTATGGCCAGGCTACACCCGTCCATGCTCACTCCTGCAGCTTCCTGATTGGTCAAAATTACTTCAAATCCTCAAGGCCTATTGTCATTGGTATAACTATTCTCCTCCAGAAATTCTTACGGGTCGTAGTTATGCCAAGGGGAGGGACTGTTTTGAATATGTTTTTGATGAAAATACTTTACCATACAAAATAGTAAAGTGTCCCATGGTCAACACTACACATGCTCTAAATGCAATTGTTGCAGACTTCACCTTTAATGTAGATCTTGTGGTCATGATTTACCAGATAGCTGATCAACTCCCAAACATGCTTTCAGACTTTTGAAACAATTAATTTTCAAGATTTCCTCACATCTCAATATTAACAGCATATAGGCTGAATTTCTACTTCCGGGTGGATCATCAAGACTATTGGTCCTCCTAATTGTCAATCATTCTGGTGATACATGCTCGTCAAACAAGACCTGAGAGTTTTTTTCAAAAAGTGGAGACGGAGGTTCTTTCCTAAATTTTGGGAAAATCCTCCTATATCCTTCAGCATTTACTGCAATAACTATCGGTATCTCTCTATCGTGCGTCAATTTGATTATTTTAGTTGATAGCCAGCCATAGTGTAAATTCAAACAAATGTCCAGTTGCGCAGCCTTTTGTGTGTAGGAAGTCTCGTGGCTGCTGTTCCGGACAGAAGTCATGTTTACTTTTGCTACTCGTAAAGCCCTCATTGACTGACTTTAATGGTCTTTCCAATTAGCATCCCAGCGCTGTTTATGCACAGCAGCTGTATGCTAATGCACAGCCCCACTGTGATATTTAGCTTGTGTACAATGGAGTATTGGCCATTTGGCTGGTGCAGTGTTTTCAGACCACACACACACACACACACACACACACACACACTTCCTGCAGTTCATTGGATTTGGGTCAAGTTAAATAGCCCCTTCTACTCCCCCTGTAAA